GAGTTCGATCAACTTTTAGTTTTATCCTAATCCCTTTTCCCCTATATAGTGCTTTCATTATATTCAGCTCACTCAGTATATGTAATGTACATAAGTGCATGCATATTTAATACAGTTGTTATGTCATTTTATCTTTGCCCATTATTACTTAAAGCATGAGTGATGTTCTTTTAATTTTGTTTATTTATTAATTTTGAGACAGGTTTTCAAAAACCTGCCCTGGCTGTCCTGGAACTTTCTCTGTAGTCCAAGCTGGTCTCAAACGTAGAGATCCATCTGCCTCTGCCTCCTGAAAGCTGGGATTAAAGGTGTGCGCCACTACTGCTGGGCTAAAACCCGAGTAGCTTTTGAAAGATTTATTTTTAATTGTGTGTGTGCACGCGTACATGTGCACATGAATACAATTGCCACCCCCCCACTCCCCCCCCCCGGCCAGAAGAGGAGGTGAGAGAGTTGGATCTCCTGGAGCTGGAATTACGGGTGGTTGTGAGCCTCCCAACATGGGTGCTGGGAGCCAAGCTGGGACCCCCCCCCCCGCAGGAGCAGCACAAGCCGCTAACCACTGAGCAACATCTCAGACCCATGAGTGAGTATTTTATTCTGATAAAGAATATGGCGGACACAGATCTAAACAAGGCTCTTTTAAAGCCCCCGAATGGTTGGCTTCCCTTCCAGCTTTGTTCCTTCTGGCCCTTACTGTCTCCTGGTAGCAGCATAAAGAAAGGATTTCTGGCCTCTTCCTCCTGCACATGTATCATTCTGGCCTTGCCATTTGGAGTCTCTGAAGCATAGAACTTTCTGAATCTATGTGTCCCAACAGGAGGGCCCACTGGAAAGTAGTCATTGTTTGCCTCTGTTGGGTGATAACTCTTCCTGGGAGGCATGATGAAATTTTTTTTCAGCTTAAATAAGGAACTCACAGTAGCCCAAAATAATGACACCACCAAAGAACAACTTGGTGAACCACCGAGTTTATTTGGGTTATTTATAAGAGTGTGGGTTAGAGTTTGCTTAAAGAAGTATGGACAGCTCAAAAGGCAGTGGCATTACAGGACACTTACACCAGCGTGGGTGAGAACTTATGAAAGCATGAACCATGTGCAGCCCTCTGCACGAATAACAGGCAGGTCACAGGTCAAAGTCTCCTTTCCTTAGCAATCCTTGCTGGTTATATAACCTTAAGATGGAAAAAGTCTTATAAATCTATTACGTTTCAGGGACTTCCTGAGACTTGTGAATTGTTTATTGTTTACTTCTTTAGTCTTAAGGAATTTCTGTTCAAAACTTTCTAAATTTTAAAAGAGCCTGACTTTAGAACTTCCTGAGGCTTAATGGTTTCCCTCCGGGACAGAATGTTTCTGTTTGGGTGAAATTGCTTGTAACAGCCTACCGGAGCAGTGGGCCTTACGGGAAGCTTCCAGAACTTGGCTCTGGGTGCAGCATTTGTAGCGCCTGGTAGGATGACCCAAAGGTGGGGCTGTTTTACAGGAACCAGCTATTGCATGTGCCCCTAAGACAGCACCAGGTGAGCTGTTGTGACTGGTTGCTGAAAGTCATCTGTGGGGTGGTGACCATCCGCACAGTGTATGCCTCCCACAAGCAGGCCAAGGCCTGTCTCATCTCTCGCATCAGCTGTGAACGCGCAGGTGCCCGCTTCCTCACCCGCGGTGTCAATGACGATGGCCACGTGTCCAACTTTGTGGAGACAGAGCAGGTGAGTACCCAGAGCCGTGCATGGCAGAGTCAGTGCATCTCATAAATGCATGTTTCCTATTATGAGTGGGAAAGGCTCTGGTGTGTGTGAGCAGCTCTCTGACCTTGGCTTCTTCCTGTATGTATGTCATTGGAGCATTGCTTGAAACTTGCCTGCGGCTTGGATGGTCTGTCCTTTTGATTCACAGCTCAGTCTGAAAAGACGTGTATGCGTGTGTGCATTTGGAAGCCTGAGGACCTCCAGGTGAGCCTACAGCTCACCAATTTGGCTAGAATTAGTGTCCATCAGTCTTCCAGTTGTTCCTGTTTCTATCTACCGAGAGCTGTGATTACCAGCGTGCACCACGGGATCTGGCTTTTATATAGGACCTCAGGACTGAACTCAGGTCTTCAGACCTATGTGGCAAGCTCTTCCCCAACTGAACCACCTCCCAAAGCCTCTAATGTATTTTAACAAAAGAACCCAAGAATGGAAGCCATAACTCCAGAGGCAGCCGGCAAACCGATAGGCATTGAAAGTCTTTTTAGGACAAACACAGAACACAATAGTTTAATGGGAGAGGAAACTTTTTTTTAAATTCTGTATCAGCGATAGCTTTGTTTTGGGAGCGTGTTAGTGCCTGGGAATGTGGTTGTGCGTGGAGCAGCAGTTGCTGTCGGCTCCTATGGAGGAGAGCCATCTGTAATACCTCCTTAGTTTCATTTCCTAGCTTCTGTTCTCCCTCCCAGAGGCGCTGTCTTGCACCTGTTGCTTTTTTGTTTTGCTCTTGCTCGCTCCCTGAATGCCACCTTGCAGAAAAGCAGCGGGGTCAGGTGCAGGAAGAGCCCCAGGGAGGCACAGGTGTGACCCTGCTCTGGGCTGTGAGCACCCTGTGTTCCTTCCTGCAGCTCTGCAGCACTCGTTACCATGTGGCTGTTAGAGGAGCCCTCGGGGGCACCAGTTGAATTCAGCACAGATGTGCACATCACCCTCTACCACACGTGAATCTCTGCGTGCCCGGACACGTTCAGTGATGGCGCAAGCCAGTGTGCCGTGTGTGCGTCCAGTTTGCAGGGTCACTGCCGCTTCTCAGAGGCTCATAAATGAAGGCCCTTCATGAGAAGCAGAGGGAGGTTGGAGCAGGAGTCCTGGAAAAAATCACTACGTTGTGGGAGGGTCTGACAAAGCTATTAAATAATGATCGGATGAAAAAGGAGAGAATATGCATGCTGCCGTGGAAGCCATTTTCTTTTTTCTTGCCCATGTCTTCATGGTGACAGTGACGTCCGGGGTTCTTTACATCATCACCTTTATTTTTATCTGGTGTTACTACCCTCCACCCTCAGACCATTCTATTCGCAGACAGAGTTCTGGTGGTTTGATTTTGTTTTGCCAGACAGACACCACGGGTAGAGGCAGTGTTGGTAATGACTGGTACCCACAACGCCTGAACCTGTTACCAGAACCAGTTTCCAGACATCGTCTAGAGGGAATCCCGAGGTCAGCATTCTTCACCACTCAGGCTGAGGAAAGAGGGCCATTTATCTGGTCCTGGCGATGGTCGTCCCCAAATGAGTTCACAGCCAGCTTAGAAACACTGTGGCCTCTGACTGTATCTTACAAAACACTGCCCTGTCCTATGCAATAGAACATTAGTGAGGGCACAGTGTGTTTCCGGGGACTGCTGTCAATGAAGTACCACACACTGGGTGGCTGAGACAGCAGGCATTTGTTCCCACAGTTCCGGAGGCCGGCTGGCTAAAATGAAGGTCAGGTAGGTCCGTAGTCTTGTGAACAATCCTGGGAAGGATCCCACCTTGCTTCTTCCAGCTTCTGTGGTTCCCATATAAGTGGGTCAGAGAAGCATCATCCAGTTGCAGTCACACTGGATCAAAGGGTTCAGCATCCCCCCGGGGGGGTCCTGCTCATCCAATTAGATTCACAGAGGTCCTCCATCAGAATAAGGTCACAGCAGGAAGTGCTGGAGCTTGGGACTTTAACACACTGCTTCTGGAAGGGATGCCGTAAGCATTAGAACATAAATCCATTCGACAGAGGAGTGCTTTGACTGCAGGGAAATTCCCTATGATCTTTTCTCACTAAGACTGACCAGCATCTCCACAGGCTCTGGCTGGGGCTTTTGCTCCGGTGATGTCATGTAGGGTACCTGGTGACTCATGTAGCCCCTTATCCCATGTTACTGGTTAACCTACTCTGAATCTCCTAAGTCTCTCCTGAGGGGCAGCCCACCCAACTGGGCCTTAGAGATGAGAACAGTCTACCCACACGCCCGGGGATATGTATAGCTAGTCTCAGCCTGTTTCCTGCCGCTGTAACACAATACCACATCCTGGGTATGCTATAAAGAAAAGAGATTTATTTTGGTTTGCAGTCCTGATCTAAAATTGAGACCCCCACATCTAGTGCCGGCCTTGCTGACAAGAGTCCTGAGAGACAGGGCACCACGTGGTGAGTGACAAGCAGCCCACAGGAAATGTACCCAAAAGGGTTTTTATTTGGAAACTGATTCCTAAAACAACCCAACAACCCATTAATTGAGTGGATTAATAAATCCATGAAGGCAGAGCGCTAATCACTGTTTGATGATGAGGATTAAATTTCAACATGCTTTTAAGAGGGTCAAGCCATAGAGGCGTGCTGCTTCCTAATTTCTTGGGGTGGGAGGAGGGATTTCTTGGCTCCCATCAGCCTTTGTGGTCTTCCCAGTTTGTGGGGTTTTGCTTAATTCCCTTTTCCTCCTCTGAGCCACACTGCTGCCTCTCTTAAACTTCTCACTTGACCTCACTCCCTGGAGCAGGAGCTGCTCATGGGCAGGCACTACCATCTGCTGTCCAGCTAGAGCAACAGGCAGCTGAGAGGGTATAACTTAACCCCACGATGGTGTTTTCACTAGTCACATTAACGGGCACAAGGCCTATGGCCTTAAACCCAGAGCAAGTCCTTGTTGGACACGTGCATTTGAAACTGCTAGTGACAGACAGGCCACGTGGGAATAGGAGCCAAGGCTGGCACAGGCTGCCAGAGCCCTAGGGCGGTCTAACTGCATGAAACTGGGAAATGACCTCTGGGATGGGCCAGTGGCAACTGAGAAGTGATCTCTTCAGCAGGGTCTACTTGTGTGCCTGTAAGCCTCTGCATGGCTGCTGCAGGATCTGTACTTCCCTAGACCATCGATTTACCACGCCCAAGTGGGATTCAGGCCTACAGTAGCATAGGATTACCTCCTGCGCCTGGCATGCAGGTAGTGTGTGTGTGTGTGTGTGTGTGTGTGTGTGTGTGTGTGTGTGTGTGTGTGTGTGTGTGTGTACACCACAGAAGTAAGGCAAGGGGCCTCCTCCCTTCTGGGGTTGCCTCCCTAGCAAAGACTCAACGTGGCCATGTGCTGACGACCACAGGAGACTAGAGCCAGGTTGAGGGCAGCAAAGCAGTGGCCCGCAGCATCTGCTTAAAGTGAAAGGTGAGCTGTACAATGAGCAATAGGACCTGCACTGTGGCCTGGGAGAGGTTTGCCCACTGAGGGCTTGGGGCGGTTCCATGGGAGCCTGGGTTAGATGGTGCAGCACAGGTGTGTCCTCAAGTCTGAGCCCTGCAGGACTACAGATGGTGAAACGGCAGATCATACATACACTGTGCTCTGAGGCCTCAAGGTGAAAACCATCCAGAGTGGGCCCATCTCCAGCTAGGAGATGCGCTATGGTCTCTTCACTGGCAGTAAAGCAGCAGTCACTGGCGGCATAAGCAGCAATTGACAGCAGGAAAGGGAACTTAGTAGGGACAGGGCAAACATGGTGCTGGTACCCTGTGCTACTGCAGGCCTGAACTCTGCTAGGCAGAGCAAAACGATGGCTCTGGGTGAAGTCCTGCAGTGGGACCACACAGAGAAGAGAGGCAAGCCAGAAAGATGGCTCAGTAGTTAAAGATACCTGCCGCCACGCCTGGCAACCTGAGTTCAAGCCCAGGACTCCTGTGGTAGAACAGAATTCTCAACGTGTGGGTTCTGACCCCTTTGGGGGAGGGGGTGTCAAATGACCTTTCACAGGCCATCAGAAAACACAGATGTTTGCGTTACAACTCATAATCTTGGCAAAATTACAGAAATGAACTAACAACAAACACAGTTTTATGGTTGGGGTCACCACTATATGAAGAACTGTATTAAAAGGTTGCAGCATTAGGAAGGTTGAGAACCTATGTGGGAGAAGGAGAGAAATGGTTCCTGCAAGCTGTCCAGTGACATATTCATGTATACTTGTGAGTACTCACACACACACACATACATACACATACACACATACACATATACACACATACACACACTCACACACTCACACACTCACACAAACACACACAGAGCCGGAGAGTGAGCCCTGCTTGTAGGATTTCTACTTTTGACAACGTTTTCCTGAGGAATAAATGGATTTCTTATAAACAGTATGTGTGCGGATGTGTATATGTTGTATCCACAGGCACATGTCTATACATACGTTTTATGTTCATGCATCTGTGTGGTGTGTGCATGCACATGTTATATATGGTGTATGTTTAAGTCCCATACAGTGTGTGCTTGTGTGATGTGTCTATGTGTGTGTGCATTTGTTGTGTATGTTGTGTACTTGTGGGTGTATATGTATGTTTATATGGCATGTATACACACATGGACGCATATACACTGTGTGTCCGTGTGGTAGATGCCTTCTCTGGCTTCTCGGGGGGGGGGGGGGGGGGGAGCGTGGAAATTTGTTTTTTTCCAGCTTAGCTGTGAACCATATCCAGTTGGCTCCATCTGCAGCAGCGACTCAGCTTCGCAGTCCCTCTACCCGTCGGCAAAAGGTGCATGATAAACAGTTGGCTCTTGACAATCAGGCCACCACCCAGCCGAGGGAAGTTAGGGTGACTGTGTGTGTCCTCTTGAGGGTGCCAGTGGGGAGGCATGGGTTGTGTGAGTGTTGGGGCTGTTCTTTCACCCAGCATAGAAGCCCTGCGGGACACCGTGGCACTAGCTGCTGGGTTATACACTGGGTGCTGGGGTGGGAGACTCGTGTAGATGATTTTTATGGGGAGAAAGAAGGAACTCTTCCCCATGGAGAAAGGGGGCTCCCAGGCTCTGCCTCCGGCACTGAGCTCAAAGGAAGCAAGGCTGAGACAGAATATAGTCTGTAAAGTCCACGATCATCGGATTAAAGCGTTGGGAGCCCTTCGCTTCGGTCAGATTCTGGCATCCTAAATGGTTGTCTTCATGTGAGCATGTTGGCTAACCTGGTTTCATTGTCCTCTTTGATCTCAGAAGTGCAGGCCTTCCTGCAGTGTAGCAAATGGAATAACGGATGTAGCGCGTTTGCTGGGAGCCAGTACCTAGAAACAGACAGCACGTTCCCAACCCAGTGTATTTTCCTCTGGAGTCTAGGGCTAGAATTACAGTTTACAGCACAGGCACCAGGCCCATGGCATTCCTGTGGCCCAGAGAACCTCAGGCTCACTGTCCAGCCCCCTCCCCCTGAAGAATTACTAATGCATGTGTGATCTGAGCATGATCTAGCCTGTGTGGAAAGCTACCCTGTAAGAGAGCAGGCCAGTGAGCAATGGAAAGGACTCGCAGCGGCACCCATGGTGGCCCTGCCAAGCCAGGCTAGGGTTGCACAGATAAAGGCCACCATCTGATAACCACTGCAGCCATCCCCAGTGCCTGCTCGGGACTGACTGTACTGTGTGTCCTTTAAACTCTTGTCTCCTCTATCATTGGTGGCAGGTAGGCTACTCTAAGACTGGTCAGCAGGGACTATTATCATTAATTTAAGCAAGCATTTATTTCTACGAGGGGGTCTGTCTGTGTATTGTCAAAACCGTTGTGTGTGTGTAGTTGGTGGCATGTCTGAAAACACAGCGGCAGAGGGCCAGGGCTGTAGACAAGCTCGAGTCAAGCCTTGACCTGTGCTGTGAGGCTCAATGGTGGCAGGCGCAGTCAGCAGGGCGTTTGCTCCAGCTCCACAGTTATTGAGCAGGTGAGAACAGAACCCTCTGCAAAGGTCTTAGCTAAACCCCAGCGCACCTGCCTCTCGCTCTAGAGTGGGAAACGGGTGCCAGGCTTTTCAGAGAAGCAGGTATGGTTGTGCCCCCGGAGTGAGGATCCCCGCACACGTCAGGTCTGAGGGCAGAGCCCTCCTCAGAGCCCCGGGAATAGCCCCGTGCCTTGCTGTCTGGTGAGCGGTGATGGAGCAGCACCAGCCCTGCTAGGTGAGAGAGCAGAGGGCACCGAAGTCCACCGGCTACCCTCCAGGCTGGTGTCAGGTCACAGGCCCCGGATCCCGTTACAACCCAGGACGTTCGGTTTCATTGAGGAGTCCCTTTCTCTTTCTGTTCCCTTGTGCCACAGACGATTTACATGGATGATGGAGTGTCGTCCTTTGTCCAGATCCGAGGCTCCGTCCCGCTGTTCTGGGAGCAGCCAGGGCTTCAGGTAGGTAATTTACACAGAAGATTCTCCACTTTGTCGGTGCGCCTCTGGTTATGGTAACTGCAGTTTGTTTCCTTAAACGCTTCTCCCATGGTGTTGTTTATGGACTCGTTCCTTGGCCCGGTTGTGTTGAGCTAAGCTATGGAAGGGAGGCTGGGGGAGAGAGAGAGAGAGAGAGAGAGAGAGAGAGAGAGAGAGAGAGAGAGAGAGATTAGCTGCTTACTTTGCGCAGTGAGACATCTGTTGAGAAGGTGAACCAGAGAGTGCTTGGACAGGATTGACTTGAATGGGACCCTAAGTTGAGCTTTTTGATAACAGTTTTGGCAGCTGGGAATGCCCTGGAAGGGTCAGGAGGGTCTGCTGGGCCCTCGGCGGCTACATCACGGCTCTGGCACTCTGTGGTACTCGTGCGGCGCCACATGAGGATTGCAAAGCTTTCCCGTGACTTCTAAAAATACTTCCTGCCACCCAAAGTGCAGCTGTGGACAGTGCCAGGGGGATTCGGCCTCTGCGTCCCGAGGAGAGTTCAGGGACCGGGGACATTATCCAAGGACACAGCTGTTGTCACTGAAAGGCTTCCTGCTCCCTCAAGTGGCTGCCGACAAGGTGCATCTGGGGAGAGAGAGTGGAGTTTTCCTCCTACTCTTTGCTCTGTTCGGTTCTGCAAGTGCCCGAGAAAGTTTCTCCCTGGGTCTTTAGTCTTTGGTGTCTCTTACCCAGGGCCCTTGTGGAGTGAGGATTGGGTGGTCAGCCAGCAGAACGAGAGGTCAGGAACACCTTGTGCCAGGTTCTCAGCAATGATTGACACAGCAGAACTCAGTGTCCAGTCTTGGACTCAGCTTCTTAGCCCAGCCTGGACTTGTCCCCAGGGCTGCAGGCACATCGAGCCATGCTGACAACACTGGCCACAACCCTGTCAGCTCTTGGAGTAAGATGGATGGCCGGAGCGTCTCATTCAGGTTCTGAGTTGCAGGGTGGGGGTGTGGATTTGTTGACATTTCAGTTTTCTAGGTATGTAATGATGTCCCGTGACACTGTGAGGTAGAAGGCTTGAGCTTGAGTTTGCTTGTAACGGGAGAATTCCCCCGGAGGTCTTTCAAACGTCTTTTTTTGCTGTTACTGCTATTTTTGTCTCACAGTGGAGCCTAGGCTAGCCTTGAACTTGTGGCAACCTTTCTGCTTCTGCCTAACAAGTACGAGGATTACAGAGCTGTACTCACCATGCCCACCTCCCAGAGGTCTTGTTGTTGTTGTTGTGTTTTAAACAGTTCTGCCGGGCAGTGGTGGCGCACGCCTTTAATCCCAGCACTTGGGAGGCAGAGGCAGGTGGGTCTCTGTGAGTTCGAGACCAGACTGGTCTACAAGAGCAAGTTCCAGGACAGCCTCCAAAGCCACAGAGAAACCCTGTCTCGGAAAAATATAAATAAATAAATAAACAAACAAACAAACAGTTCTATTGGGCTATAACTTTTCTACCATAAACTGCGCATGCATACAGTTCAGTGCATCTTGGCATTTATAGAGTGTGATAGCAAGTTCTGTAGCCCCAGTTTAGAATAGTTGCTTTGTTTTTCTCTAGTGCTAATCAAACCCAGGGTCTCCTGCAGGCTGGGCAGCTGCTCTACCTCATCCCCGCCTCAGACTTGGAAAGTCTCACCACTGCTGGGACACCCGTGCCACTTGGCAGCCACGCTCTTCCCAGCTCCAGCTCGGACCATGGGAACCCTCAGCCTGCCCAGTTTCTATAGGCTCTGATCTAGGAGTCGGGGCTGATGCGTACGTAACACCCCTGCCTACCTGCAGCCCCACCCCTATATCTCTGGCAGAGCTTACAATCCCAGGGATAGCTCCTTTTCTAACCTAGGCTGTTGGAAGGCACTTGACACTTGTTCTCCTCTAGATCTGGGTTTCCTTTGGACTCTGAGCAGAGACACACAGGTCAAGTGAACACACTATACAGAGGAATCCGGGAAGCTCCGTTAGGTTCATGCAAAACTTATCAGAACTCCAGAAATCGATCATGACAGCCTCAGGTCATTGAAAGGCCCTGAAATGTGTGTCACCCTCCCAGCTTTATAGGGGATCCCTTCTCGTAAGCTTCTGAAAGAGAGAGGCTGTGCTCCAGGTCCTACTGGGGGTCACGATGGTTGGGAAATCTTTGCCTGCCTGCCTGTCTCCCCAGGGCTTTCAGGGTTGCTAAGATACAAGCCTCACTTTTGTCCTGAGGTTCTCTTGTACCTCCTGGCTGGGAGGCTTCGGGATTCTGTCCCCTCCTTTTGGCCATTTCCAGCATCTTCCTATTCTTTTGAGGATTTTTTTTGTCTGATTGCGAGGCCTCTTGGTGTTCTGGTCTCCTTCATCTAAAACACAAGACTCAGCTTATTAGTCGTCCCCCTGTGTAAATTAACTTTGGTCTCCAGTGCTGTAAACACAGCCTGTGTAGTCACAGTATGACTATGCGTCAGACGGACACAGAGTAGGATCGAGGCAGCTCTGTTGCTCCTTTAGATTCCTAACACGTGTCCTTTGGCAAAGCCTCTGTGGTGTCTTCAAACACAGGTTTAAAGGGTGAGTCTTCATAAGTCTTATCTGGGATTTGCTAACTTTGGGCCTAATGCCTGTATTTATCCTCTAAACACCATCCACCATAGAAGAGAGATGATGTCATCTTCAGAGAGGTGGGGGCAGCTCTGCATGGTAGTCCACATCTAGTAGCAACTACGAGGCAAAGAGTAGTTCTGGTCCCCCCCCACTCACTTTCCCACTTTTATTGAAAATAGTTTCTGTTCTCATATAATATATCCTGATTAGTTTCCCCAGTCTTTTTCCGTCTCCAATTTTGCCCTTTCTTCCTGCTTAGGTAGGATGAAAAATGCCCAGATGTGCCAGGGAATGGTGTGTATTCTAAATTGCAATGCAGCGCCTTCCTGAGCCTGTGACAGGGAACGTGAACCCTGCGGGGGATGAGGAGAGCCACTGGGGAAGTCGAGGAGGGCTGAGGGATGATGCTTCATCTTCAGGGAGTCGTGGGCATGATGCCCTCCGAACTGACCCCAGGGCCTCTAGTCTTCTGGGAGTCGTGGGCATGATGCCCTCCGAGCTGACCCCAGGGCCTCTAGTCTACATGGCACTATGTGCTTTTAATAATTTTGTCTGTCCCGTGCTGATAGCTGTGCAGCTTACAATAGCCCCAGGAAGAATTTGACCCCTAAAGCTCAGGCTCTTCCGGCAGAGCCTATGGTGGGGTGTGTCCGTCATTTCATTTGTGTGGGAGGGAGTACTCCCTTTGCCAAAGTCAGGGTCTTCATCCCTGTGACTGGCACAGACACGTGTCCGCCACACGTGAGTCCGGCCTCTGCTTTAAAGTTCACGTGATGGAGCCAAGTGGAGGAAAGATGTCGAGTAGATTACAGCATCTCATCTCATCCTCTTCTCTCTCAAACACTGCTGCCCGTGTTCTTGGGAGTGTGATGGTGCCGGCACCTTTGCGTGTGCCCGTCCATTACCCTGCCAGGGAATAAGATGGCCGATGGCACAGGAGGCCCTGGGGTGAAGAAAGGAAGGAAGGAAAAGTCCTTCAAGTTGAGAGGAACGAAAGCCAAGGGCCAAATTAACCCATGTGATGGGTGCCGTGGGGTTGCGAGCCCAACAGAAAACAGCCTCATGTTTGTCCCAGTCACTGGAGCAGTCAAGGTTGCAAGGCTGTCTGTCCCAGGATCCAGAGGACAAGTGATGAAGCTACAGAGACCTGGGTATCCCACTTGGTAACAACAAGGTGTTTTGAAGAAATACTTATCTTCGCTAAACCATAGTTTACTGTTCAATAAAGTAGGATTGAGAATACCTGCCCTCATGGGGTTATAGAGAGGGTTAAGAATCATAGTACGTACTAGAATTTAGCATAGTGTTTAGACCCCACAGCACTCAGAATGGTAGCTGTGGTTAGTAATGATGGAAACTAGGACAAGCCTCGTTGGGAGAAGCGTGGCTCTGTGTACTTCCGCTGGTAAGAGGTCTCTCCCCTTAAGCAGGACTCAGATGTAGCCATGCAACACAAAGACCATGTCTTTGGCTGTTTCCCTATGCTTCACACTGACAGGAAGTCAGAAGTCCTAGGCAAACTGACGGAGCGTTTTTCTGTGCACACTGGACATCTGGGATCAGATGTAGCCCTTGCCTTCAAGGAGCAAGGGGCAGGCGCGGGACAGTGGTGCATGAGTAGAGCTGTGGCAGAGGAAGTCTGAGCTCTGAGCAGCAGCTCTCCGGAGGGGCAGATGGCCCAGGTGGGTGGAAGAGAGACCACTTGGAGGTCTAGAAGGGGTCCTTTTCATTTGGACTGACTTGGGGATTAGAACCACTCGGGCGAGACAATGCTGGTAGAAAAGAAGGCAGGTGCGTTGTTGTAGCCCCCGAGGTTCATATCTAGGAAATGGTACTGGCTCAGTGTTTGGGAACCCAGGCACTTTTGCGGTCTGGTGGTGAAGAGAGCTGATTTGTGCCATTTGTCTGCTTCTGGCAGCACTGGCAGCATGGCCGCAGCAAGTCGAGCCGTGGTCGGCTCACAAGCTAGTAGAGCTATAGCCACGTGCTGGACCGTGGTCATAATGAGCGTTGGAGTGCAGCACGGTGACACAGGACCCTCAGAAGTGTCCCTGAGGTGACCCCAGTGGCAGATGCTGCAATGAGAGTACTGCCAACCTCTGGGTGGAAGCAGTAGGTACCGCAGAGCCTGGAGATGCTAGCCCTGGCTACCAGGGCCCTGAGTGCAAGCTGGACCTCTGCTGTGACCCCAGAAGGCGTTCTTGTGACTTGGACTATAAACTCAGTTGTGCAAGGTATGAGATTAAACTGACAGTTTTAGGGCTCAGGCGAGGATCATCGGTCCTTTAGCCAGAGGGGAGAGGCTGAGGTTGAAGAAAAGAAGGGGAAACTAAAAACAAGCAACACCAGGCTAACGGAGATTTTATTCTGCAGATCCTTCCCAAGCCTGCCGGCACACCGCATCAGGAGTAGGTGACACCAGGAAAAGGGTTAGAGTAGGCCAGAGGTGGAGGAAAGAAGAGCCGCTGGCAGAGACAAGACACAGGGTCTGAGAATCCAGACTAACGGCTCTCATCCTCTTCCATTCCTACCCAAAGTTCTTGCCACTTTAGAAGGCGGAGGGCGTTGACATGAAGCCAAGATGCCCACAAGTCCCAGAGCTCCCCGTAGCTTTGCACTGTGGATTCAGCCCCAAGCTGATCTTTTCCCTGGTGTAACCAGAGCAAAGGGGGTTAGCAAGAGACAGGAAATGAGTCAAAACCCGGGCTGCCAAACCACAATGGGTATGCATCTAAGAATCAGCTGGAGGCTTGTGAAACACACATTCCCGACTCCACCCTCAGAAATATGGCTCAGCGGTTTCTGAGCCGAACCTGCAACTTAGCGTTTCTAACTTGTCTCCAGGGGCCTCAGGGGTCACACTTTGAAATCCACTGGCTGAGACTCGGATCCTTTCCACATCTCCTACTCTGGTTATTCCTGTGGGAGTGGTGCCCTGGATTTCCTTGTGTTCCCAAGAGTGGGTTAGCACTGATGTTAGGTTAGCCGTGGTGGTAGGATCGTGATAGCTGGGCCCATCCTGTTCCACTCTGGGCTGGTCTGCGCCTTTTCTTGTTGGCTGCTGTTGCTCTGGGCCTCTGCCTATGGCCCGTCTCGCCTGAGGTGGTAGAGAGAGCGCAAACAGAGAGGATCCAGATGCCACACTGTGGAGCCACTGGTCCCAGCGCAGTCTCCACTATATTATCCCAAGTTGAGCAGAGTTGCTGGAACCTTTCACCGTTTTGGGGTCTTTCTGTGGTGACCATAGCTGGATGAGAATCATCTAGGTTGGGGACTCTGTTTCCTGACTTTGTTCCTGACTGGGTACTCGGTGACATGTTGACTCAGCACTCGGTAACTAAGCAATGTATGGCCTAGATGATTATAGCAGAGAGCTCTTGAGCCTGGGTGTGGACAACGTGGTGTGGTCCACCGTGCCCTCAGGTGTCACTTAACAGAAGGGGCTTCAGGCTGGGGTGCAGGGAGTTGCCACAATGGCATTTTAGGAAGACTAGAAATGGGAGGATTTTGCTGGCACGGTCCACACTGTAGTTAGGGACCCTGCCTCTGCAAAGTAGACCTGGGGATACCAATCCTTGCAGGGTTGGGAGCATTGGTAGCAGAGTCAGGAGTGCCTGGCCTGCCTTAGCGGGGAATGAGCCACAGAGATAGCCAAGCAGGTGCCACAGGCAGCCTGGCTGTGGAGTGAGGACGCCATCATTGTCATCATTCTGTGCTCTCTCTCTGTAGGTTGGCTCCCATCATCTGAGACTACACAGAGGCCTAGAGGCCAACGCCCCTGCTTTTGAAAGGTAAGAACCAGCGGGTACCATCCAAGACCTCCCATCCTCCATTCAGATGACGTGGCAAGGGGTAGGACAGTGGAAAGGGGAACCCCCAGGCCTGGATCAAATCTTCCTCTTACATAGGTCCTTTATCCAAGAAAGGAGTTCATAAACTGGGATTTTTTTTTTGCTTGTTCTTAAGTCTCCTTGAGAATGAATTCATCAGTGAGTAGCACTTTGTAATTATCTTGTTAGTTTCTTCTTAGAATGAAGATTCACCAATTACTCTTGATTAATAAGGGATAATCTGAATTGTATCAGTATTATTTCTGGTTAAAAGTATAGTAAGGTTTAAATTAAAAGAATATGTAAACTTCCAAGTCCCTCAATTTTACCCATTATCAGTTATTTATGTATTGTAGATAAAAACTTTGATATATACACTTCCTTTCAAAAGAAGAAAGACAATTGGACCATAGCATGCTGTTTTATAGCCTGCTTAGGGAAAACCATTGCTAGCTGGAGCTATTTATAATCTGTACTTGAATAGTCAGTAGCTTCTTTAAAAGATCTTGGTTTTAATTAAGAACTAATTTTTAAAATCTTTAACAACAATTCTCAAAGGGAACTTTGAGTACTGAAGCTTCATTTGGCTTTGTGTTTGCTTATATACTTTTGAAATCTATGTAACACTGGTAATGTGAGCACACCTGTGACTACCTAGTCAGTTGCTGTAAATGGCAGACTTTTTGTGTAATCTAGTCTTTTTCCAGAACAGGCTTGGATGTTGTAGGGATGACATACTCAGTCATTTTGATTAACATTGGTCCATGCTAGATGTTCCCAGAATGTAGTAGGTGTAGACTGAAATTCTAACAAGGGGACAGTGTCCTGCTTGGTTTGTTCCTGACAGACCATGCCTTACGCCAAAATGGCATATCTCATCGTGAAAAGTATCGTCTTATTTTTAGATGAGGGAACAAAGAAGAATCATCTCCCAGGTGCTGATCCCTGGCCTCTTTTCTTTTACCCTCTTTAATTCTTGCAACTTCTCTGCTCAGGGAGGGTGAGCTGGATTTTGTAAATGAGAGAGCACGGGGTCTCTTCCAGAGAGTCAGCTTCGGCGGCAGGAAAGGACAGCTGAATTGTAGTCTTTCTCTTCCACTCTTGGAATTTGGAACCTGGTGACAGGGGAAACAGGAATCAGACAGGGAGACCAGGCCTGGACGGGCCTTATTTCTAAGAAGCTGTCTGGCGGGATGTGGCTTAGATATGTGGCTAGCATAGGACTCGGGCCATCCAACGGCAAGCACAGCCGGCAACCTCAGTGGAGACAGAACGTGTGTGTCCAACCTCAGGCAGAGACACACCTTCTCTGGGAAATCCCTGAGAGCAGAGCCTCTGCGTCCTTCTCTTCTTGTCCCTTCCTTGGGCGGCCAAGTCCCACATGGTAGTGCAACTAGCGGCCTTGGAAACAGCTTCACCTGTCACTGGGGTCCACTAGTCAGCGGACCCACTCCTAAATCTTTCTCTATCATGTGATATCACTCAACACAAGCAAGAGGATATTTTTTTAATCCTCGGGCTAAAAATAGTTCTTTACGAACTTAAAAATAACTATATTTATAAAAATGAATGTCAGAAAATAAATTGTAGAAACTTGGAAAAGAGAAAATGTTGAAAGAAGGAAAAAACAAATTTAACACTTCACCCGCTTGAAATACCATACAGTGTATATCTTTCCGTTCTTTCTTTTCTATATTTACACAGAACAATTATAAGGTACTTGGGCTAAGCATGGTAGCTCATGCCTGTTATTCCAGCGTTTGAGAAGTGAAGGCTGGGAAGCCAGGTGCTCAAGGCCATCCTTGGCTATGTAGTGAATTTGAGACCAGCCTGGACTACATTAAACCCAAGGAAAAATAAAGTTACTTTTGGCAAACTTATGATAAAGATTAAGAACTGGTGCCTCTATAGTATTTGAAGGTGAAATGTGGACTGCACAGTTTGTGATATCATCACATTTGGGGTTCACAGTAAATGCAGCACCTGGGAGGCAGTCGGTTGAAGTTCATCCCCCAGTGGTTCTAATTTGGAAGAGGAGGGTCCCACCAAGGGAAAGAAGCTCTGGGTTAACTTTGGAGATGGGAGTGTTGAGCCCTTGAGGCACGGGGCATTCTAGGTGGTTCTCTATAGGGAGGTCAGTGCAGCTTTGTCTAAAAGTCTCACATGCTAGACAGGATTCCTGCCCGAGACTTCCACTCAAGCTGCCTGGGCTGACTTACCCCCGTGAGTTTCAGATGAGCAGGGATGGTAGCCAGGAGGAAGGGGTTTCCTCCTCTATACGCTTGGGATTAAGGGGCATGGCGGGTCCCGGATCTCCAATGCTGAGATGGAGGCGCAGGCTGCCTGGCCTTGGGTACTGTGGAGTCGCTGCCAACCCCGATACCGTTGCAGGCACATGGTACTTCTGAAGGAGCAATATGGGAAACAGGTGGTCGTGAACCTGCTGGGAAGCAGAGGTGGTGAGGAGGTACTCAACAGAGCCTTCAAGGTAAGGCTCACCCTCCTCCACAGCTGGGCTTGGGTAGGGAGGGGCCAGTGGTGGGGCCTTGAGACTGAGGCAGCCCTGTCAGTACTCGGGTCAACACGTGCCCCGCATGGGCTTTTAGAGCCCAGCACTAGATGACTTGGGCTTTTTTTTTTTTTAAGGTCATTTATTTATTTGTGTATGTATTGTGTATACAGTGTTCTGTCTGCATGTACACCTACAGACCTGAGGAGGGCCCCAGATCTCATTACAGATGGCTGTGAGCCACCATGTGGTTTCTGGGAATTGAACTCAGGACCTTTGGAAGAGCAGCCAGTGCTCTTAACCTCTGAGCCATCTCTCCAGCCACGACTCGGGCTTTTAATACTTTAAGTTTACTTTCTATGAGCTGAGGGATAGGAGAATGTGTTCAGTCAAAACAGAGCTGTTTCCCTGAGCTCCACACAGGCAGATAGGCCACCCATGCTTCCCCGAGGAGTTGCTTTCCAAGCCAGAACAGAAGGGCAGCCTAGCAGTGCCCTGGCTCCTCCGAGGCCCCACCTGCCAGCACCCAGGGCGTTTGTGCTCATGGTTCAAAGCAGACCCCGTGTGGCTTCCTTCTGCCTGCACGGCCTTCAAGTCGTATGGTTGTGTTTGGGCAGCTGGGGGAGGGCTTGTGCCAGCTCCTGGTAGGCTCCTTTCCATTCCTGGGCAGAGTGGATCTTGACAGGGTTTGGAAGGAGACGGAGCTGGTGAGGCCACTCGGGTTTTTCAGCCACAGAGCCTGCAGTCTTCAATTGAAGATTCGGTGAACTGAGGCAGCCCCCAAACTGCCAAGGCCCCACCGCCTCGCTTAGTGGGAAAAGGCTCTCTGGTTGTTTGAAGTTCTCCCTTGTGGAAACACCCTAAGGTCACCTTGGTAGAGATGTGACCTTTGTGGCTTCCACTGCCCCCTAACCCCTGGGGAGAGGGGTTGGGGGGGAGCAGGAGCTCGCTGGCTGCCAGTTCTCTTTGGCCAGACTTGCTTTTCCTGTTTAGCTTGTTGCTAAGAGCAACAAGCTCACGAAATCTCTCCTCCCACTTCTCTTGGCAGCTATGCTGACTGCTTATTTTAAGGGAGGTGAGGGGAAAGGGACAATAAAGAAAATCAATCTCAGTATCTCTAACAACAACAACAGAAACCCCAAATCCTTCGTGTCTGAGCTCTAGAAAGGACATGTTCAGTCCCTCCCCGGCACTGAAGTGAAGGCCTCCTTTATGCCCAGAGGACAGAGATGTCCCAGGAGTTAAGGATGGCTCCTGAGCAGGTAGACCTAACACGCTACTCGGAGACGGGCCTTGGCCCTCATTCCTGAACATCCTTTACCAGGGAGAAGCCAGTGCCTAGCAGGCAGCCGGGGCCCCAGTGGTTGTCATTCCACAGCTGGGCAAGGCCACTAAGTTCTTTGTTTAGTTACATGGGCTTCTTGTTCCCGACACGACTTTCTCGAAGGGGCAGAGCATGTTAATTTGCATTCTGACTGGCTGGGGCCATCCAGTTCTTTGGAGTTCTCAGAACCTCTGACTGAGCAGATGTTGGGTTAATACAGTGAGGTCCAGAGACAGGTGGCTGAGGAACGCATGTAGCCTGTCTCCTGCTCCAGGGGGCTTTTGTGAGCAGGCTGAGGACGTTTGACAGGCCAGGGAAGCTGTGTGGGGAAGGAGGCCTTGCTTCTGCGTCCTGACCCATCCATAGCTCTGATATGTGTCTCTCTGTCATTGTCCCCCACCCCACCCCCACCCCTTACCCTGGTCTGCCGTTCTCTCTGTGTCCCCGCTCCGCTACTCTGGAGCATGTAGGGCAACATCTCCTCCATCTTAGGCTTCACCACCCTACACATCCTGCTGGCCGTCTCAGTCTGGAGACTCAACTATTGCTGAGCCCACCCTCCTAGGGCTGGTGCCTGTCTGAATGGGGCTGGTTACCAGGGCAACAGGAGCTAGATTATGAGCTGCATGGCTTTGCTTCATGTCGCTGTTCTTGAGGGCCGGGCACTCGGGCCACCTGAAGAACAGCTCTAACCTTCCCTCACCTGTGCCCTCTGAGCCCCAGGAAGAGTGGAATGTTCCCCAGAGAGACATTCCTGCTGTGGGCTCTTTCGCCCAAGGGGGACCTTCTGCTCTTACAAAGGCAAGATGCTTCTTTTTTTGTTTTGTGGGTTTTTTTTTTTTGAGACAGGGTTTCTCAGCAAGATGCTTTTTGTGTCTTCTGTGCCCTCCAGCTCCCTGCCCCCACCCACCCAGTCCCCAAAACACAAGGCCTTTGTCTTGTGTTTCCCTTTCAAGGTCGGGGCCAATCTGCCAGCAGATAGATCCAGTCTCGTGGGTGACAGTTGGTGGCCAAAGCCCCCAAGCCACTGGAGGAGAACCACAGGCCCCGCCCTGCCTTTCTTACAAGTCATTTCTGTCGGTATGCCCACACCCTCTCCTTTCCCTTTTCAGAAGTTGCTCTGGGCTTCTTGCCACGCAGGCGACACACCTATGATAAATTTCGACTTCCATCAGTTTGCCAAAGGCGGGAAGCTAGAGAAATTGGAGAACCTGCTGAGGCCCCAGTTAAAGCTTCACTGGGATGACTTTGGCGTGTTTGCGAAGGGCGAGAATGTAAGTCCACGGTGAGTTTCCATGGGGCGTCAGACTCCTGCTGGGGAGTTGTCACTGTGGAGGCTGTGGGCACCTTGGACACATACTCCAACATTGGCTGCCTGACTGCACACTGTGGTGTCCCGAAACATAAGCTCTGTGACGTTGGCTTCTGCGGTCCCGATCTTCTCTGCTCCCTCTTTTTTAGTCAGAGACATGCTTCTGAATTTAGTGAGAAAGATGGTAATGCCTGATTTTCTGGAAAAAGGCATGTCCAAACATACAGTTACAACATTGAGCGCCAAGCTGGCAATGTAGCTCAGTCGGTAGAGCGCCGGGCTAGCATGCATGGAACCCTGGGTTCAGTCCCCAGATCAAGCAGAACTAAGTACAGTGTCACACACCTGTCATTCCAGTACTTGGGAAGTAGACATAGAATGATTAGAACTTTAAGGTCATGTACAGCGAGTTCTAGGCTATCCTGGGCTACCTGAGACTCTGTCTCAGAAACAAAACAATCAACCACAAACCCAAGCAACAAAACGAAACACCACCCCACCCCACCCCGACCCCAACCCCAAGCTCAGATGACATGACTTAGCCACACCGGGACAGGACCTGTGAGAGCAGCTGATGCAAAGCCATAGTACCATGTCACTGGGCTGCGAGGGACCCTGTTCTGGGTGGAGTGTAAAGGAATTCCAGCTTCCACACCACAGTCCGTCATCAGGAGACCTCAGGTTTATGAATTCACTTCCTCACTAAAACTCCCTGGCACCCCAGAGTCTCCTCACCGCATACGTGTTCACCGTTACTCAGACACATGCAGCACAGTGAAAACTCCCCCCCCGTGAGTCAAGGCCATGCTCTACTGCCATGGTTCAGTTCTTCCTGTAGAAAGTATCTTTTCACTATTTACTGATTGCTGTGATTTCCACATTTTTGTGCTTCCTTTGGGTGATGTCCCCTGTTTAACCTCAGTGCCAAGGTGCTGCCTAGCATTCCAAACACAAGACAGCAAGGCTGTTCCCTGCGCAGGAGACACAAGGCGTACCTCGTTTCAGCCAAGAGCTGCAATGCAAGTTGGCGAGGGTCGCATTAGCGAAACGGCAGTATGCCCGTGTCACTCGACTCACGGGAGTGCCACTGCCTGATGAACCCCATCATGTGTCAAACCCCCATAAAATTGAAAAACGAAAGGTTGAGTTGCACCATCCCAAGTTTGCCTGTGTATGTGTGTACTTACCAGTGTGTATATCCTTGAACAAAAACATGCAAAGCAAGGTCATTATTGACCAGCTGATACAGTGTCAGAGACACGCACGGGTCTTACATTCTCCCTGGAGTGATGGATGCTTCGGTACCGGCTAACGTGCTGTAGAATGTCATTGTCGTGGATGACAAGAACCAGCGACCTGGGATGGGGGCTGCTGAGAGCGTGTCCTCGGGTCTGCCTGTCCTTTCTACAAGTCAGGGTCTCTTGGGATGTGCTCTGGCCTGCTGCTGAACTGCTAGGGAGGAGGCAGGGCCTCTCTTGTGGTGTAGGTCCCCTTGGGAGCAGACAGACCAGGCCATGTGCTATAGCTGTTGCCTTCCAAGCACACCTCACGATCCTTCCCTGTCTCCTGGCCCTAAGTTTTCAGAAAGGCACTCTGCGGATGAATTGTCTCGACTGTCTGGACAGAACCAACACTGTACAGTGCTTCATTGCTCTGGAGGTGAGTCCTTGAGCCATCTGCGCCAGGTCCGGGGCTGTCAGTGGGGCAAGGGTGGCTTTACTGGGCAATAGAACAGGTGACAGGGATGTGGAGGGGGACCACTTAGAGAGGTTTCCTTGGTGGCTTCCTGCTTGTAGTCCCCGTATGCCTTTCCCTGTCATAGATGTACTTATTTATATGTCTGCTGAGATGCGTCCCAAACACTGTGGGCCTAGGGTGCCCTTAAGCAGATATTCTGGATCTGGAGAGATGGCTCAGAGGTTAAGAAGCACTGGCTGCTCTTCCAGAGGTCCTGGGTTCAATTCCCAGCTCACAACCATCCGTAATGAGATTTGGTGCCCTCTTCTGGCCTGCAGGCAGACCACTGTGTACACAATAAGTAAACAAATCTTTAAAATTCTGTATAGAGCTAGGCCTGGCCAACTGCCTACAGCTCCATCTGTGCTGCTATTGTCTCCCCACCACCTCCCAACAGTAATGTTGGTTGGTCTGGCATCAGGCCATCAAAGGGGGGCTGGGAACATGGTCTAAGGGAAGTCTGGGGGAGTTGGGCTTGAGGGCAGTCTGATGAGCAAGGTGCTCACTTGGAGGCCTCGGGAGGTTTTCTAGGCATCGGGTGATAACCACGGTTGGTTTCCCTCCCAGGTCCTTCATCTGCAGCTTGAGAGCCTGGGGCTGAATTCGAAGCCCATCATTGACCGCTTTGTGGAGTCCTTCAAAGCCATGTGGTCTCTGAATGGGCATGGGCTGAGCAAGGTGTTCACGGGGAGCAGGGCCCTGGAAGGAAAGGCCAAGGTAGGGCAGAGCAGGGGTGGTGGGAGGGCAGGGTGGGAGGGCAGGTTGAGGGGGCAGGAGGGAAGGCCCCTTAGGTCTGGCTCACCGAGTGTTGTGCCCTTGCAGGTGGGGAAGCTGAAAGATGGGGCCCGATCCATGTCTCGCACCATCCAGTCCAACTTCTTTGACGGCGTGAAGCAGGAGGCCATTAAGCTGCTGCTGGTTGGAGATGTCTACAACGAAGAGTCCACAGACAAAGGAAGGATGCTGCTGGACAATACGGCTCTTCTAAGTAATGTGTGCCCGCCTTTACATGTGGCGTCCACAACCTTAAGGCTATGAGGAGGCGCGGGTGACGGTGGATGAGGCTAATGGCCCCGCCACACCCAGCCATGTGATCTGAGGTGGGGTGTCTGGTCTGGTCCATGTTCTGACTTGATCAGTTTACCTAAGCAGCCTGACGTCCCTGTACCAATGTCCCTCGGTGTCCAGAAAGCACTGATTCTAGGTTCCTGTCTTAGGGTTTCTATTGCTGTGAAGAAACACCGTGACAACGCAACTCTTATATAAAGGAGAACATTTAATTGAAGGCTGGCTTACAGTCTCGGAGGTTTAGTCCATTGTCATCATGGCAGGGAGCACGGCAGCCTGCAGGCAGGCAACAGGAATTAGACTGTCTCACTGGGCATGGCTTGAGCATATATGAGACCTCAAAGCCCGCCTCCACAGTAACACACTTCCTCCAACAAAGCCACACCTACTCCAACAAGGCCACACCTCCTAAATAGTGTCACTCCCTTTGGGGGCCATTTTCTTTCAGATGCCACAGTTCCATAGGATAAACTCCACGAATGTTCAAGTCCTTCAGGGCCCCCCAGAAATAAAGGAAAGAGCATTGTTGAACCCTGGGGCTGGGGATGCATCCACTCTCATAGGGCTGTCAGGATTCTTTGGGGCTAGTTTTGTCTCGGTGGCAGTGGCGCTTAGGGATCAAACCTACAGCCTGGCACATGATTGACTAGTGCTGGGCCATGGATATAGACACTGCCAGTATCCTTTTCCTTTGCATGTTGAGCACCAAGCTGCCCACTCTGGCCTTGAACTCACTGTAGCCAAGGAAGGCCTTGAATTTTTAATCCCTCTGCCTTAGACTCCCAAGTATGTGATTGCAAACACTGTGTCATTAGGCCTGGTTTTTTAAGGGAACTTTCCATGACGTCTTTTTCTTTAGAGGCTGTGAACTTACCCTTAATGGAAAGTGGAAGGGCAGAGTCAGGTGTTTACTTGAGTTCTAGAAGCTTCTGATGTTTTGGAAAAATAAATGAACCCCATGTTAGTTTTATATAGGCCTTTCACTTTTCATTGTTCCATAGTTGGGGAACACTTAACTTTCCAAGGTGACACTGAATATCTGCTCTGGGGTTAATTTCCAGCTCAGGAAAATTGGAGCCAACTCCAGGTGTCATCATGAGCTCACTTAGTGACAAACAGGGGATTTAAGCCTCTGGTTTTCTAAATATATTTATTTTGTTTATGTATATGAATGTTTTGCATGCATGTACATATGTGCACTACATGCATGTCTGATGACCTTAGAGCCGCAAGAAGGAGTTGGATTCCCTGGGACTGAAGTCACAGATGATTTGAGTCACCATGAGGGTGCTGGGAATCAAACCCAGGTCCTCTGTAAGAGCAACAAGTGCTCTGAACCCTTAGCCATCTCTCCAGTCCCAGAAGTTGCTAACTTTTAAAACAGTGGATAAATTTTGGATCTCTTAAGTAGATAGAGATGCAATGCTTTGTTTTTTGATGCCTTAGGCTTGAGGTCAAATAAACAAAACAGTCTTGCTGGATGGGGAAGGCAAATGCAAAAATGCAGATGTGGGTTGGTAAGGTGTTCTATCCATCCTTCATCCGTCCCGTATAGGCATGAATGCGTATGTGTGTATACCATACCATTATTTGTATATGACACATTAGTTACGTGGTTTATTGCAGTTTGACTTCACTTTTATTCCTGTGCCTTGTTCTGTAGATGGTGGGCTGCAGGGTCAGTGCTAGGCTTTCTCACCGAGTTCCCCTGTCACTGGGTGCCCCATGCCTCTCGAACTATAGCTGGAAGTTGTATGTCCAGCCCCACGCTTATCGCAGATAGGAAAACAGAGTGGTTAGGGTGGGTATTAGCCTTCTGTCTTCTACCTATGGACCATGTTCAGCTCGGCCGTTCACAACTCACGAATGACATTCTCTGACCGGCCCCCATTGGACAGCATTAGAGGGTCCCTACAGCCTGGGCTGCAGATCACATGCCTTTTATGCTTCCTAACAGTGACACCCAGGATCCTGAAGGCCATGACCGAACGCCAGTCAGAATTCACGAATTTCAAGCGGGTCCAAATTGCTGTGGGGACCTGGAATGTCAACGGAGGGAAACAATTCCGTAGCAATCTTCTGGGAACAGCCGAGCTCACGGACTGGCTCCTGGATGCCCCGCAGCTCTCAGGAGCAGCGGACTGGCAGGGTGAGAATGGCAGCTTGGGAAAGCCAAGTTCGGTTCCCTACAGCCCACCCCGGCAGCTTGACTTTATGCACGTTACCTTGTAAAATTTGGTATCAGCATTTGCATTTTAATTTATCAGCATGTTAAAAAGCACCATGGTCTCACCTTCTAGAATGCTGCCCCTCGGCGTCATGTTACCTTTAAGACGCCTTTTCTTTTCCAAGCGCATGGAGGAGTTTCCAGGGAGTGGATTGCCTTTCTCTAAACGTGCAGGGATTTTGTTGTGGGGTGGGGGGAAAGGGACCGGACAGTTGTCGTCTGTAGGTACTGCCATCAGGAGCTGGCTAGAGCAAGGCTTGTGGGGGATGCTGGCAACTGCCTCATCCCTACCTTTCTCCAAGCCTACACCAGCACAGATAGTCCCAGTCTGGAACTCTGGAATCCTAATTGCTAGAGCAACTGGAACTTGTCAGCACTGCTGTGACATCACATGGGCATAGGGACACAGTGTCCCAGGGGGAGGGTCTTCTACTCAGGATCTCCTATGATGAGTCACAGTCAAAGCTTGGCAGACTGTAAACGTATAAAACTACTGCGTGTGTGTGTGTGTGTGTATGCACGCATGCAAAGGTGTACACAACACAGATGAATTCCTTGTGTAGAATTGGGTGCCATCCCCAAGATAATCTCATTACACTTGTGCAGATATTCCTAAATCCAGAACCTGAAACTCTTCTATCCCAAGCATTTGGGTAAGGATTACTTAGCCTGCAGGAGTGTTCCTTTATTCAGAGGCCTGACTGCTTCCTGCATTCCTAAATAAGGAACAGGTGATGAGTGACTCATAGTTTAATAAACGTATCTTCTCTTGTCACATACACACGTGACCCGCATCTCAGGGAAGGTATTGGGGGGCTATAGTTCAGGGTCACCGAGTCATTGGTGGTTTGTGTTAGCGTTGCTAAAGTACCCAGAAGTCTTCTGAATGACATCAGAGGCAGCTCAGTACTACCAAGGATATTCAGCACCCCTCACTGAGGAGAGCTCCCTAATGCCATGGTGAATCTCCTCTGCCTGTACAAAAGGGTGGTGGTCAAGGCACACTGATGACCATTTGGCAGTGATATTACTGGGGAGATAGCAGTAGGCTCACCGGAAACCTTCCAGGTTCAGGATAAAGGGTGCGTTGACCTTACTGTTGCCCACTGAATCAGAGAGAGGAAAGCAGGTGTTTCATTTAAAGAGCAAGCAGATCTATGCTCTCAGCCCTGTCCACTAAGGCGCTAAGTACCATGTGGCCAGCGGAGGACATGGAAAAGCTTGCTGGATTTTTGCTGGAGAGAGACCCCTTCCTCCCTGACGGGAACCATCTCACCCCTTCATGTGGAGCACTGTCTGGTCTTGATGGTTGGGGTCCATGTGTGTCTGAAGAAGTGTCCGGGAGGTCCTCCATCGAAGGGCTGTAGGGATTCTATGAAGCACTGGTCTCCATTGTAGCAAGGAGTGGCAGCTCCCGCTCACTGTGCTCTACGGCTCACAGGCATCTATGACGCTGTCCATCAGTGCTCCTGGGCAGTGTCTCCTAACCACAAGCAGCCACAAAATACACAGGAAATGATGTGGTCACTTAGGGTCTGGCTTGGAGAGACTTGTCACCAGGAAGGGTGAGAGAATGCTCTTGAGATGGACCAGGCTGAATCAAATGTTTTAATCATGGTATCCAATTTGAATGCTACATGACCTGGTGACACAGCAGTTGCTGTCCCTTTGTAGAGTAAGAACTAGAGGTTCCTACTGTTCCTGACTGAATACAGGGTAGGGCAGAGGTTGCATGGGCAGTGAGCACAGGAGGGAGTGAGGGTAGGCTCCAGTGGCTGGTCCCCTGTGAGTGGCCAGGCTCATTGGGTTCCAGCAATGAGCAGGTGTGGTCAGGAAGCATGAAAAGGACTCCGCGACTCAGGATCTGGCCGCTGTGATTTCTTTGATCTCTTGCCTTGTTCCCCAGGCGATGGCAGCCCCGCTGATGTATTTGCCGTGGGATTTGAAGAGATGGTGGAGCTGAGTGCAGGGAATATTGTCAATGCCAGGTAAGGGGCTGGGCATGGAGATCAGGGTGTCCCTGGACCAGATGCCTTGCCAGGATCAGGGCTCCAAGCACCCCTAGAGTCAGCCTGTTTCTGGGCCAGCTGCCCAAGGCCTTGGCTGTCTGGGTCCTTCTGGCCGCATTGCCTGCACTCACTGGCTGAGGAAGTGCTCTGGCCCTCTTCCTGCTGGCTAAACAGACAGAAGCAGGCACTGGTGTTTTCTTCTGTGAAGTCTTCCAGCCTGGGCATTGTGCGGTGGCTGAGTCAGAGGGACGGGTGTGTGTGTGTGTGTGTGTGTGTGTGTGTGTGTGTGTGTGTGTGTGTGTGTGTGTGTGTGTGTGTAGGAGAATGCCTGGGGGAAAGTGAGGGGCGAGGGCCTGGTAGTGGATGTTGAGATGCTGAGAAGCCCCTTCTCATAACACCAGGCAGAAAGGGGAGACCCCAAACCACTGGATCAATACTTGATATAAAGTCAGCCAGACATTTGCCCCATAAGTGACCCAGTCTTACTTAAAGGAACTCTTTAATTTTTTTTTGTTTGTTTTTTGTTTTTATTTTTCGAGACAGGGTTTCTCTGTATGGTTTTGGAGGCTGTCCTGGAACTCGCTCTGTAGACTAGGCAAGCCTCGAACTCACAGAGATCCGCCTGCCTCTGTTTCCTGAATGCTGGGATTAAAGGCGTGCACTACCAACACCTGTCCAAGAACTCTTTAATTTTTAAGGTTACACGTATTTAGTGTGTGTGTGTGTGAAGCTCAGAGGACAACTTGTGGGAACTGGTTGTCTCCTTCCACCATGTGGGTCTTGGAGCTTGAACTCAGGTTGTCAGGTTTGGTGCCAAGTTTCTTAACCCACTGGGCCATCTCCTCATCGCTTAAGGAGCTTTTAAAATAAAATAAAGCAGGCTTGTGGGAGGTCTTAGCAGATCCTTATTGTGCTTGAGTGTCAGGGGCCCGGGAGCCACTGGGCCTGGTGTCACAGACCTGTCACACCAGCTACTCGGGAGACTGAGGTAGAAGGATTGTGAATGTCAAGGCCTGCCCGGGCTGTAGAGTAAGTTCAAGGCCCGCCCCGGCAGGTTAATGAGTTACTGTCTCAAATAGTGACAAGAGGGTTGAGGATGCCCAGGAGTGGTTTCCTGCCCTATCATGTAGGATGCTGTAGGTTCAAACCTCACTACCAAAAAAAGTCACAAAATAATGGACAGCAACGAAAATAAAGCAAAACCGTGTAGACGTCAGTGGGAAGGACTGATGGCTGACACTCATTTCGGGAGTACAGGCTGCGTGAAATCAACCAGTAGAAAAGACAGATGGAGGCCCGCGGGGTGGGCGGCGGGAGCTGGGCAGTGGGTGATGGGCGGTGGGTGATGGCGGTGGGAGCTGGGCGGTGGGAGCTGGGCGGTGGGAGCTGGGCGGTGGGAGCTGGGCGGTGGGTGATGGCGGTGGGAGCTGGGCGGTGGGTGCTGGGCGGTGGGTGCTGGGCGGTGGGTGATGGCGGTGGGAGCTGGGCAGGGGGTGCTGGGCGGTGGGTGATGGCGGTGGATGATGGGCGGCAGGAGCTGGGCGCTCCCTACAGCAGCCCTCGGCATCTTTGACTTCCTTGCCTTTGCAGCACCACCAACAGGAAGATGTGGGGTGAGCAGCTTCAGAAAGCCATCTCCCGGTCTCATAGGTACATCCTCTTGACTTCGGCGCAGCTGGTGGGCGTCTGCCTTTATATCTTTGTACGTCCGTACCATGTCCCCTTCATCAGGTAAGAACACGGAGTTTATAAGCATCTGGGGAGCAGGGGCTTGTGAGTCTGCGTTTTCTTCTGCGGCTTCCTCCCGATGCCCCCCCACCCCTCCAACGCCAGCAGGAAACAAGACCTACCCTTTATTCTCAATACACAGGGCAAAGCTCCTGAGGGGAAAATGGGCTTGAATTGAATATTGTCTGGCAACTGAAAGCTACCATGGGAAAATCCCAACTCAGGAAACCGGCCTGAGGAGGAGTCAGGGCTGATATCAGGCAAGCTCAGGCAGGGCAAGGAGCAGGTGTCACATTCACGTTTCCCAGACAGGAAACGCTCTGAGCAAGGGGACTGCTCGGAAACTCCAATGAGTTCACCTCTTCCAGAATTCTAGGTAGAATTCGTTTCACCTCGTTGTTACCTCTCCAAGGTGCTGGCTTTGTTAAGTGTAACAGTGAGCCTTAGGAAACAGGTGTCTTTTAGGAGCGGGCATGTGTAGGTAAGACCCTGGAGGAGTTTGCCTTCCTGCTTTCTCGTCGTCTCCTATTGCTACACACGTCGCTGGTGGCATCAGGGTTACTAACTGCTAATGAGTGGCCTGAGACCTGGCCAAGCATCTGCGTATGGAGAGGGCCGCTAGAATGCCCTGTGGTGGCCTTAGGCTCTGTGTTCACAATCTTCCATTACCTTAAAAACCCACTTAGGCCCCACCCCTTCCGTCGCGTTATTAGGGTAGCTCGGCCATTGCCCCAGGTTTAATAGAAATATGGGTAAAGGTTAACGATAAGTCCTGGGAGACGAGTGGCAGGTGTTCCCAACCTGCCTGAGGTCTTCTCACCTTGTCCTCAGTTTCCTGTCCCTTGGTCTCACGCCTGTTAGACTCAACCCTTGGGCAGGTTGTCACCCCCCCCCACACACACACACACGTCTCCCCTGGGGCGGTGTAACGGCAGTCCCCAGCTGTGGCCTGCTCACAGAAACACTGAGTAGCCAGCAGTCTGGTCCCAGGGCCCAACACAAGGATGTGCATCCCCAGTGCATTTGGAGAAGGGCATTGTGGGACTGATTCCCGGGTCAACTTAAGGTCTGCTTCCTTAACTGCACATTGTCCCGTCATAGGGTATGTATGCACTTTCGTGAGAACTGAGGGGTGTGGGAGGCACAACAGAGAGACGCCTGTGCCTTAGTCAGGCTTTCGGTGCTGTGAAGAGGGGCAGCTGGCTTATAGTTTCATTTTAACCATGAAGGGGGGCATGGCAGCGTGCAGGCAGACGTGGTGCTGGGACTGGGGCGAGCGCTGCAGCATGCAGGCAACAGGAAGTTGACTGTCACACTGAGGGTAGTTTGAGCAAGAGAGAGAGGCCTCAAAGCCCACCCCCGCAGTGACACACTTCCTCCAAGAAGGCCACACCTCCCAACAGTGCCACTCCCCTCCGTGGCCATTTTCTTCCAAACTACCACTCACCTGTTGCTCCTGCTGGGGCGGGAACTGGGGCGGGCACGGGAGCAATGTGTCTGCCGGTGCCGCAGGGCGCTGATGGAGGACCTGACAGAGACGCATCCCACCCAGGCAAGTGCTCGCCCGGCGGGTGCCAAGGACCCACCGTGGTCACCCCAGGCTCTCAGCTACAGGTTGTTGTTGCTGTTGTTACAGGGACGTTGCCATCGACACGGTGAAGACCGGCATGGGGGGAAAGGCGGGGAATAAGGGCGCCGTGGGCATCCGCTTCCAGTTCCACAGCACCAGCTTCTGTTTCATCTGCAGCCACCTGACGGCTGGGCAGTCGCAGGTGAAGGAGAGGAACGAAGACTACAGGGAGATCACGCACAAACTCTCCTTCCCCGCGGTGAGCGAGGCACGCGGGTCAGCTGTGCGCGCTGGCTGCTGGGCCCTGGGCGCTGGGCGCTGGGCCCTGGGCGCTGGGCCCTGCCTGCTCGCTTAGGCCACGAGTGGCTTTCTGGGCTGCTAACAGGAGCCTTGAAGGTCTCCGCCATGGGGGAGGGGAGGTGTGCTGCTGCTATTCTTGGGGGCGACCGCCCAGTCCCCCGGTGTTCTGTCACCCCCTTCAACTTCCTTGGGTGCACTTGGCGGGGGGGGGGGGGGGGGTCCAGTTCAGTTTATGGAAGAAAAGGAGTGTGGCCATGGGAAGAACGTTTGAGTTCAAGCAGCATGATTTCCTTTTTCGTGGAGGTCGCAGTGGGCTTTTTATCTCCTCCTGATGCACACACACCCATAGCTGTGTTGCTGTTGAGCCAGGAACTCCCGTTTCCAAAACTGGCACTGAAAAGCCTTAGAGGTCTCCAGTAAAACACATACCACACTGCCCTCTAGTGACAACCTAGAGATTTCCTTGCTGAAGCCAATGCACTTTATTTTCAAACAGATTTTTGTGTTCTCCTTCCCATACAAAGACGATGTCCCAACACCTCAGCCTGATGTGTGAGTCCCACTGACCAGACACAAAAGTATGGGTCAGATGTTCTTGCCATCGATCCCTCCAGCTCCCTGCAGCCTGGTTGGATTCTGGAATTCTCCTGTTGGACCCATCAGTCCTCTATGAGAATAGAGCCTTTAAGAATAGAATAGCATTCCCAGACAGGTGTTGGTGGCACATGCCTTTAATCCCAGCACTCGGAAGGCAGAGGCAGGTGGATCTCTGTGAGTTCGAGGCCAGCGTGGTCTAGTTCCAGGACAGCCTCCAAAACAATACAGAGAAACCCTGTCTCGAAAAACAAACAAACAAACAAACAAAAAAAGAATAGCATTCCCGCCAGGCAGTGGGGGGGCACGCCACTAATCCCAGCACTCGGGAGAGGCAGGCCGATCTCTGAGTTCAAGACCAGCCTGGTCTACAAGAGCTAGTTCCAGGACAGCCTCCAAAGCCACAGAGAAACTTTGTCTCAGAAAACTCAAGGATTCTCTACACAGCAAAAGTTCATCTGGTTTCAATTATAAGTATCCATATCCTCACCGTTGTTTTTATTTCTCCAGTTAAAGAACAAATAAGTTGGGAAATTTTTGATTTATATGTAGTCCACTCTTTCTTACTTGAAAATGGAAACTTTGAAACAGTATACTTGGGATACAGTCTACTAATTGAAAATTTTACTATATGGCCCCTTTTCTTCTGTAGAAAGAAAAGTCGAGTGAACTTATAAATTAGTTCTCTGTACTGGTTGTGTGTGGATTACAATAGCCACCGACCACAAGTAGCTATTTAAATTTAAATTAATTTAAAATCACTTTGCTTTGGTGCCTTAGTCAGTGTTCTGTTGCTGTGAAGTGACACCATGACCTGGGCAGCTCTTTCAAAAAAAGGAAGTGTTTAATTGGGGCTGGCTTACAGTTTCAGAGGTTTAGTCCATGATGAGCACGGCAGGGAGCATGCCAGCATGTAGGTAGACGTGGTGCTGGAGAGATATCTGAGAGTTCTACAGATCCACAGGCAGCAGAAAGAGAGTGACACTGGACCCGGCATGGGCTTTTGAAAGCTCAAAGCCCATCCCCAGTGACACACCTCCTCGACAAGGCCACACCTCCTAACCTTTTCAAATAGTGCCACTCCCTAGGCATTCAATTACAGGAGCCTGTGGGGGCCATTGTTATTCAAACCACCACATGTGGTCATGTTCAAAATACTTGGCAGCATGGGAAGCATTTCCACTGATACAGAGAAATGCACCGCTTGCTTGGGGCCGCCGTAGCCTGTCTGTACCATCGGCCTGAGTGGACAAATTTGAATACCATAGTGGTGGGGAGAGCTAGGCAGATCTGGGTTCAAGTTTCAACTTTATCATGCACCAGCCTTGCGGTCTTCGGTGAGTTACACAACACATACATAGAGGGAGCGGTCACCTTAGTGTCTGCTGCATGGATTCTGTGAGGATAGGGTTCACTTGGAGCAGAGCCCTAGGTTTATGGACAGTCTGTATGTCACAGCTACTGCCATTGTGCTGGGGGGAGAGCTCTTGATTGGCCCCAAGATGGGTGTGAGGGAGGGAGGGAGGGAGGGAGGGAGGGAGGGAGGGAGGGAGGGAGGGAGGGAGGGAGATGGAGAAGTTTACAATGTTGCACACTGTCTCCATACCTCAAGATTCAGACGTAAGAGTACGGTGATAGAGAGATTATTGGTATAGTGCTTTTAAAGTGGTTTGGGGGCTTTGTCTGGGCCGCTCAAGAACACTGTTATCAAATAGAAAAGCAGGGCTGAGGATACAGCTCATGTTGACCCAGCACTACATACAACTGGGCGTGGAGTTGCACACTTGTTATCTCAGCTATGTAGTCCTGGGCTACATGGGGCCCCGTCTCAAAAAACAATGAAATAAAACAGAAGCAAATTAATTAAGGATTTCCTGGAAGGTTTATAGGGTTAGGTAAAAATGACACATTTCAGTGGAAGGCTTAATATTTTAGAAGAAATGCCCAAAGGCTTGTTCCTTGCCCCTCCCCCACCTCCCTTACGCTTGGTGATGTTCTTTACAACTTAGGGGAGAAACGTCTTTTCACATGATTACGTGTTTTGGTGTGGCGATTTCAACTACCGCATCGATCTTACTTATGAGGAAGTCTTCTATTTTGTTAAACGCCAAGATTGGAAGAAACTTATAGAATTTGACCAGTTACAGCTGCAGAAGTCAAGTGGGAAAGTAAGTTGCCCGTTTAAGACATTTCCAGTAACTGTCATGGCGTGGAGTGCCATCTCCTAAGTGCTGGTACTGGTGTGTTGAAACTGTGAGCGGCTTTAACTCTGACTCTGGTGGTGTAGACAGCACGTAGGACCTTGTGAAGTGAGAAAATCAGGAGAGTGCAGTCACAGAGACTGCTGAACTTAACTAGGCTCTGGCCGGCCGCACACAGGGACCCTGTGTCTTGCTGAGGCTGAGGGGCTGTCACTGAAGGATAGCATTCAGCCCAGTGGGAGGAGTGAGGTACTGACTGTCCGCCACCTGTGACGCACTGTCCTATGCTTTAGACGGATGGAGTCAGCTCCTCTAAGGTGCCCCAGAGAGGGTCTGCACTCAGCCGGGGTCACAGTTGCCTTCTAGTGCCCCCCCATACCGTCAGAGCTGTTGAATACTGGTGCGCATGGCCTACCTATTCCAAATGCACTCGCCTGTCCACACACGGGCAGTCTTTTAGGAACTGCTTTGCTTCTGGCCTCAGAAACTACTGGGTGACACTTTGGACTTTACTCAGAATATTTTGGTGCTGTCCCTTTCTTGTTGGTGAGAATGCTAATAGAGTCTTTTTGCACACTTCATTTGTACATAGACTCCTCCAGTGTGTCCTGCACGTTATACTCCTTTTATGAACAAAACAGACTTAAGTTGAACTATGTATCATGCAGTCAGCACTCCGGGTCACCATTTGCTCCAAAATTGTCTCTCACAGAGTGCACATGTGCCACACCATGGCCCAGGCTTCTGAGGTCTCCAAAGGCCATGGCATAAATGACAGGTTCAGGTCTAGCAGTAGTTCTCAACCCATGGGTCAAGACCGCCTTGAGGGTCATGAATCAGCTGTTCTTCGTATCAGATGTTTACATTAGGACTCATAACAGTAGCAAAGAATTACAGTTATGAAGTAGAAGCGGAAGAATTTTGTGGTTGAGGTTCACTACAACATGAGAAACTGTATTTTAAAGGGCCATAGCATCAGGAAGGCTGAGGACCACTGGACTATAGACTTGTCTTCGGTTCCCTAGCAGCCAGCTTCCAGGTATCCACGGCTGGACTGTTGCTTATTTCAAAGCCCTGCTTTCCTAGCAGCAAGTATGTGAGCCTGCCATTTGCCTTTGCGAAAGCAACTAATTAAATGCGGGGGGAAAGAGAAATGAAGGTATCTCTCCCTCCAAAATGTGAGACTCGGCCACCGTATGGGAGTTTGCTCTGCCTAACTGTGAAGTATAGAGATGAGCCCTGTCGCCCTATACTCTTCTTCCTGCCTCTACCTAATTCCCGCTGCCTTCTCTGCTACATCAAGTGATGGAGCTTCTGTATGCCAGTGCTTGAATGCCCAGATGAGCACATAGTGATCTCTGTCCCATGGTCCCTTCTCTGTCTCCAAGGGTGACAGAGGTGTCTGGCAGGGACACAGGAGGGAAGTGAGGTACTGCAATGGGGTGTGTGCGTGTGTGTGTGTGTGTGTGTGTTGTGCGCCCAGCTATTAAAAGACATAAACGAAGCTGGGCATGGTGGCACACGCTTTTAATCCCAGCACTCGGGAGGTGGTGGATTTCTGTGGGTTCGAGACCAGCCTGGTCTACAGAGCGAGTTCCAGAACAGACTCCAAAGCCACAGAGAAACCCTGTCTCGAAAAACCAAAAAACTATATATATATATATATATATATATATATATGTATATATATATGTTCAATATTAGACATATTTGCAAATATAGAGTCTATTGCTTTTTAGAACACTTTGGAATGTACCTCTCCCCCACCCCAAGATAGCCTTGTAATTTCTTTCTCCGAATAGATTTTTAAAGACTTCCATGAAGGAACCATTAACTTTGGACCCACCTACAAATATGATGTTGGGTCAGCTGCCTACGATACAAGTGACAAGTGCCGTACCCCAGCCTGGACAGACAGAGTGCTGTGGTGGAGGAAGAAACATCCGTATGACAAGACAGGTGAGTGCCATTTGCGTGTCGGAGACAAAACGGGGGCAGATGGGAAATGCCACAGGGAAAGAACCAGTCGCTCAGCCCAGGGGCCTGGCGGTGTAGGTCACATTTTTCTCAATTAATCAGCCACACGATAAAGTCATTCCTAGATGTCACCGTCTTTGACCCACCTGTATTCCTGTTCTGCCCTTCATCCTGGGGAGAAAGAGGAGAAAAGTCCTGGGCTAGCCCTCACCACTCCTCACACCACTCGGCCCATTTTGTTCAGCCAAATTCTTGCCTCTGAAAGCCTCAGTTCTAAGTGAAACATGAGCAAGACTGGGTTTTTTTTTTTAATCAGTTAGTTGTGAAGGTATTGGGAAATCATTGATGCCTAGAAGGGAGGCAAAGCTCATCAGAGCTGGTCAACCTTTCATTTAGACCACAAACGGGCTTTTCCACTTTTCAAAAGAAAGGTCTGTGGAGATTTCAAAGCCAGGAAACTAGAGCTTCCAGTAGAAGAGAGAGTTTTTCTTCCAGGTTAGTCTGAGAGCATCCGCATGGGCCCTGGGCACTTAGAGGCAGGGCCAGGTGAGTCCTGGCTTCTGAGCCGCGGCATCTCTCGCCATGCAGACCCCAGGTCTCAGAGGCAGAGGCCTGCTGCAGCCTGGGCCTTAGTTTCAGGCCTGAGCCGGGAATGGGGGGTGCAAGGGTGCCTGGTAATCTTCATATGAAAAACTATCCACCCCAGTCCCAGAGCAGCCCAAACCAAAGTTCAAGCTGGGGGGAGGGGGAGCATAAATGAGCCTGCATCAAGCTCGTTAGGTACAAAGACGTTTTGAGATGTCTTTGCCGCAGGCAGCCTTACTTACGTTCATATGCATGGGTATGGTTTTGTGTCTCTTGTTGGCTGTTGGCTTCTTGAATGGGACCCTGTGAGCAGCTGGAGAACTCAACCTTCTAGACAATGATCTAGACGGTGACACCAAAATCAGACATACCTGGTCTCCAGGAACTCTCAAGTACTACGGCCGCGCAGAGCTGCAGGCATCTGACCACAGGTATGGTCCTCTCTGGGTAGAACACTGGCTCCACTTCCCGTAGGATACCCACACGCGGTTCCTATAAGGATTCAAGTGAGAGTGTGTGAGTGTGAGTGTGTGTGTGTGAGTGTGTGAGTGTGTGAGTGTGTGTGTGTGTGTGTATGAGGGACAGCCTGTGTACCTACCATTGGGAAGTAATAATTGTTAGCATTTTGTCATTGTTCTATATCATAAATGATGTCACTTATGAAGATTTCAAAGATACACCCTGTCCAGTGTTGTATCTTTGAAGCGTTCCCAACCGCTGCACTGCACAGCTGGCTTTCCTGGTAGTTTTCAAGCTGCACCCTGTGCAGCTCACAGATCTGGTCCACTCCTTTGCAGCCACCGTCCGGCTCTGAGCAGAGCCACGGGACTGCCCCATTCACCTACAGATGACACTTTTCATGCAGTGTCTGTGTTGTGCCAAACGCCATTCAGTTTTTGTATCTGGGGTTCGGGTTGTTAGACACTCTGAGATGTCATTTACCCTCAGCCGCTGTGGGCTAAGAATGGAAGGAGACAGCAGATGGTGTGAGGGGAGAGGGCAGCCCGACGGTAGCCCCTGGGGGCATTTATTTGCTGTTGAACACCTTACAAGAAATGGTAGAAGATAGCATAAAACAGTGCAAGTGAGGGAGATTTAATTCTCCTGCAGTTTCTACCAGTATTGTCTAAGTGCGGGGGGAGGGAGGGAGGGGGAGGGAGGGAGGGGGGGACGAGGAGAGTGGTAAATGTGGGTCACCCAGTGAGTCGGAACTGTCCTAGTTTCTGGCATTTCCTCATAATCAAATCCTAGAAATGAGCTCTCCTCACAAAAAGGGACGGTGCTTTGAGACTCTTAGCATGGGTTGCCATGGAACCATGTGGAGAACTTGTGCTCCAGGAGATGCGATGCCTAGGACTGGCAGCCTGTGAGTTCACGGCTAGCAGCTCAGGGGGACAGAGGCAGGTCGGAGGCTGGGGTGTGACACCCGCCTAGGCCAACTGTTCACTACCGTTTTCTCCTCATGCCTGATGCAGACCTGTGCTGGCCATCGTGGAGGTGGAGGTACAAGAGGTTGACGTGGGAGCCCGGGAGAGGGTTTTCCAGGAAGTGTCCTCCGTCCAAGGCCCGCTGGATGCCACTGTTGTTGTGAACCTTCAGTCCCCAACCCTAGAAGAGGAGAATGAATTTCCCGAGGACCTGCGCACAGAGCTTATGCAGACATTGGGGAATTATGGGACGATTATTCTGGTCAGGTAACCCTCCCCTCAGATGTATGTTCTGGGGTGTCAGCAGGATCCTGGACAACTGCATTAAGTTCCAGTGTTTACTGGCTCATCTCTCTCATAGGATCAACCAAGGGCAGATGCTGGTGACCTTTGCAGATAGCCACTCGGCTCTCAGTGTGCTGGACGTGGATGGTATGAAGGTGAGTAGCTCGGGCCAGTGCCCTACCTGTGTGGCGCCACGGTGCATAGCAGCTGGGATTCTCCGTCTGGGTCTTGTGTTCCGCTTGCGGAAGCTGGAAGCGTGGTTCCTGCTGAGCCTTTGCTCCCACCCGATGGAGAGTGCTTTCCTCCTTTCTCCTAAGACTGCTTAGGGGTGTGCAGCTCACACCTAGTTTCACTGTGATAAGAACTGGGTTTAAATTTGCAAAGGAGAAGCTAGAGGCGCTAGTTCAATTTCTATTCCAACCAAATGTGTGTGAGCCATACTGAGCTCACCTGAGGTCCAGACTTTGGGTTCCCTTAGCAAAGTGATGAATGCACAGGTTGGAGAGAGAAGCATTTTGTGACTCAAGCGAACTGGTGACTTCTTTGTTCTCGCTTGCTGGTCGGCCCCCCAGGTGAAAGGCAGAGCCGTGAAGATACGACCTAAGACGAAGGATTGGCTGAAAGGCTTGCGAGAGGAGCTCATTCGGAAGAGGGACAGCATGGCCCCCGTGTCTCCCACCGCCAACTCCTGCTTGTTGGAGGAGAACTTCGACTTCACGAGTCTGGACTATGAGTCAGAAGGTGAGTGACCCTGTCAGGAAGGACAGGCAAAGAGTTCTAGTTGATGGGCAGGCCTTGCCCAAAACCCCACCGAGGACATGTCAAGTGTGAAAGTTGCATCTGTGCATTAGCTGTGGGTCACATCCATATGTCCCAGTGGTCACACATGGGGTGATTCGGGGAAGTGGAAAGGGACAAGGTGTCCTCGCGTATATTAACGGGGGCTCAGAGGCTGTCGGCGAAGGGCATGAACTGAGGTGGGAAGTTGGCCTGGGGACCTGGCTGGCTCCCATGGCTGCTGGAAGAGTCTCATAGAATTCTTGTGTTAGTTACGTTGGCTTCACTGTGTCCAAATTCCCGACACAGAAAAAGAGGAATCCTTCATTTTGACTCGCAGCTCATAGGTCCGTAGCTGTCTCAGTGAGGGTTCCCATTGCTGTGGTAAAGCTCCATGACCAACCAAAAGCAACTTGGGGAGGCCAAGGTTTGTTTCAGCTTACAGTTCCACACCACAGTCCATCATGGAAGGAAGTCAGGCAGAGCTCGAGGCAGGAACTGAGGCAGAGGCCGTGGAGGAGTGCTCGTGACTGGCTTGTGCCCCATGGCCTGCTCAGCCTGCTTTATTATAACGTCTAAGACCATGGGCACCTGGGCCAGGCAGACCCTCCCACATCAATCACCAGTTATGGATATGTCTCCCAGACTTATCTGTAGGCAATTTTAGGGAATCATGTTCTCGATTGAAAGTCCTTCTTCCCAAATGACTCTAGCTGATGTCACATTGACAGAAATCTAACTAGAACAATAGCCTTTGGCTCTGTTGACTCTGGGTCTTGACTCTGGCAAGGCGTGTCCTTTGTGGCATGGGAGCATGTGACAGTGGCTACTCCCCTCCCAGTGCACAAGAAGCAGAGAGAAAATACCAGTGTCATCTTTTATTCTGGCTGGGTCTCCAAGCCAAGGGATCAGCATGAGCCTTCTTTCCCTATCTACTCCTCTCTGGACACGTCCCCACAGATACCATCTCATAGGTAATAACAGTGAAGCCAGTGCTTGACAGCCAGCAAGACAGCCCCGCTGGTGGAAGGCTGGCCTCTGTATCCTGATTACTCTCACCCTCGTGTGACTTGCTCTTCCTCAAAGGGGATGTTGTAGAAGATGACGAAGACTATTTAGTGGACGAGTTTGGCCAGCCTGTGGTCTCAGACGGTGAACTTGGCGGAGACGACTCTTCTGATATCATGAGCTCCTCAGCACCTTCCAGCAAATCTCCTGCACTATCTAAAAAGAAGCAACATCCAACATACAAAGGTAGCTGCTCCCCCACTTTCTTGGGGTGGGGATGGAACAGTGTCCTCTTTTTTCCAGTGTGTGCCCCCCATGACACATCTACCCAGAGATGTGGGTCCTGTGTCCTTTGTGTACTCAAGGGGTCACAGCTCTCTAGAAGCTGGTTTTACGTCTGTGACTTTGTCCCACAGTACTTTTCTGACTGAATCTCTGAAGAGATATATTCAATATCGACACACCCTGATACGTTGTCTCATTCACATAATGTCGTATTATACAGTGGCATCATTACATTTTAGAATGTGGGGGATGAATTCATATCCTGGATTAAATGGCAGAGGGTTAGATTCAGTTGACTCTGGTCTATCCAAAATTTCCCACCTGCCCTCCACTGTCAGTCACTATGTCCCTAACTGGAGAGAAGCATTAGCCAGCAGGTTCAAGACCTCTATGTCCCTAACTGGAGAGAAGCGTTAGCCAACGGGTTCAGGACCCTTGAGCTAAGGCTGGAGACGTAGAGCGTGGCTGACCTGTAATTAAGGGGTTTCCTGTCAAGAGAGAGGTCCAAAGACCCCCATATGTCTCTGTGACTAGATAATGGTCCTGGGGCCGATCGGTACTTGCCACTCCAGCAGCGCTGGTTGGTTTGGACATCTTGCGATTCAGATTTGGCAAGGCACGTGGGGCAGTTCTGGTGGATGACACCAGGTCAGCATCAGTGGCCTTTCCGTCCCCTGCTCTTCTCTCCTACAGCGTTGGCCACTCTGGATCTTCTCAGAGGAGTGTCCCACGGCCAGCCATGGGCATTGGGAAGTGGCTAGCTGAAGCTTCTAGTATCCAAGAGCTAGCGAGGAGGGAAACTCTCTCAGCTTCCAAATCAGCAGTCACGTTTTAGAATGAGGAATTAGACTCTCCTCCCTACGGTGGGGTGCAGCTCAGCAGCTCTGGTTTCGCTGTGACGTTTGCTTGTGTAGATGAGTTGCCTGATCCTTTGGGAAGGAAGTGGGTCTGTGCTCTGAAACACGCCAGGGTTTCTCAAGTCTGGGAAACCAGGCTCACAGTTGATGGAGTGTTCCAAGCAGGCATTGGGTATATCCTCACCCCCACAGAGGGGCTGTCACTTCTGAATCGGACTCGCTGGGTATCCCGTGAGGCTTCGCCTCCTATGGTGAGCGTGCTCTGCGCACAAAGCCCTTTCTAGCCCTTGCATTTGGAAGAGACCGTCTTTCTCACAGCTGCCATGTCCTCCAGACGATGCTGACCTGGTGACGTTAAAGCAGGAGCTGGAAGTTGTTGGGGATGTTCGCCACCGTTCTCCGAGCAGGTCCCTGTCTGTCCCCGGTAGGCCTCGGCCACCTCACCCACCACAGAGACCCCCCCCTCCAAGTAAGACTTTGCTTGCTCTGAGCTTGCCACAATGCCTGCTGGGAATAACCTCACACCTCCTGCTACTGAAAACACAGCTCTAGACTGCTGCTCCTCCCCCACCCTGCACCCCCCAGGGCTCCTTGTCCAAGTCTAGGTAGTGTCCCCTGTAGGAGGTCATTGGCTTCTCAGGGCAAAGCCATTATAAGGCTGTTCATTCAGGAACTTGGCTTTTGCTTCCAGACACCTTAAATTTGAAGCCGTTAACGTAGAAATGGCCATAGCCTTCCGAGGGAATTTTTCTAACCTTTCAGTCAGGCGCTTGTTTCTTTGACAGAAGCCCAGACCTGCTCTTTATGAATCTGGTTCACCCAGAGACCCAAGCATGCATGCCGCTAGCCCAGGCCATGATCCACCTCCTACTTCTGTATTTCTCGCTCTTTAGGGATGAGCCCTGTTTTATCCAGGCTCTCCCAGGATGCTGGTCCAGCCCCTCTTGCTATGCTTCTCCCATCAAACTTGCCTTAATTTCAAAATAACCTTGTGGCTTGCTTCTGATTTGTTTCTGTTTTATACTGTCACAGTTTTCTTTCCCCCAAACCGTGAGAGTCAAACACAGACTTTTCTAAGCCATTCCTTTCAAAATCTGGTTTGCCCATAGCTAATGTATAGCAGTAATCAGTGTCAAACTACAAGTGTTTCTCCACTTTTGTGAAATAGAAATGATAATTTGTGACTGGAGACTGCTGCAAGAAGGGGAAGAGTTTAGGGCCAGTACAGTCTACTTAGTGAGACTGTGTCTCAAAAAGGGTAAATTGAAAATCATTTAAATAAAATTTACATGTCATACTATTTTAGAGCTTTAATAAAAAATAAAGAATCATAGAGAAGAATCAAGATTTTAAAAGTTACTTGGCTACCTACAGTAACAGTTTTAATCAAAAACATTTCCATTGTCTTTCCAGTTGTATACATGGGCATTTGTACACTATCTTAAAAGAAAAAAATTGAAGGGCTGGAGTTGTGTGCCAGCTTAATTTTCGTAAAGAACTGGATTCTATCCCTAATTCTGCCCAAAAGAAAATTTTAACAAATTGTTATCGTTTTTGCTTGGTCATTTGTTTTTTTTTGTTTTTTGTTTTTTTTTTTTTTGTTTCACTGTGTCATTAATTATTCGTTAGTGGCTAAAAGCAAAATGTAACATAATTTATTTCACTTGAGTTGGGGACTCCAGGACTTTTATCGCCTCTCAGACATTTAAAAAAATGTTTTAGGGCTGGGGAGATGGCTCAGCGTGTAAAAGCACTTGTCACGCGTGCCTGATGGCCTTCCCGCTGTGGTGTGCTCTGTGCACCTCACCACACCAGAATTCGTGTCAAAAGCACGCGCTGGAGTGCTGTCTTTAATTCCAGCATCCTTCCTACATGTTGTGGGGAGGAGGAGAAAGGGGAATCCCCAGAAACCTGACAGCCAGCCCTCCTAGAGTGTAGTGCATGCAGTGGGAGATCAGCCTCAAGCAAGTTGGAAGATAAGGACCCACACCCAAGGCCATCCTCTGTCCTTGCACGTGTGCGGTGGCATGGGCACGTCCTCATATACAAACAGATACTTTGTACACACACCTTCAGACACACCCAGACACACATACACCATTGTTTAACGACAGCATTTGAAATGGATTGGTCCTGATGATAATGTGCTTTAAGCCACTCAAACATTAGTGGGTTTGTATAGAAGATTAGAAACCCCTTGTGTGTTGGATTTAAATTTGCATTTCAGTCCTGCTACCCTAGACAGTCTGTATCAATAGGCCAAGCTAGAGAACCCAGGAAAACTGTTTGTTTCTTGTGGTGCTGGGGATGGAGCCTGGGGCCTCATCCTTGCTGTGTGAGCGCTCTGCTGCTAACCCACTTCCCCAATGGGGCCTGCCCTGAGCAGTCTGTATGGCTTGTGCACTCCCAACCATGGCTGTGTCTGCCTTTGCTGCTGCCGCCTCCCAACTTCTTGTCGTGGCTGGCATGTCACCAAGTCACTGAAGCTGATGCTCTGTCTTCTCACAGCCGGTTTAGTGGTGAAGAAGTCAGCCTCAGATGCTTCCATCTCCTCTGGCACTCACGGGCAGTATTCAATCCTGCAGACTGCGAAACTTCTTCCAGGAGCACCTCAGCAACCAGTGAGTCCTGGGGCTCCCGGGGAAGTGGTTAGCTTTGTCGACCCTGAGGGAGTGCCCCACCCCAAGGTCATGCGGGTCACGCCTTGTCGAGGAATATGTAACTCTTGTCCCCTTAACCCTCTCCCTGCCCATCACTCATCCAGAAGCCCTAACACTTGGTTGCAGCTTCTTGACATTGTTGTTCTGAGCACTGCGGAAGACACTTGGGATAAACAACCCCCAGTGTCCCTGCGGAGCAGACTGCCCGCTTCCAGACTCCTCTTTCGTGCCTTGGCTGTTCTCAGCTTCCCCTAGATCTATAGGGCATTGAGTGGTAAGGAAAAGGGAAAATTCAGATGTGTTGGCCGTTTCGGTGTAAGGGTAGAGGACCCCTGGGCCTGAGCCCTGCTGAAGCTTGGTTCTGAGGAATCGCAAGGGGAGAAGGCAGGGGGACTCCTCTGGAGGAGTCCTAGCACTGATGGACATGCAGATGGAGGTCAGTGGCCAGGAAGTGAAGTTGGCGAGCTGGGCCAGGCTGGCGTATGCAGCCAAGGCAGGCTGGAATGTATGGTAATGGAAGTGGCTCTCGGGTGACCCGGGTGCTGAGTGAAGAGGTCGAAGGTTCTGTTAGGAAATGAGAACCCAGGAGAGGAGGCGTTTTCATATCCACACGGATCAGGGAAGGCGTGGCCTGAGACTGTGTGCTCCAGCTCTGCCTGGCTATGGAGCGTTACATTACAAAAGCCCTGTCTGTTACCACCCTGTTTGTGAGCCTTTATTGCTTTCCTATTCTTGGGGCGGGGGGGTAGAGAAGGCCATTGAGAGACGTGGTTTAGACTTAGTGGGCATGTACATGGCCTGATGGGGTTCTGCATAGCTCACAGTCACATGTGGGCCACCTGCCACCTCTACAGATAAGCAGGTGATGTACACTCTGTGTGCTTGTGTTAATCCGTGTTTCTTCCCAACTCTGTCCTCAAGCCCAAGGCTAGAACTGGAATAAGTAAACCTTACAACGTCAAGCAGATCAAAACCACCAATGCTCAGGAGGCAGAAGCAGCGATCCGGTGTCTCCTGGAAGCTAGTGGAGGTAGGCTGTCTTGGGAACCACCTCCCTGGCCAAAAGGGAATGCCGAGTCCCATTTCATCCTCTTACTGGTAGTGGCCTAGAAACGACCTGAGTCTGTGCTCTCTCTCTCTCTCTCTTTCTCTTTCTCTCTCTCTCTCTCTCTCTCTCTCTCTCTCTCTCTCTCTCTCTCTCTCTCTCTCTCTCTCTCTGTCTCTCTCTCTCTGTCTCTCTCTCTGTCTCTCTCTGTCTCTCTGTCTCTTTCTGTCTCTCTGTCTCTGTCTCTCTCTCTCGATGTAATAATAATTTATAGTAGCCTTTAGTATTTTATTTACTTGTCTTTGATATGTTTTCCACTTACAATTATATACTCAAAATTCAGGAAGTATATAAGCTCATGATGATTAGACAACATTTTAGAGATAAACAAATGAAACTTTTTTTTTGGTTTACAAGACAGGGTTTCTCTGTGACTTTGGAGCCTGTCCTGGAACTAGTTCTTGTAGACCAGGCTGGTCTCAAACTCACAGAGATCCACCTGCCTCTGCCTCCCAAGTGCTGGAATTAAAGGCATGCACCACCACCGCCCAGCTTCAAATGAAACCTTTGTAAAGGTTAATGTTGGGCTAGTGAACCCGATGACCTGAGCTCAGTCCAGGACTCATGTGATGGGAGGAGAACTGATTACCCAGTTATCTTGTGACATTCCCAAGTGCAGCGTGGCACTTCTGTGTCCCTCCACATACGATAAATATACAAATATAAACATGTTTGGGAAAAGGTTAGAGTTGTAAGAAGTCATCCAATTTGCCAGCTGGGTGACAAAGAACCATTGTGTATTCTGTCCCTGCTGCAAACACAAAATTCACCTTGTACATTGTGGGCAAGTGTAAATAAAACTTGTGCTCCAGGCTGGGCCATCTCCCCCTCCACACTACTGTTAATTTTCTGTCGCTCCTCACTGAACCCTCCTTGTCCTACTTGGAAGCTTTTTCTCCCGTTCTTTTCTTTTCTATCACTGCTACTAACACTGCTGTTTTGGTTTTGGACTATAATCCAGAATCCCTTTTGGAGAGGAGAGATTATACCCTTTGTAAAGAAATATGGGTATATTATAACAGCCCAATTGTATTATCCACGGTCTTCATCTGACTTGGGATTCTCGGTGCTCTAAAGGAGGGCAGCGGGTCCGGGTTAGAAACCTGAGAAACATTGTTGAAGGATTATTACACAGTCCAGGTGGTTTTGTTTTTTATTAACTGATAAATGAATAAAAATACAGTGCATTCATACAGCGGAGTATCAGTCAGTCGTGGAAATGCAGTGGCACATATTACATAACAGTAAGGGTAAGCCTTAGAAATGTTACACTGAGTGAAAGAAGCCAGACATGCAATCACAGACTGTGTTATTCCACACATACATGATGTCCGTGGAGACACAGAATCACATGTGTTATCCCACACGTACACGATGACTGTGTTGGGTAGACCCACAGACTGAAAGCTGTAAGGAGGAAGAAAGAATGGGTTTCCTTTTGACAGAACAAAAATGCTGTGGAATTGGTTAGTGTTAATGCCTGTGCTGCTCGGTGGATACATTAAAAACCATTAAAATGGGAAACTTTTAAGGTAGGGAGCTATATTTTGGTGACACATGAAGTGCAGACAGCTCTAGAGACACACGTTGGTGACATTTCGAAGTTTGCAGTCTGCCACCATCTCCATGTGACACTGTCTTGTCCACGCTCCCGTTGAGGTTCTGTTGCCTGTGGGTCGTCTTCCTTGAGAAACATCTGACACTTTCTGTCTGGAATCGTGGTCTTACTGGTCTTTCCTCAGGTCCCGTGGGTCCCAGGCCCCCACCCCTGAGAAGGAGGTGACTGTGCGCTATGGGGCCAGACCTGACTGTCTAGTACTGAGCAGCTCTAAAGACCTCTCTGTAGCTGAAGTAAACATAATTGGATTCCTATGGCTCTGAGGGGTAGCCTCTCTAAATGGTAGGTCGTGCGGTGGATTCCATCGCCTCCCGCTTGAACTGAGTGATTTTGTTTCAGGTGTCCCAGAACTGGCCCCAGGTGCCATGCCCCTGAGAGACCAGGGGTCTTCTAAGCCGGAGACCTCCCTGGACCCCCCAGTCCTCCCCCGCCGGCCTGCTCCGAGGGTTCCTGCCATCAAAAAGCCAACGTTGAGGAGGACAGGAAAGGTAAGAAGCCAAGACATGGGAGCCACTCATTCCAAGGTGGCTCAAGGCCTTGTTACATAAAGTCTTGTCAAGGACAGACATGAAGTTGTATTTGGTTTCTCTACCCACCCACCTGCACCCCGGACTTAGCCAAGTCTAGAGGGAAAAACAGCTCGTTTGGCAACTGCTTTTCCCTCCTCTTCCTGCTGCATCTTGGCCTCAGCTGAGCAGAACAAGGAGCTCACTGTCCTTTGCAGGTTCTCACTCAGACAGAGAGGCCGCGTCCTGAATGATCCCAGTTCACAGGGAACTGCCACAGGTGCTTTCTGCCCAGTGGTCCAGTGCTGCTGTTTGTGTGTGGTACATGCATGTGGTTTCACATGCATAGACTAAATGCATTAGACAAGCCCTCACGGGGCCCAGGGAGCATGGCTCAGTGGTCCAGTGCTGCTGTTTGTGTGTGGTACATGCATGTGGTTTCACATGCATAGACTAAATGCATTAGACAAGCCCTCACGGGGCCCAGGGAGCATGGCTCAGTGGTAAGAGCACTTGCTGCCCCAGCCTGACGGCCTGAGTTGGGATCCCATCATCCACGTAAAAAGTACCATACAGGTGTACATGTACCTGTAACCCCAGAGATGTAGAGGGCAGAGGCAGGAGGATTGCTGGGGCTCAATGACTGCCAGCCTAGCTCCAGATTCAGTGAGAGACTCTGTCTCAAAGGAATAAGGTGGGGAGGATTAAGGAGGACATCCCATCTCCTCCAGACCTCCCTGTAAAGGGGTACTACTCCACACACCCCCACAGAGGCTATTACACATCAAACCTCTCTCTCTCTCTCTCTCACACACACACACACACACACACACACACACACACACACACACACACACACACACAGAAAAACTATAGCCAGCAGGCTCACAGGGAGGGCGTGGTCTCCCACAGGCTCACAGGGAGGGCGTGGTCTCCCGCAGGCTCACAGGGAGGGCGTGGTCTCCCGCAGGCTCACAGGATGTGGTCTCCCGCAGACCCAACAGCTTCTCACCACTTTCCTTGCAGATTGTTTTCTGCTCTGGCTCGCAAGCTTCTCAGCCTTGCTTATTGCTGCAGAGACATGAGTTTGTAAGGACAGTAGCTGCACAGAGACTGACACCTGTAGATACCTCTGGATCTTCTGTTTGATCCCAGTTCTAGGAGCGGGCCACTTGGTAATCCCTGCCAGGGCACCATAGAGTGACTATTGCTTTTCCAGCCTGACCAGCGTGAGAGGTCGCTCTGGCATGCGCCTACGTACTTATTAAGTTCGCTTTCTGTCTTCTGAGTTGTGCATCTTGTCCTGCTGCATTGGCTTGGTGCCGCCTGTTCATTTTCCACGCTTTGTGGCAGAATGAACTCCCCCTCCTTTCTTGTCTGCAGGAGCAGGGTTTGGTGGTTTCTTCAGTGGCTGCACGGGGATTTTGGTACGAGGCTGGTGGAGAAGGCTTATGCTTCCTGTTGGTTTCTTTCTTAAAAACAAAAGGAAACACTGGACCTGGACCTGGCTTAACTCCCCGGCCCCATCTGTACCAAAGCTTCCCTTGGCACCATGTAGTTTAAAAGCAGAGCTAAACAAGGGGGTCCCTGTGTGAAGTTCTCCCCCCTCCTTCTGTATCGAAATACAAAAGATCCAAGGAGAAAGGAGAGCCGTTAGTCCTTCCCGCTGCAACGGGTTCCCTCCCAGGGCGCCACGGTGCATGTCGAATCACCTGCTTAGGCCTGCAGCCTCCTCATGAGTGTTCCAGAAGGCTTCTCACTGAACGAGGGGAGAACATAGCCCCATTTTGTCAGGCAACCAAGACAACGTCTTTGTAAATTACCCACTGTGGCTCTGGTTTTAAACCTCTAGTGGTCCAGTGCCCATGCTGGCCCATGTGCTTCTCCTGGACGTCCTCATACCCCGTGGCTCCACTGGCTCCCAGTCTCTAACTGGTTGCCTCGGCCTCCCCCATCTCTATCCCCTACTGAGTGTTGTCTGGGTGCCCACTCCTTACGTTCCGGCTCCACATTTACACTCTTCCTTGCCTCTTCTCAGCCCACCTCGCCAGAAGAACGGTCTGAACAGCAGCCCGTCCATTTTACAGTCGCTCCCAAGGAAATGAGCCGTGAGACCCCGCTCCCCACAGCAGCCCCTCAAGCCCTGCCTGTTCCCAAACCAAGAACATTTCTGCCTGGGAAAGGGACCGAGAGGAGGCCCAGCAGCGGCAAGACAGCACTCGATGAAGCTCCTCCCATGACAGGTGCTGCGGAGGCCCCGCCTCTGGAGGCCCCGCCTCTGGCTCCCAAGGTGCCCCCGAGGAGGAAGAAGTCGGCACCGGCTGCATTCCACCTGCAGGTGCTGCAGGACAACAGCCAGCTTCTCCAGGGCCTCACGTGCCCCAGCAGCTCTCCGCCCCCGCCACAGCCCGAAGCCTATGCGTTCTGTCCGCAAGGGGGTCTTCTTGGCACCTCGTCTGCCGTAAGCGCTGAAACCGATGACCCCAGAGTGGCGGAGCCCAAGGCAGTCTTCTTCCATGGTGATGATCCAGATCCCTTCTGGAGCCTTCTCCACCACCCCAAGCTGTTGAATAATAATACCTGGCTATCCAAGAGTTCGGACCCTTTAGACTTGGGGCCCAGGAACTCTGAGAGGACACATGGAGACCCGGCACAGGTCAGCACCTCTGTGGCTGAGAGGGGGCTCCCACCAGACCATGGGGGAAAAGACTTCAGTCACTGGGTGACGGCCAGTAACAAAGACAAGAGGACGACATTAGGCGTTTGATCTGTGGGCAAGGACATGCCCTGCCGACTTTGAAGTCACTCTCGTTCCAGATGTTCCTCGTGTGGGCACCGCTTGTCTGCCCCTCGTGTGTGGTTTATAGAAGCTGTCTCCTAGTCAGTATAGTTGTTCAGCAGTCACCAAAGTGATTCATTCAAGACCTGTGCATTCTAAGCTTGCTCTCAGGGGAATAGGATATGTGCCGTAGGATTCAGCATTTGAAATTTAAAGGAAAGAAATCTAGCTGCCCAAGATGCTCTCACCCACTGGATCTTAAATGGTTGTTCAACTTAATGTGTGTACGCCGTTTGCTTGTTATTTTTGTTTGTGTCTTACAGACTCGGGGTAAGTGGTAGGTTCATAAAGCATAACATTAAAAGCAGTTGGGACCATTAAGAGCTGTTCTGGCCCACTTTAAGCCAGGCTAAGGAAGAAAAAAAAATCAGGTTGAAAACAGCAGATAGGTCAACAGCATGCCCCGACCTCCATTCTCGTGAGCCCCTTTTTATGGAGTTGTCCTTCATAGCTGCAGGAGCTGCTGCTCCAGCTCAGCAGAGGGAGCTCGTCTGCACGGAGCATGCGTGTGTTCAGTATTCTATAAACACTACGGTGTAACAGGTGAGTCATCTGAACACAGCTGCACACCTACAAGAGGATGTATAGGGACTATACAAATACTGTGCCACTGGGGACTTGGCCATCTAAGGATTTGGGACACCTCAGGGTGTCCTGGAATAGATCTCCCACAGACACTCAGGCAACTCCCTGTGGGTATTAACTTTGATGATGTATGAGTGCTGTGGCAGCTGGTGGCAATGCCAGCTTGGGTGTCAAGTGTACACCATGAGCTAACCCTCCTTCAGATACGGTCCTGTACATGGCCATGGCCTTGAATTATGGTGTGCTGCATAAGCCAATTTATATTCACCCCCTGGATGAAACCTCCATGTCGTCCATGTCCCATAAAAGCACAAAATGGGAAAACTCGTGCTGGGCCACAATGACTGATTTTCATTGGTGTAGGGTATGATGTCTTCAAGGAGTGTGCTACATGACTCTGTAAGGGAGCGCCTCCGGGGCATGGAGTGTGCTACATGACTCTGTAAGGGAGCGCCTCGGGGACATGGAGTATGGGCTTGGAATCTGGGTCTGTTTGTTCTCCCCATTTTCATGCATTTCTCATACTTCTCTCCAAGAACTGACAAAGACACCACGATGCTGCTTTATATTTTAAAAATATTGTGGGCCCTAGACTCTATTTGAAGCAGGTATCACATTTTTGTGTGTGAAAAGTTCATTAGCTGAAAAAGACCAGGAGTTAGGAAGGTCACAAGATCAAGACCAACCTGGGCGACAGAGCAAGGTCCTTTTCCAGAAAGAAATTCATCAGCAAATCTTATTATGGCAGCTTCCATACTTAGGAGTCTTTCACATCATAGACTCACACAGCAATGCCCGGTGCTGTCCTGCAGTGGACGCTGATGGTTGGGATAGTCAGGGCCATTTCACCTGGGGCATGTCATTCACTCTTCTACCCACCAGACTGCTGGGATCTCAGAAGTTATTTTGTGAATTATTTAAACCTGGCACTCAGCAACAAAACTCCAAGTGTCTACATTCATCTGAAAACTGATGAGAGAAAAAGGAGCCACTGACTTAGAAATTGAGTAGATAATATGCATATTTAGTACTTATAAAAGAGGGTATGGGGCTGGAGAGATGGCTCAGCAGTTAAGAGCACTGGCTGCTCTTCCAGAGGACCTAGATTTGAATCCCAGCACCAACATAGTGGCTCACAATCATCTGCGGCCCCAACCCCACAGGATCCAATGTTCTTTTCTGGCCTCTGAGAGCACTGTGTGCTCAGATGTACAGGCAGGAAAAACAATAAACATAGATAAAGGAAAAAGATGGTGTGGAGATGATACAAGTGCTTTCTGTGGCGTGCAGGCACTTGGTAGAGGGTTATGTGGTTCACCTGGAATGTTCTACAAACAAAAACCTAGACTGCATCAGAGGAGGCAGTGAGGTGGGCTGCCTGAAGACGTTCAAGGGTCGGCCACGGTGTGTCTTCCCACGAGTGCAGTCATGGTGGAAGACTCTTTGTTTTTTGGTTTGTTGTTTGTTAACTCAGATGCCCTCTTCCTTTATGTGCCTTCTTTTCCCTCCACAGAGGAGGTGAATTTGGTGGCAGATAAATGCAACCCCCAGTCAGAAAGGCAGCAGCAGGGAGGTCAGCCCCACAGGGTGGCCTGTGGTGAGGGAAGAACTCCAGCCTGTAGTTTTCTTCCTCGTCCTACACAGGGGAGGACAGGCGCAGGAGCCCGTACCCACGCGCCAGTGCCCCTCAGAGAAGCAGCCCCTCCCGGGAGTCTGAAAGTGAAGAATCCACACCCAGGACTGTGGGCCAAAAGGAAAAGTGTCGCGTTAACAATCGAAGAATCCGGGCAGTGGTATCACACGCCCGTAATACCAGCACTCAGAAGGTAGAGAGGCAGGCGGATCTCTGTGAGTTCAAGGCCAGCCTGGTCTACATAGTTCCAGGACAGACCCTGTCTCAAGTGGGGGGGGGGGGGAGAAGGACAGTTGGAATTACCTTACTTTTAAAACAGCATCAATTACGAGTTGGAGGATGGCTTAAGCCAGTAACAGTAGAGTTGCATAACTTCAGCAATGAGCGACCGCCACCCGGAAGACTTCATTCTGTTCTGGGTTTGGTTTGGGTTTTGGTTTTGGTCTGCCTCAGTTAATGAGACCGCATGTAGCCACTGCTTTGAAACATGCTCCAGTTCGCAGTATTTCAGGTATGATACTGACATTTTCACATGGTCTCTCTGACCCTAGGAGAGCCTCTTTTTAGGCTTCCTACATATTAAAAAAAAAAGTGACTGAAATTAGGAAATCTCAAGAAACTTCTACAGAGGTTTAAAGTTGCTGAAGTTTGAGATATTAAAAAAAAAATGTCCCTAACATGTATAAGGGAAGCCATGTGCTAAAACATTGGCTTCAGAATGGCCATTTCGTTGGGAAGGAAAACTGAAAATTATACCCAGAGACTAGTAATAAGTCTGCAGTGTGTGCTGAGTTGGTAATTTGTCCTAATGTTGGATATGTTATTAATCATCCCTGTCTTTTTAAAATTGGAGTTCCTTTCAGATATGAAGAGAACTCGGGACTCATCTCTGACCAGCCTTCCACTACATCAAATGTAATTGCTAATTCTTTTTTCTTTTGCTTTTTTCAAGACAGGGTTTCTCTGTGCAGCCCTGGCTGACCCAGAACTCGCTCTGTAGACCAGGCTGGCCTATACATCACATAGTTCGCCTGCCTCTGCTTCCCGAGTGCTGGGATTAAAGGTGTGTGTCACCATGCCCAACTGCAATCGCTAGTTGTTGCTGTGTGATGTTTTGCTATTCAATAATCAAACACTTTAGAAATAGGAGAATAAGGTTGAGAATTTTGGCTTCAGAGCCCAAGGGGTGGCTCAGTAGCCAGAGGCACTTGCTGCCAAGCCTTAAGACCTGAGTGTGATTTCCAAGACTCACTAGTGGGTGGAGGGAATAACTTTAAAGTCGTCCTCTGACCTGTGGTGTGTGCACATGCCCGCACACACGGAAACTAAATGTAAAGAGAAAAAAAGCCTAGAATGTATCGTGTGAAAGCGGCTTTCAGGGACCACACACGGGAGTTAGGCACCACTGTGTGTGAGACTTGGAGAGCCTAGACTCTGTCTTCTCAAGGCCTTTAAGGCAGACTGAGGAATGGATTAACTGTGTATATATACATTTCTCACAGAAACAGATGGGAGTCTGTACTCTTTAAATTCTGCCCATGTCTGTGATGGTGCACATCTTAATCCCAGCACTCAGGAGGCAGGCACAGGCAGATATCTGTGAGTTCCAGGCCAGCTTGGTCTGCAGAGTGAGCTCCAGGACAGCCAAGACTGTTAATGGAGAAACCTTGTCTCAAAAAAAAAAAATTTGCCCATGTTTTCTTCTAAACTGATTAGTCATAAAATACAGTGACTAATGTCACGTTTCTCAGGAGTAAGACTATACTGGTCATCTCAAAGTGGTAAATCAGGAAGAACTCGCTTTGTCTGTGGACTTGGACTTGGCCAAGGAAGGGACAAGCAGACTGCAGATTCCTTGTTCCAAAGTGGTAGGAGCTGGACTCAAACTCACTGCAATGCAAACTATTGCCTGGGAAGGAGTGATGCCAATGATAGAAATAGAGTTCCCATATGGCACCTTCCCCCACAGGTAGCACCCCCACTGATACTCTGCAGCTGATAATCCACACCCGATGCCATTGCCTCTGATGGCCTTGGCTTCCCATTAGGCCTCACTGCACTGTGCATCCTAAGGTGTGAAGACACATGGTCTACCATTTCTACCAGTGCGTTACTGGACCTGTTTCACTGCCCTAAACGGAACCTTGCTCCTATGCATCTCCCAATCCCAGGAACTCGGTCCCTGTCCGTTGTTGCCCTCTGTAGAATGTCAGATTTGCAGTCATATTGTATGTGGCTTTTCCATGCTGCCATTTTAACCCAGTGACAGGAATGTAAGGTCCCTTCCTGTCATTTCATGAGATGACAGCACGTTTCCTCATAGTACTGAGTTTTCTGTCAGGATGAACCAATCACCAACTGAAGATCATGGTGGCTCCCAGGCTTTGTCAATTGTGGATGAAGGGGTTTGTGTGAGCATAATTTCCACTCGCCTGATTACATACCAAAGCTAAGAATGAGTTTTCTAAGAAATTGCCAAGTGGTTTTCCAAAGTAGCTGACGTTTTTCATTCCTATTTGTGACAGATCAGAGTCTCCGTGGCCCCGCATCCTTGTCCATACTTGGCACTGTTTGATATTTTGACTGTTCTACTAAGTATGTAATGATGCCATGTGATGAACACCTTCATAAGCCTTTGTGTGTGTCTTTGGTGACGGTTCTGCGCCCCTGGCTATGGTTTTAGTAAGGCTTCGTTTCCTCACTTTGAGGTTTAAAAGTTGTATATTTTAGATAAGTCTTTATAAGATGCACCTTCTACAATTTCTCCCAACTGCTTTTTATGCATTTTCATGTTTCAACTGTTTCCTTTGTCTGCATTTAATTTTTTCCAGTTTTAAAGGCGCACTGTGTTTCCATTACTTCAGTTTCTCATATATAATAAGGTATTTCAACTTTCAAACCTGCAAAGCCTAGCCTTACCCTTTGAATTATTCTCCTTGCTATCAACTGCTCAGCTGTAACTTTGCTTTTTCTTTGACCCAAGGGAAATGATTAACTTAAGTAAGACATGTTTCTGGAGAGGGCTGGGCATTTGGGTTTGCTTTTCTAGACGACGAGGTCTCACTCTGCAGCTCAGACTGGCCCAGAACTAGCTATTCCCCTACCTCAGCCTTCCCGGTGGTACACTGTGGCCATGTGCAGGACTTTGTTCTGAGACAAGATCTCACTACGGAGCCCTGACTGGCCTGGAATGGGCTATGTAGATCAGGTTGGCTTTGAACTCCGATATCTCCCTGCTTCCTGAGTCCTGTTATTAAAGGTATATGCTATCATATGCAGCCCAGGATATATTTTTTAATGATTTCACCAACATATTTTTAGTTATAGTTGGTTTACTCCAAATGTGTCCATAAGTTAACATTATTCTAGAAATCTATGTTCACCTGTTATATACCAGATTATGTCCCATTCCATTATACCACACATAGTAATTTATGTAAGCTCAAGCTGAAGCTAGACAGCATCAACACTAGAGTTCTGCAGCCTGACTGTATCTGCTCATTATAGATACCCATTTCAAGGGCAATTTAGCTAAGGATGTAATTCTTCCCTTCCTTATTAATGTTTCTAAAATGAGGTGGGCGTGTTACTTATTTTTTAGAGATTGTATTTGCATTTTAAAGCATGGTGTTTTCATTCTTCCCTTGTTTGCCTTCATGCAGTCACTAAAGGCAAACGGGTCTCCTGCCCAAGCAGCCAGCGCCTACCTTGCTGCAAACAGCTTGCATGTCGTTTAGTATCTTTGTATTGTCCTGCTGCTGCTACTGTGCTTCTGTGCTCATCAAGCCATCCCTGTACCAGTGGGTGCACGTCTGTCCAGTCTGTAATGTTCTGGGGCCTTTGAATTATGTCACTGTACCCGTCTGTTTTCAGTCCTTTCTTTGTCCAGGGTACATTGCCTTTAGAAGTGCACCTCCAGCCTGTGCTGCGTTTGCTCTAGGCTGTCAAAGTCCATCATTTCTTTCCCCTTGGTCTTGTGTATGATAAACCTCGTCTACACCTTGGCGATTAATGCCCTTTCCAACGTGTAAACAGCAAAAATGCTGTCTTGTTGGAAAAACAGCAACAGTAATTCAATAACACACCCAGGACCTCACTTTTAAAGCACTACTGTATTCACCTTCACTGCTACAACAAATACCTGGGCAGCAGAGCTCAAGGAGGAAAGAGTTGCTCTGGCTCATGGTTTCAGTCAATGGGCATCAGGGCAGAACGGTAGGATCAGCAAAACCGCTCACCTCGTGGCAGGGAGGAAGCAGAGAGACAGGAAAGGACCAATGGCGGGTGGAACCATTATGCTAAGAGCAACCAGGCTGAACCATCAACTTTATGAATGACCATCAGGTAAAGCCACAAAGATGGTAAGTGCATTAGTGTTCACCAGGGGGCGTGGGACAGAGGAAGGGGAAACCAGCTGCTGCTCAGAGAGCTTTGAGGATGATAAAGAGTCTGAAATGGACCGTGGAGACAGCTGGTAACTCTGAACACCTCAGTAAAAATCGGGGGCTGGGATGTAGCTTAGTGACAGAGTACTTGGCTAGCATGCACAAAGTCCAGGGTTGATCCCTTAGTATCACAAAAGAAAAGAAAAAGAATTTCATGTCAGTAATGCTCAAACACAAAAGAAGTCCGTCAGCATGACTTCCTAGTCCGTGCTTGAAGTGTCTCTAAGGGACACAGAACAGCTGTGCACTATGCAGAGAATGAGAGCGCATTGCTGCCACACGGTTAGCATGTCTGACAGCTCCACAGAGTTTTCTTCATATGCTGATCCTTACTTTATCAGTGCCCAGAGCACATTACTGCACAAATAGTGAAAATGTCCTAGAAAGCATATTTAGAAAAAAATTGATTTCTCAGTAATATGAAAAAATAGAAGTACACAAGACTGACCCATGCATACAACCGGGCGTGTGAGAACCAGTGAGGAAGTGTCAAATATGTAACGGGCATATTAACAGTTAAAAACTGGCACTAGAACATTACAGCACATGGCACCCATGACAAACACGGCCTCTAAGTTCTAGTTTGTTCTCTCCAAATGGCATTTTCATGGTACGCTGAGTCGCCTGTCAGGGCTCTTGGGATGAGCTGGGACAGTCTCATGCGGACAGGCACTCTGGCCAACGTAACTCTGTCCCTCAGCTCCAAGCCCAGTGGCGGAGTTTCTTTTGGACAGAGAAACAATTTCGTGCTTCCCCTGTGACCTCCAGGTCCATGCAGCACTTCGAATGAAGAGCAGCGTCCTGCCGTCTGCACCACACTTGCAAACCAGGCTGCCACCGTGACTGCGCAGAACCGCACGGAGCTCAACAAGGAGAAGGCCATGGTTCTTGCACTGTATTCACGCCAAGGATGGAAGAAGGCGGTTGTCAGTTTTTAAGGTCTCTGGCTAAAGTTTCACAGATGAACCGTAGAGTACGTTGATACAAAAAAAGCATCCTTTGTCTTCGGCTTGCAAATGTCCAGATGGTTGACATCCACAGGAATTAGATCCCCAATGCCTAAATCTGAAGAAAACAGAAGTGTCAATGAAGCAGACGGTGGTCAAGCTCGTCTGAGTGAAACTCTAATTCCGTGGGTGAAAATGGAAGCCCAGGAGTGTCGGCTCCATCTGCACTTTCCCAGTTTCCATGAGCATTCCGAGAACAGCCCGAGTTCCTGCACTGCAGAGACGGCCCTGCCTGCAGGCGAATACAGACCATTCTGCTGCTCTTCTAAGAATGGGGTTGTCCCACGTGAAACCCATTCTAGAGCCAAATCCCCAGGATCCCTCCCGGAGTGTGTGTGAGGTGAGGGCAGTGTGTGTGTGGGGGGGAGTATGTGAGAACTGTGGGTGGGGTGGGGGCAGTGGGGGGGGGGTGGGATAAAGGATTGTGGGAAGATGTGGAGACAGGCTTTAGTACTTCAGGATCTGACTGCTCAAGGGACTGGAAAGGGTATCTGCTATTCAGTCTGATGAGTCCACCTGGATGCAGGTAACAAGAGATGCCAATGAGTCACCGCTGAGTGGAGGGAGGAGAGTAATACAAGGACAGTCACAATTACGGGACAATGCTATGGGCGGCTGCTCAGGAGACTGGCTCTGCTGTGGCTTTAAGTTTCAGGTTGTCTTGGACGTCTGGCCACCATGCTTGGAAATCCTCACGTAGCTGCTTTGCAATACCTCAGCCTAGGACCCGGGATTCCTCTCTAGAGTTTCTTTAGGACCTTGGGGACCCTTCCATCTCGTGTGGTGTACACTGAGGTAAAGACAAAGCTCATTAGCACACTAAGAATTATCACTGTCCCTAGCTGCCAAGAGCCTGCCACTGCTATGAGCTGCCAGGATAGGACCTAAGCCAGCCTCAGAAAAGAGTTCCAAGAGCTGATACCCAAGCTGAGGAGACCCGGTCAGTCAAGGGAGGCATTTCACCGTGAGATGCCTGGGAGGCCATGGTGCAAAGTAATCAGGAGGCTCTGAGGAGAGCCTGGAAGTGAGTCTGAGCTACGGCAGCAGGCCACGGTTACCCCCACTCATGGTAACACTGCTTGAGTAGTCCCGAACACCTTCCACTTACAAATCTTCCAAACGTCTATGTCCTGCATTTACTACAGCATTTACATCTACTACAGGTTTCTTTAAGGTTTCTCTGCAGCCTCTTTTAGGCTAGCTTACAGAAGTGCTTGGTAGTCTCTTTAATGCAAGCGCCACCGTTGGCGCCTTAGAGCTGCTGTCATCTATTCTACCGGGGCTAAAGCCAAGGCTGTGTGCTTACATTGTGATTTGAACATGTTACTAAAAAGTAGGCTCTGGATTGTTACTAAACTTTCTCCTGTACATCCCCAAGACACTGGATATAAAAACTGACATCTACTAAATGCTGGGTCCCCTCAGCTAGGCATCCGACGGCCACGTGCCTCAAGAGTGAGTACCTGCTGACTCCACGGGCACTATATGTAGCTTGATCATGCTGCCGATAAATGTTGGTTTTGTTTCTACAAAGTTCAGCACCTGGAAGTTCTTGTCTTTCGCAAACTCCACGAAGTCATCATGTAGCGCCTTGAGTGCGGGAGAATCTGTAAGGCACAGAGGGAGACCGTGACAGTCCTGATCATTCAACTGAGGACACATTCATTCGTCTGTAACACAGGACGGGAAAACCCTGAGTCACAGCAGACTCGGGCAGGAGACATACTCAGCGGGTATAAGCCTGAGGTGATGGCTGTTCTTGGCTGTCAACTTGACTACACCTGCAATTAACTAAAACCCAACCTCTGGGCACCTTGTGAAGTTTTTCAGTTAACTGGATCATTTAAGGCAGGAAAGACCCACCTTAGACCCAGATCACTTGAGGACCCATCTTTGATATGGGCCACAGCTTCTGGAGGACAAGGAGAAAAGAGCTTCTGCCCTTACTCCACAGGCATCAGAGCATTTCTTCAGGATTCAGACACGCACTCAAGACCAGCTGAGACATCCAGCCTCTTGAACCAACAACTACTGCATTCCTGGACTGTCCATTAGGAGTCAGCCATTGTTAGACTAGATAGCCTGTAAGTTATTGTAATAAATCCTGTGTGTGTGTGCGCGTGCTCCATCAGTTCTGTTCCTCTAGAGAGACCTGACTAATGCATTCGAGGACTAGTTTCTATCCCTATAATCTGTGGCTACACAACTGTAATCCTAGCTCTAGCAGGGCAGGGGAACAACAGGAGGCTCTGTGGGGCCTACTGGCCGGTCTAGCCAATCAATGAGCTCCAGGATCAATAAGAGACCCTTGTCTCAAAAAAAAAAAAAATGAGGTTGATGACAACTGACAATGACTTAAACACAAAGAAATGCACAGACATCAGAAGTCTGATTAAGACTACTTCTGAAACACAGGAACCTTACAGAGTACTCCAGTATCTTCAGGATGATAAGATCACAGAGCCACAATCCAAGAAGACACAAATAAACAATAACCACCAAACAAGGAAGAAAAAATAACCCTGGGCTGTAAGAACACAAAAGCTGAAGATCAGAACCAAGATGGCTGAAAAGAGGCATCCTGTGATCGCTTGGCCACAGGGAGGGAAGGAAGCACCTGAGACCTGGAGGGGCCATCGGGCCCACAGCACTACATAGCTAGCTGCCACCACCTCTAGCCCTAGAGATCCCAGGGGCCTAGGAAAGATCTCTTTTGGGTCTACACCCTCAAGTCTGTGTTTAGTGGACTCATTACCTCTGCTAATTTCAGAGGGTCTTCATAAAACTAGAAGGGATGAATACCACCCTAAATGCACAGGCATCAACAAAGGAGCACATTACTAAGGAAAGCATAACACCATGCGGGAAGCATGACTTCTTCAGAAATAGAATTGGAGGAAATCTAAGAAATGGCTGCAAAGGAATTAAAAATGTTGAGCTTAAGGAAACTTAGAAGAGAATAAAGATTAAACAACATGGCTGGAAAGGTGGATCAGTAGGTGATAACACATGCTGCCCCTATGCAGAATCTGAATTTTGTTCCTAGCACCCATGTCCTGTAACTCCAGCTCCAGGGGATCCAATGCCACTGACTTCTCAAGGCACTTATACTCATGTGTGAGGTAACACATGCATACATAGGCATACACACAATTTAAAAGGGAAACTTTTTAAAAAGATTAAACAACACAAATAAGACCAATTCAGACTATGAACGAGAAGCAGACCAATGGCAGAAATCATTACAAAGAAACAATCAGAACTTGAAACTCAAAATTATAAAACAGTTTCTGTAATGGATTAGAATGAGAGAGAGAGAAAAAAAAGAACCTCTGACCTTAATGATAGGATTGATTGAACCCAGCTGACAAGTAAAGAAAGCAGGGAGGGAAAGAAATAAGATTCATACTATGGAAACTCAAGAAAGTGAAGAAAACTGAAAGTCAATGAAAAACTGATTCATAAGATAATAGCCAATCTTCCAAACATCCAGAGGTATAGATGTCTGCATACGAAGCTCAGAGGCCCCCAGAGACACTCAATAATAACTTTACCAAGACATAACTTTTAAAAATGTCAAACATCGAGAATGGAATGACATATGCAAAACATCAGAAAAAGAAACTGCCAACCAGGAGTACTATACCCAGCAAAACTATCCTTCAAAATGGACTAGGAAAGTCTGTCCTCGATTAGTAGACACTGAGGAGACTCAGCAGCAGTAGGAAAAAAAGACAGGTGTCATCAAAGCACATGACAACACACGTTCACCAGAAGAACGGAGATACAGGTGAAAAGGAACAGTTGACAGAACAGCAAGAGAGCTTCTAAATAACCCTACAGGTAGATGACTCATAATCTCTACCCAATGGACAGAGACCTTGTGATGTGCTGTCTACAAGAAATGCACTTTAAGCCGGGCATTGGTGGCGCACGCCTTTAATCCTAGAGGCAGGAGGATCACTGTGAGTTCGAAACCAGTCTGATCTACCAAGCGAGTTCCAGAACAGGCTCCAAAACAATACAGAGAAACCCTGTCTCGAAAAACCGGAAAAAAAAAGAAAAAGAAATGCACTTTAATCATCTATAGGGATAATTATACTCTTGTCAGACAAAACATGCTTAAAATTAGAAACAGTCAAAAGGCAAGGCTATATACAGATAGTTATTACATGTTCTTCCTGAACTGATCCTATGTATGCATGCAGCCAACATGCAGAGACAGTTGGAGACATCCAGACCCTACTTTCCACTATGCTACAGTTGGTCATCCAAAGAAGCCAAAACATGACACACAGTAACCGGGCCTAACGTGGATTCTTAGGACGTTCTCTCCAAAGCGGTAGAATACACATCTTCGTGCACAGTGTTCTCTAGAATAAATCACATGTTAGGCTAGAACCCATGTGTTGATGACAAATACACATTGCTCTATTACAGGTTGTCTCAAAAGTTTATGTGTATTCTGATAGTGCATAGTTCTCCAATTCATGGAAAAGGCAGTTTACTAGCTTGGAAGAAAAAGTCATAATTTGTCTGTTTGAATAGTTGGAGACAACATAAAAATTATGGCTATACTCGAGTAGATAGTTGGTTAAAACCAAAAAGAGGTATCAAAAACCAAGCCAAGCTAAAAGTTATATGCAAATTCAAAACAAGATGGAATTTTAAGGACGAAATTATTTTCTCCCTCTTTCCCTTCACAACATAGAGCCTTACCCTTGCTGAGTTCTTTGACTTCCAAAGAAGGAAAGAGAAGATAGCGAATGTTAACCGAGTATTCAGCCAAACGTGATCCATGGTGTGGGACACTATAAAAAATCATTCCTCTGGTGTTGTTTATAATAGTGCTCAGTTCTGGGTTCCTAGAGGCTTCCAACAGCATCTTTTTGACAAGAAGACCTAATCATAGAGAAAAAGAGTCCATGGTTTCCTTCCCTCTGTTACAACACAATAAGCCAACAAGACAAAATCTAAAATTTCAATAATTTCTATAAAAACCTTTACTATAATGACACTACATAGAATTAGGAATATGAGTCTACAACCAGTCCGCAGACTGCTCTGTGGCACAGACCTTTCTCTCTCAGATCCCACTGCCTCAGTGAGGAGAGTCAGGCCTGCAGGGTGCCGGCCACTGAAGCCCAGCACTGGGAGAGTACTGAGTGCCAAGTTACAGATCCTGCCAAGGAGAACCAGCAGCGATGGCAAAGGCACCCATGAGCACCTAACCAGATAATGCAGAGACACCGGACGGTGACTGGACGTTTGAGAAGCAGAAGGGTTATGTTTAGATGCACCTTTTCCGGCAAAAAGCCAGGGCTGGGCATATGGAGAAAGCTGAGAGCTGGTTTGGGGGGGCAGGAGAAGTGGGGTGTGCAGAGGAAGTGAGGGCAGGTCCCAAGCACAGCAGCCAGGCACAGAACAACGGTGAGCACGCCTGAGCAGCACAGGCACCCGGGACTAGAAGCACACGTGCAACGGTAGAGTTGGCAATGCAGAAGAGCACAGCCAGGAGGAAAGGGAAGCCTCCGGGAGCACCTGCTTAACTGAGTCTGACTGGTCAACAGTCTGCAGTGTGAGGCTGACTCATAATGACCACCCGAAACCACCAAGTCACCAACCCGTGCCCCCCCACCCAGTTTGCTATTAGCATGGAAGGAGAGTAGCAACTTTAAAACGCTTAGCTAAAACATTAACTTGGGCTGGGGAGACTAGTTAAGTAAGACGGACAGATGCGGAACTTTCAGTTGGCCGTAACCTTGACAACCACCTCATGATGGTCACCCTATGAAGATGAAACCATCCTTACCTCCCATGCTATGTGATATCCAAATCACTGGCCTATCCCCAACACCAGCAGCTCTGAGCTTGCTAAGAAGTTCGTTGCTTCTGAATGCAATGGACTTTCTGAACAAAACGAAAACAGCAAGCATGACGGGAGGTATCCATCCCCCAAATCTTGCCACCTAACTTTTGAAGACAAGAACGTTTGCTTGTTCAACACTACTGGCTCTCACTCTGGAGTGTAGGCTGTGCCACTTTCGTTCTCTATCTGAAACTTATCAACACTCACATAGTTAGAACTCTCTAAGCCCAAAACAGGCCACTCACACTAAGCACACATTATCCGAATATCAAATGGCTCTGGCAAGTTTTACAGGTTGAACATGGGTCTCGTCCCGGTTGCCCTGTGCACTTAGGTATGGGGGTGGGGGATCTCTCTTCATCCATCCCCTGACAACAAAATGTCCCAGAGACTTGATTGAGTTTATTCCTACTTTGTTTATGCTATGGATGTCAAGCTGTCACCATTGGATTTATGCATTAAATACTAGGAAATGGTCACCAGAGTTCAAAAAGAGTGATTTCACACCAAAAGGGAACTTAACTTCACAGCTTATCATAAAGCTTGCTAGTTTCACGCTCTTCAACTGTAACACCCTTTTTTTGAGAACAAAGGTTCCCCAGTGCTGCTTTGGGGCTGGGTGTCCCTCTGTTGGCATCCTTCTGGGGCACCCATGTGGGATCCTCATCAGCACCATGCTGAGTCACTAACCAGACCAGTTCTGTGACAAAGCGTCACAGACACCGGATGACCTGCTACACTGCACAGTGAGCCAAGGCTGGGATTTGGCTATCTATGTCCTGGAACTCAGGAAGGCACTGCTGCTTAAGACAAAAGGGACCCACGTCAAAACTGCTAGGTACCGTTTTCCTTACGCTTCCCTCAGCCAGGAGGACTGTGAACACACAAGCAACTACCAGTTTTACCTGCAGAAGTGAAGGCTTTGACAGAGATCCATGGTCCTTTCCTATTTCAGAGTTACGTGAGCCTTATCAGGAGCCAAAGACAGGTGGAATCTAAACGACTACTACTTATTACTATAAGCTAACGCCTTCTAAAAGGAAGACGACAATGGTGGCGGATTGGAGCATTTGCCGAACATGCACAGACCTGAGCTCAATCCCCAACACTTAGAAGATCCACTGTGGCGTGAGCCCTACCCCTGCTCCCATCCAGTGTGCCCTCCAATGTTACCTCTCCATGGGGCACCTTGCTCGCCAGTCGCTGAGGCTGGTGTCATACTCCACAGATATAATGCGCAGCGCAGGACAGTCTTTGGCTAGCCACGTCTAGGTAAAACAAAAGGCTCGTGAGCATATGGCTGCAACAGACACTACAGAGGCTGCTGGGATATACCGGAGGCTAGGATGCTGAGAAAACTATTCTGTCTCTTTACAGCTCTGGCCACAGAATGCCATCAATATTTGTAACAAAGGCAAATGAAGGTATGAGAACATTGTCGATTTTACTCTGCAATTGCCAAAATCAAGACTTGTTTGGAGGCTTTTAGCTCTTAGTATAAAGCTGTTATGTCAGAACAGACTGCATTTTCTGCTGGAATACCCTGAGGTCTGAGGACTGGAAGCTAATGCTAACTGTGTTGTCTCTGGGAGCTGGAGGCTGTCAATGCAGACTTCAGCAGCAACGGAGAGAAGAACACGCTATTCTTTCTGGAGGAAGCAGGAGGGGAACAAAGCCCTGAACACGATTCACACAGACTCCCCTGAACGGACTTCAAACTCATCGCGTCCCATGAATTCATTCTGGGGTTGTGGCTCTTTGGAGAAGAAAATATCAAGGAACTGCAAAGGAGAATTATATCATCCAGTTGTTCTAACTCTATAATTAATAAGCGCATAAAATTGGCTAGTAAGCGCATAAAATTGGCTAGTACAAGGAAATATGGCTGTGTTCTTTTAAATGATGAATCAAAACGCATGATTGCACTCTTATCCTATTTTATCACTCATTGAGCATTATTCCAGAGTCGCAGAATACACACACCCCAAACAAAATACACATGCAGAGTCACCAGCCCAGCTGACGATGTAATGTCCTACAGGTGTCTCCCAGGGAAAGAACAGCAGCGGCACAAGACAAGGACTACGGCACAGTGCGGCACGCCACTGTGCATTAGCGTGGCGACAGTCGCAGCTATGGCTCCTTACCTTGGGCCAGCACGTGGTGTACCTGTTCTCATCCACCTCAGCACTCTCCGTCAGAACCCGCTCACTGTCGTGCTGGCGCCAGGTTTTAAACGCTGCCCCCATAAGGCCATGGATAAAAAGGACATCGGCTTTAATGGGCTGGCTGGGAGGGAAGAGAGTTTGAAAGAGAAGCACAATAAATGCATTACTCCTGTGGCAAGCCACACGGCATTCTCTGCGGAGGCTTCGGCAGGCTGACACAACGCAAAGGAGAAACTTCATCAACACAGGGCTGCTGAGGAATCCTGGGAACTGTGACTCAGGCACAGCACTGCCATTGCTCCCTCAGTGAAAAGACACACTTAGCCAGGCAGACCACCACAGCGCCTGTAATGAATTCCATGGTCCAGGATGGGAGCCACACTACCACGAGGTTACCCTCTAAATAAGTCTATGGAAACATTCCACAGACCAATGAAGGTCTTTGAGAAATCAGACAACATATGCTCATATGATGGCAAGGCCACTGTACATGAGAAATGTCAGGGGGACCTCCCCAGGACCTGAAGTGACCTCATGGCGAAACCCAAGGCAACACGCCTCATTCCAGAGTTGGAAGGAAACTTGCTGACTCAGCCAGAAAGACACACATGGGGTGGCACCCAGCACCTTGACCACCTCCCTCACAGTTTCACAGCTGGCAGAGCAAACCTGAGTCATCGTGGGATGACTCAGCCTTCGGGGGAGCCGAAAGGGAGCTGCAGCTGCAAGCCTGTGCAAATCCGACTCAAACTCAAGCCCGCCAACTAGCGTAGGCCATGTTCAGGAAGAGGAATAAAGACTGAGACAGGAGCCAGAAGTGCAAGAAAGAGAGAACTGTTACTCTGTACGCCAGTACAATTAATGTAATTTAATAATTACACTAATTGAAAAAAATGGGAACCATTAGACAGTCCAAGGTAGGCGTGTGTATGTGTGTATGTACACTAAAAGTCCTAGGCAGAGGTAAAAATCCTAAGTAAAATTCAAACCCAGCTCCTGTGTTACCCTTAACCTTTAAAACTATCAGCCTCACTGTTGTCTTTGCTGGGCTTTTTCTCCTCTTTCCCACATAAAAACACTAAATAGGGACCAAACTTCCCCCTTACACCACTAGGGGGCTCATCTTTGGCTTTCCTTTTTCTGTTTTATATGAAGACTTTTAAAAACATGGATTTTTATTGTTTTGTTTTTTTACAGAAATAATGGGGTTTTTGTTTGTTTGGTTGCTTTGGTTTGGTTTTATCGAGGCAGGGTTTTTCTGTATTGCTTTGGAGGCTGTCCTGGAACTCACTCTGTAGACCAGGATGGTCTTGAACTCACAGAGATCCGCCTGCCTCTGCCTCCCGAGTGCTGGGATTAAAGGCGTGCGCCACCAACGCCCGGCCAGAAACAATGTTTTTAAAGTGTGAGGAAAAACCTAATGATTTGATTTTCCTCAAATGCCTCCGAACAGGCCCTAATGTTTCCACCAAACAAAAGCTAAAATGTCACCAGGTGATGGGTAAACCTGTTCTGGAGTTTTCCCTGCTTTTCTGTTCCCCGCCTACCTGATGCTCCTCCCACCAGAGTATTTGGTAAATGTATTTACTCATGACTTTCTTCTTTTGTGATGATAAGAAGTTGACTTTGTCTGGCATGCCTTTAATCCCAGCACTTGGGAAGCAGAGGCAGGCGGATCTCTGTGAGTTCGAGGCCAGCCTGGTCTATAAGAGCTAGTTCCAGGACAGCCTCCAAAGCCACAGAGAAACCCTGTCTCGAAAAGCCAAAAAAAAAAAAAAAAAAAGAAATTGACTTTGGAACATGTTGTTCCAAACAATCTGAAGCCTGAGCCATGGACACTCACACTTAACTAATAACCCTCTTCCTCTTTTTGGTGTGGGAGCTAGGATTGCACTGATCATCCTAACATTTTATTTGCCTGTTAGAATGAACCAATAAATCCCCTGCAAAAAGAAAATTTTGTTCGTTTGTTTTGTTCTTTTGGTTTTTTCGAGACAGGGTTTCTCTGTATTGCTTTGGAAGGGGACCCCGGATCCTAGTGATAACAGCTCAACAGCAACCTTCAACAGTGACCCTGAGCCTCTGAATGTCAGATCTCCCATGATGTGCGTGACTGCTCATCCTGGCTCCCCCGGCACAAAGCACTGACCCTGGGACGCTGGGACCCTGCTCCCTCAGAAAAGGGTCTTGTGAGGCAGCCCCCCCCCAGACTGGGCATGGGAGCAGGGCTCTGACGGTTGTGGGGCAGAGGCAGGGGCCCTGCCACTGTCTCCTGTCAGCACCTCTTGCAGTCAGACTGAAGGAGCTGGTGGGGACGGAGGAGCCGACTATTTTTAATTTCCTGTGAAGAGAGACGTGGAGTTCGGTTCAAAGAAATATCGTACATCCCCAGATTGACTTAAGAATGCCAGGGGTGAAGGAAGAATGTGGGCAAGCAGGCCCCTCAGGGGGTCTGCCCCGGGCTCTCCATTCTTCCTCATCTAGCTCAGGGAAGGGTCCGGGCTGCAACAACTCGGTGGCTGTTTCCTTCCACAGCTCTTCCCTAGTCCTGGGCACACCACTAGCTGGAACCAGGAAACAGAAGGGGATAGCTAGCCTACAGAGATGGGTGCTGTGAGTCGTTTTCTTGGATCTCTCTTTGGAGGTCTTTCCCTCTCTTTCAATTGAAAATGAAACCACTTTCCAGTTTGGAAAGCGATCATTTAGGCCATGCGATGCTCACCTTGTTCGGCACTGGGGATGGAGTACATACACCCCATCCTCGTATTTCTCACACACAGTCTCTCGGTCTAGATTCGCCAGGGCTCTGGCAGCATGGGAAGCCTCCATAATGTGGTAGGATTTCAAAACGTCTGCCAACATAGAAACCCAGCCTGGGGAAAAGAACAGACATCCTAAGCACATGTATGAAGTACGTGCATGCACATATACACACAAGCAAGCACACAAAGGTCCGGAAAGACACAGGACATGCAATTAATTCATCAGGGGCCATCGCCTCTCAGGAGACAGGTGAGTGGAAGAGGCTGCTGGGAAAGGCAGCTCTGCTGTATCTGTCTTCTCAAGTATGAACAAGTGCCTGCTTGTATATCACACGTATACACACACACATACACACGACTTCAAGTATGAACAAGTGCCTGCTTGTACATCACATGTACACAGACACACATACACACACGACTTCAAGTATGAACAAGTGCCTGCTTGTATATCACACGTACACAGACACACATACACACACGACTTCAAGTATGAACAAGTGCTTGCTTGTATATCACACGTATACACACACACATACACACATGACTTCAAGTATGAACAAGTGCCTGCTTATATATCACATGTACACAGACACACATACACACGACTTCAAGTATGAACAAGTGTCTGCTTGTATATCACACGCATACAGACACACATACACACATGACTTCAAGTATAAACAAGTGTCTGCTTGTATATCACACGCATACACACACACATACACACATGACTTCAAGTATGAACAAGTGCCTGCTTGTATATCGCACGCATACACACACACATACACACATGACTTCAACTATGAACAAGTGCCTGCTTGTATATCACATGCACACACACACACATACACACATGACTTCAAGTATGAACAAGTGCCTGCTTGTATATTACATGTACACAGACACACATACACATGACTTCAAGTATGAACAAGTGCCTGCTTGTATATCACACGTATACACACACACATACACACATGACTTCAAGTATAAACAAGTGTCTGCTTGTATATCACACGTACACAGACACACATACACACACGACTTCAAGTATGAACAAGTGCTTGCTTGTATATCACACGTATACACACACACATACACACACGACTTCAAGTATGAACAAGTGCTTGCTTGTATATCACACGTATACACACACACATACACACATGACTTCAAGTATGAACAAGTGCCTGCTTATATATCACACGTACACAGACACACATACACACGACTTCAAGTATGAACAAGTGTCTGCTTGTATATCACACGCATACAGACACACATACACACATGACTTCAAGTATAAACAAGTGCCTGCTTGTATATCACACGCATACACACACACATACACACATGACTTCAAGTATAAACAAGTGCCTGCTTGTATATCACACGCATACACACATACACATACACACATGACTTCAAGTATGAACAAGTGCCTGCTTGTATATCACATGTACACAGACACACATACACATGACTTCAAGTATGAACAAGTGCCTGCTTGTATATCACACATATACACACACATACACACGACTTCAAGTATGAACAAGTGTCTGCTTGTATATCACACGTACACAGACACTCATACACACACGACTTCAAGTATGAACAAGTGCCTGCTTGTATATCACACGCATACAGACACACATATACACACACGACTTCTAGCACAATATGGGCCTTGAAGAGACATTTGGAGTCAAATTTCTGTCCCCTTATGTGCTATGAAACCTCAGTGAAGGTATTTCACAGCTCTGACCATCTTCCAGCCCAGCTGTACCCATCAGCACCTGACATGTATGAGGAACTCGCTCTCTCGTGTCCCCTCCACCCCGCCGCTGGACTGCCCTGTGGAGCAGGGGCACCCCTTCCCTCGGAATGTGGTCCAAACTTCAGTTAATGAGCAAATTAACGCCTGCTGCCATAACACAGGTTTCAGAGTAGTCTGATAGCAACAAAAAGTTTTTTTCTTTGAATTGTTCATTTCTTCTCTCAACTATCTCTTTTTTTGTCTTCTTTGGTCATGAGCCTTGGCCTATAATGCTTGAATCATCTCTCCAGCTCCATTGTATACTTTTTATTTTACGTTACAAATAACGTGTGTGTGTGCGCGTGTGTGATGGTGTGCAGTGTCAAATAACGTGTGTGTGTGTGCGCGCGTGTGTGTGATGGTGTGCAGTGTGATTTGTACTTTGTGTGCATGCATGTGAAGTTGTGGGACAATCTGTGGATTCAGTTCTGTCCTTCAGCCATGTGGGTTCTGTGAGGCTAGGCAGCAAGTATCCTAACCTACTGAGTCACCTCACCAGCCCACTCTGTTGTTCTGCAACGTGTTCAGTGTGCGTCTCTGCACACACCACTTCTGGTTGTGAGAACACTCAATCGATTCTGGCGGTTTTCAAGAATACAGTAACACGTTGTTAGTGGGATGCCCTCCCAGCGTCATGGCTCCTCAACACATCTGCAACAGAGAGCTGCAGGATGACGCTAACAGCTGTCACCTGGGTCTGCTTCTCAATACACAAATTAAAAATCTTACTACAGCTCACACAACAAGCAAGGCTCAAATGCGTGATAAAAATTTCTACTTAAAAAGTCAGGCGTGGGGGGCTGAAGAGATGGCTCAGAGGTTAAGAGCACTGGCTGCTCATCCAGAGGACCGGGGTTCAATTCCCAGCACCCATATGCAGCTCACAACTGTCTGTAACTCTGGTTTCAGGGGATCTGACACCTTCTATACCAATGCAAATAAAATAAAATTAATAAATAGTTTTGAGAAAAAAAAAAGTCAGGCGTGATGGTACACACCTTTGATCCCAGCACTTGGGAGGCAGAGACAAGGGATCTCTGAGTTCAAGGCCAGTCTGGTCTACAGAGTGAGTTTCAGGACAGCCAGGGCTATAACACAAAGAACCCTGTCTCAAAAAACCAAAACCAAACAAAAGCTATTTTTAAAAAAAAGGCTAGGCTGGGTGTTGGTGGTGCACGACTTTAATCCCAGCACTCGGGAGGCAGAGGCAGGAGAATCTCTGTGAGTTAGAGGCCAGCCTGGTCTACAGAGCGAGTTCAAGGACAGCCTCCAAAACAATACAGAGAAACCCTGTCTCGAAAAACCAAAAAAAAAAAAAAGTTATTAAAAAAAAAGTGGTGTCACATGGTTGTGAGTCCAGCTCTCAGTGGGGGAAGGCAGGATATCAGGGTTCAGGGTCGTCCTCAGCTACACAGTGAGTTCAAGGCCAGCCTGGAGGTAGGGAAGGAGAAAGAGGAAATGACTCAATATGAAAGAGGAAGGAAAAATAAAGAATAGCTGTGATACTTTCCAAGAGTTGTAAAATCTCACAGATGTGACAGAGTCATATTTAGTTCTAAAAGGTGAATATTCGGGCCGCTTCATGCTTCTCAGGAAATTTTCTGGTTTCTGAATTTGATTTCATTAAAATTAAAATCTGCTGATGTGGGAGTTGACCCAGGTTCAATTCCCAGCACCCCCAAGTTAGTTCACAACTGTGTGTAATTCCAGTTCCAGTGGATCCGGCACCATCTCCCGGCTTCCATAGCATGAAGCACGCATGTAGTGCAGACTTACATACGGCCAAAATACTCATGCACGCCTTTAGTCTCAGGCAGGGCTAGAGTGAGACCCCATCTTAGAAACAAAAATGACAATAACAACATCTGCTGATCTAAAGACTACCTAAGGGTCGATTCATAGTTTCTAATATGCGTGTGTACAAGAATGAGCATACAAAGGTATATGAGCATGTATCTGCATACTCTCATATATATATGAATATATGTCTATGTATGTGTATGTGTCTGGTTAGGATTTCTATTGCTTCCAAAACACCATGACCCAAAAGCAAGTTAGGGAGGAACGGGCGGGCTTATTTGCCTTACCCGTCCAGATTCATAGTCTATCACTGAAGGGAGTCAGGACAGGAACTCAAGCAGGGCAGGAACCTGGAGGCGGGAGCTGATACAGAAGCCACTGAGGATGCTGCTTCCCCTGGCTTGCTCAGCCTGCGTTCTTATGGAACCCAGGACCATCAGCCCAGCGATGACACTACTCATGATGGGCTGGGCCCTCCCCCATTGATCACTAATCGAGAAAATGCCTCACAGCTGGATCTCGTGGAGGCATTTCCTCAGCTGAGGCTCCTTCCTCCCTGATGACTCTAACTTGTGTCAAGTTAATATGCAAAACCAACCAGTACAACATGTATGTATGTATGCATGCATGCACGAATGTGTGTGTACATATGTATGTATGTTATAAAGGTTTGAATGAATGTCCCCCACAGGCTCACATATTTGAACAGTTGGTGGTTCAGTCTGCGGATATTTAGAACATGTGTCCTTGTTGAAATGCATGTCCCTGGGGACGGGCTTTGGGTGTTCACAGTCTCATTCCACATCAGTTCATGCTCCCTGCTTCATGCTTACGGTTGAGGGTGTGAGCTCTCAGCTTCCTTCTCCTCTGCCATGCCTTCCTGCCACGCTGGACTCTCATCCCTCTGGAACCACACAGATAAACTTTCTTCCTTAAGGTGCCTTGGTCATGATGTTTTATGGCAGCAACAGAAAAGTAACTAATACAGAAGTGTACAAACACACGCACACCACACACACTCACACAGACACACACACCACACACACACAATACATCATATGTATGATATGACAGTTTTCTGGGCCCCCCTAGCCAAAGATGAGACAATTTAGCATTGGTTTAGTAAGTACAGTAATAAATTATAAACTTCAAAAACATCTGAAAGAGTAATCTGTGTGCTCATATTGCTAAAAGGGAGGGAAGGGGAAGAGGGTGAGCAGGGAGGATGGCAGGTGTGTGTCTCCTCACAGGTGGCTCGTAGGTTGCAGAGGAAATGAATCAGTTCTACAATGGGTCTGTTTTCTGTCTGCCTCCTGGTTAACTAAATCACATCAACAATTTCAACAATCTTCATGCCAAAGTGTGCTCGCCATGATGGCTCTCTGTGCTAAGCCCTCAGTGTGGAACAAGAAAACCCCAAGAGTGTTGAGTCTGTTGGAGAATGGATGTAGCATGAGCTAAGGTACTGGAGAACATGCACACAAGGCTATTACCTGAGCGGACAATCGCAGGGTGAAGACGCTCGTTCAAGGCCATGTTTCCAATGATCCTCATGATGCTTCTCTGGACTGTGGGGCAGTCCTTGTGAAGCCGGAAGAGCCTCTGCAGCAGCTGCAAGCCCCCGCCTGCTTCAATGTGGTCACAGTGTGAGGGGATCTAGCACAAGTTAACAGAGCTCCCGTTACACTGCACCACTCACGCCTCAAGGGTGAGTTCCCACACCCTGCCTGCCCTGCGCTGCAGGGCTGCAGCCCCTCTTACGCCCTCCTGGTTTCCACTCCACAGGTGGGAATCAAAGGTGATTAGCTACAGCCACGGTTCCCATCAGGTCCATCAGGTCACAGTGGCAAGCTCAGAACCTGGAGGACGGTGCTTCTGCAGATGAGGGCGGGTCCTTTACACTACGCTGCCATTTGGGTGGCAAATGCAAATTCTGGCATCCACACCATATCTGCTTAGTTCAGACATCATCGGCAACTGGACACTGTGCCTGGCATGTTCCCCAGGTGATGTCATACTTCACTTGTGGGTACCACTAGGCTTTTTGCACCCCCCCTTCTCTTAAATCCAACTATAGCTGGGCAGGCTAGCATACAGCTACACAGGGATACATAGCAAAACCCTGTCTAATAAATAAGCAAACTGCAATTACCACAACGCCAAAATGCCTAGAAATTACTAGTACTGATAACTTAGCTGCACAGCAATCTGATATTTCCCTTTCTTCTCTGACTGATACCTTATGGAAATTAACTATCTGACACTACGTGTACAGCGATCTGGGAGAAGCAGCACAAATCAAAGACAAATGTCACGCTAGAGCAGGGGCTGCCTCCTTCATGTGCGATTAAGAGTTGTTTAAAACATGGAACAGGGCACTAGAGAGATGGCCCAGTGGCTAAGAGCACTGGCTGCTGTTCCTACAGAGGACCCAGGTTCAATTCCCAGCACCTGCATGGTGGTTCATCATTATAACTCCAGTTCCAGGGGATCCAAGGCCCTTTGCTGGCCTCCGAGAACATCAGGCACGCATGCAGTACACAGACAAAACATCCACACACAAAATTAATACAATAAAACCTTTTTGAAAGTCATGTACTGGTGCTAAGTCATTCTTATTAATTCTAACAGTTAACAGTGGAATGTTAAAAGGAGAGTATCTTTAGTAACCCTGAGAATTTCATACCTGCATACAATGTATTTTGATCATATTCACTGCTTACTCCTCCTCATTTCCCCCCTCTCACAAAATATGGAGAGCCATATTTTGGAATGCAAGTTACCTCTGAATGCTTTACTATAGCTTCTAGGCAGAACATCTCCACTGTGGCTGAGGGAACTTCACCAAAGCTTTCGGCATATGGAAGTCCATTTCCTCCAAAGCACCAGAGTCCTCCCTGGTGTTAAGACAAAGTATTTACGCCGGGCGTTGGTGGCGCACGCCTTTAATCCCAGCACTCGGGAGGCAGAGGCAGGCGGGTCTCTGTGAGTTAGAGGCCACCCTGGTCTACAAAGTGAGTTCCAGGACAGCCTCCAAAGCCACAGAGAAACCCTGTCTCGAAAAACCAAAAAAAAAAAAAAAAAAAAAAAGACAAAGTATTTACATCTGTGTAATAGATACAAGTTAGCGATTTCAAACATGCAAGTGTGTGACATATTCAGATTAGGAATTTCAAATAAGTAAATGCCTCAAGATACTCTGGAAACTTAAAGGGAATGTTATGCAAACTTCTACTGCTTTCTAGAATAGAGAACACATCAGGCAATTCCCAGGACAATTTTAACATCCTTTCTCCTCTTTACTTCTGACCTCTCCTGGCAAAGTCAATTCTTTGTCCACTGGTCAGAGTGTTCTGACGTCATTTCCTTCAGCAGTTACTAATTCATACAGATTAGGGTAGTGAAGTCAACTAAAAACCTAATAATAAAAAAAATTTTCATGGAAAGACATTACCAAACAAAAATATTAAAAACATGGTGGTCTTTAATTCTTCCCAGTTGAAAGTGAAACTCACGTGAGAGAGTAAGTGTACTTAGGGGGTTGGGGAGACAGCTCCGTGGGTAAAGCGATTGTGTACAAGCACGAGGAACCAAGTTCAGACCCCCAGCACCCACAAAATCAGGTAGGGAGTGCAGATCTGTTACCTCAACTCTGGGTCTGGGAGGAAGAGCACACTCCAGTTCCCAGCAGTTCGCTGGCTAACCAATCTAGCTGAACTGGCAAGCTGCAGATTCAACAAGACACTCTGTCTCAAAAACTAAGGTGCAAAGAACTAGCCAGAGATCCCTGATGCTGACCCCTGTACACACACACACACACACACACACACACACACACACACACACACGCACGCACGCACGCACGCACGCACGCACCCACACACACACATGTTCAATCAGAAAACGAAGCGTCGCAAGTACTACTAGATACTAAGTACTGTGACCAGGATCCAGAGTGGTGCTGACAGCTGCAAGCCGGTCTTTGCCCTCTGACCTGTGTAAAGAACTCCATCAGCTTTCATGCCTTTGGCCACTGGACAGGCTTTTTGCATCCTGCAACTGTCTACTCTGCTACCCTCGCTTCCGACCTGAAGGCAACCATGTTAGTAAACAGTCCATGCATGCCTTCCACAGAGACCATACAGGGCTTCCTTTAACATGTAGAGGAAGTCTCTGGGCAGTTTTAAGCAGGACAAGGCAGTTCTTACTAAGGTTTGTAACATCACTCTGGCTACACTGACAAGATGAGCTAAAAGCTCAGGCATCTAGGAAAAAGTCTAAAATGTTTCAAATGTTGTTAGACACACACAAGCTCTAAGGGGGAAAAAGAAATGACGAGAAACCCTGGGTGCTAGAACTGGAGACAACATAGAGCCTAGGAGGTTCAGTGTAGACTGCCTTCTTAGGCGTTTCTTGGGGGCTACAGCTGAGACTTCCATCGAAAGCAAGGACTTGGAATGTCGTCTAAGAGGCGATGGGAGAAACTGCCGTGAGGAGTGGAAGAAGGGAACCAAGCCCACAGGCAGCCTCCACTCTGCATTCTGCTTCGGGTAAAGCCCTGGCCCCAGCCTTCGGTGAGAAACCCCAACTTAAAACTAACAAAATGTCTTACCCAGCAGACTCAGATCCATCAGGGTCCTTGAGCAGTCTCAAAGGGTCTGGGTATGAGGCAGTCACGTGACAGCTGTTTCTTAGCAGCTGTGCTCCTGATGTTCACAAAGCCCAGCTGTGGTTAAATGTTCTTAAAGCTACAGACAGGCACCATGGCATCTGCCCACACATGTGCACTAACAAAGGGACTGCATCCCTCCTCTTTATACGCTTTTCTAGAGGACCATGGGAATACACTCCATAAAGGGGAGAGCTTGTCACCATGATGTAGAAGGGAAGGGTCGCCTTATACCATGAATATGCCACTAACCTTATGAATCATAAAAACTTCTTTAAAACCCACAACACAGAGCCAGCCCCCTGTGTTATGACTGCCTCTGCCCATTCCTGACACACACAGTCTTTTGTGCTGGTCCATAGAATTCCTTCCTTCAAGAGGGAAGACACCAAGAGACCTTCAAGGAGAGAGAAAAGACCCTGCTGTGTGGGGACAAATCTAACATCCACAGCGCTTGGAGCTCACTAGAAACAGTTCATACAGAGTGAGGCTGCATGCAGTCCAAAGCCACAACCAAGGAAAGGCACCATCACCAGCTAAAAAACAGCACAAGCAGAATCAACACCCTAAAAGGGAACAGATACAAGAATCCGGAAGAGATTTTAAAACCACTGAGGAAGTAAAAGAAGCAGCAGAAGCCAACACCGTGGAGAAGACTCGTGAGAGCAGGTGGCTGTAGAACAGACTCAGTGTGTGCCCACGGCAATGGCCAGCAGTGCCGGCAGCTGTATACATGAAGACTGAGCAGGAGCACGATCACTAGGCTGCAAGTTAAGCAACCGAAATAAAGACAAGAGGTAAGGGCTGTATCAGGGGAAGGCAGGTTTGATCGGCTAAATTCAAGATTCTTGCTATGCTCCAAGGAGAGGAGGCTGGATAATCAAATCTAGATTCACGTTAGAACACAGGCCTAGATGTATCAACTCAAATGCTGAGAATCAAACCCTAACCCTGGAGCACGCTTGGCCGGCGCTGTCACTGAGCTGTGCCCCAGTCCTGACTCTGGACACTAAGTGTGCAACACCAGAGGTTGAGCCTACAACACAATAAACGAGCTCACAAGCTAAGGATCCCTGTAGCCCAAAACTTTCTTATACACGTCTATGTTTATCATTCTGTGATTCCCAACAACACGCAGCCCAGTGCACAGCAAAGAGTCCACAGCTGGTCAATCGAACTGAGGTTCCTAACGATAGCCCCAGCATAGTGTCTTAGAGAAGGGTGAGTGCTCAAACCATTTGCTGAAAAAGATAGAAACCAACCTTCTGCGCGGCCAGGCTTTGGCTGCTCTCACTGAGAGCCAAGGATGTAAAATACTGGAGACACTCATCGAGCTCAGTCTGAGGTAGAGAAGCCAGCAAACGCCTGAGTTCCTCTTCAGTGGAGGAATCCTGAAGTAAAAGGCAAAGACATAGTCTTCAGACACTAGCCCAACAACCGAGTGTACCAAAGAGAACACCCGGAGAGTCAGAGACAAGACAGTAAGAACAGGATGGACAGTGCTTGCGATCTGGAGAGTACTCAGCCACGAAGGCGGAGGCACACACTCATTCGTTCGGGTTCTACACTCACATGCCTGCTGCCACAGTTAAAGACCTATTTCAAGGGCTGGAATGACGTCTTAATAATTCAGAACACTAGCTACTTTTGCAGAGGATATGGGTCTGGTTCCGGCACCCACACGATGGCTCACAACCACCTGCTACTCCATGTCAGGAGCCTGGGTGCCCTCTTCTGCCTCTATGGACACCTAGCATGCATGTAGTGTATGTACATACATGCAGGCCCCACACATACCTACAAAATAAAACCTTAAAAATAAACAAGCAGGGGGCTGGAGAGATGGCTCAGATGTTAAGAGCACTGACTGCTCTTCCAGGGTTTCTGAGTTCAATTCCCAGCAACCACATGGTGGCTCACAAACACCTATAATTCAGTCTGGTGTGCTCTTCTGGCATATAGACAAAACACTGTATATGTAATAAATAAATAAATCTTTTAAAAAAAATAAATAAACAAGCAGAAAAAGGAACTGTTACAAATTGTAACTCAATTTTTACCTTAGGGACTTCTTGATATCTTGACTCAAAATGAGTTATACCCTTAATAATTAAAGATATCATTAAGCCTGGAGTTTGTTAAGATTTCATTTTTGTGATAATTATATATTCACTTTTCTATTTTTCAAATTACTGTTTACATCAAAGTTTCAGTTTTGTTTTCTTACCTAAGGAAAGTGCTGAAGATGCCTGCAGTTCAGCATGCTTCTGGCCATGGTTCTCACCAGGGGCATTTTTTTTTTTAAAGATTTTGTTATGTGCATTGGTATTTTGCCTGCATGTATGTCTCTGTAAGGGTATTGAATCCCCTCAAACTGGAGTGACAGGCAACTGTGAGCCGCCATGTGGGTGCTGGGAATTGAACTCAGTCAGTGATCTTAACCACTGAGCCATCTCTCCTGCCCCACCAAGAGTATTTTTAAGCCCCAAGACATATTTAGCAATGTCTGGAGACAATTTTCTTTGTTACAACTTGGGGGGCTCCTTGCATCTCCAAAGCAGGGTCCAGGAATACTGCCAAATACCCTGAGGTACCCAGAACAGCCTCCTTGGACACTGTTTGATCTAAGATGTCAAGAGCGCTCGGGATGAGGACTATCTTGTCTGTAAACAACAAAGCAGCTGGAGAGATGACTTGACAGGTAACAGCATGCGTAGCTTTTGCAGAGGACCCAAGTTCGGTTCCCAGCACCCATTGGTGGTTTACAACCACCGGTCACTCCAGCTTCTGGGGATCTGTTGCCCCCTTCTGACCTCCCTAGACACTTGTATTCACATGCGCATACTCACTTGAATCTAGGTACACAGACATAGTTAAAAATAAAATAAACCTTGAAACAAAACAATCCCAGCACTCAGGAGGCAGAGGCAGCTGACCTGATGTACAGAGAGTTCTCAACAGCCAGTACAACACAGAGAAACCCTATCTTGAAAAAACAACAACAACAAAAAACTGACTACGAGGCACCCTCTCTTGGGTGCTGACATCTTGTAGAGTCACCTAGCAGAACAGACTCTCTGTCCCAGCCCCGCGGAAACTAAGATCTCAGCTCTGCGCCCAGTTCACGCGTTCTCCCCAGACAGGCACCAGCTCTGTTTATTTGCCCCACGCTACAACAGGCATTCAGCCTTTTCCTCCCTAGACTACTATGCTTGCTTACTTCTTTTAAAGATGGCAAAGGAGGGGGTGGGAGAAAAAAGCGACGGTCACTTTCTTTGCTTCGTGCCAAACCAATAAGGGTCCTTGGGTCACAGGCTTGAGCAATTATCCTGTACTGGTAGTCTGTTAGGAAAATACAGTTTTCGTTAACATCAAGATTAACTCGAAGTTATCACAAGACAAAATAAAAAGTTATTCAAGAGTACCCCAATTCTTAAACTGTTCTACAATTTACTAGCCCCAAATTTCCGAAGTATTTTTCACAACTCAGATGCACCTATAGTACCGGGAAGCTCAACACCCAGTACGGCTCAGTTACCACACACCCAGGAAGCTCAATGCCCAACTGGCTAAGTTTGCATCAATCACACAATTCTCCTCAACACTCCCAGTCATGCTCTGAGTAACTTTTTTTTGTTTGTTTTTTTGGTTTTTTTGGTTTTTACGAGACAGGGTTTCTCTGTATTGTTTTGGAGGCCATCGGTCTAGCCCGGCCTCGAACTCACAGAGATCCTCCTGCCTCTGCCTCCCGAGTGCTGGGATTAAAGGCGTGCACCACCACCGCCCAGCCTGACTTTTTTAATTTTTTTAAAAACCTAAAGTTCAGGGGCTGGAGAGATGGCTCAGCGGTTAAGAGCGCTGGCTGCTTTCCCAGAGGTCCTGAGTTCAATTCCCAGCAACTACATGGTGGCTCACAACCATCTGTGATGAGATCTGTGACCTCTTCTGGCATGCAGGCAGAACATTGCATAATTAAATAAATAAATTTTTAAAAATCTGAAGTTCAGAATAATAGTGGTGGTGCACACCTTTAATCCTAGCACTCCGGAGGCACAGGCAGGTGGATCTCTGTGAGTTTGAGGACAGTCTGGTCTACATCCTGAGTTCCAGGACAGCTAGGGCTACACAAAAATCCTGTCCTGAAAAAACAAAATAAAAAAGTTCCAAAAAAAAAAATCTGAAGTTCAAATATGAAAACTGGTAACTCAGGATGAGGTGTTTCTCTCGGTGAACTAGTATAACCTTGTTCTGGTGGAACATGCTCCAGTTTGAGAGATGCCCTTACCAAATGCACTTGGACTGCCAGATCAGTTTGAGAGATGCCCTTACCAAATGCACTTGGACTGCCAGATCAGTTTGAGAGATGCCCTTACCAAATGCACTTGGACTGCCAGATCAGTTTGAGAGATGCCCTTACCAAATGCACTTGGACTGCCAGATCAGTTTGAGAGATGCCCTTACCAAATGCACTTGGACTGCCAGGGCAGCAGGTTTTCCGGTTTAGCATGGAGTTATTCTCAGGTGTTTGGGAGAGAGACTGTGTGTGTATCTCCATAGCAAGACTGCCAGACTCGTTTTCCTTCCTCAGCCCCATTCCCCTTCTCTCTTATAGCAGAAAACAAGAGGGGGCTAACCCACGATCCGGGTCCGCATTACCGTGCCAGTGGTGGGCCTCTGACATTTCCCGCACAGCCTCCAGCCTCGAAGCTTTAGTATCCTCCCGGCTCTTCCTTAAAAGCAGCCACACTGCACAGTCATGGTCTTCTATGTCAACCGTGCTGAAAGAGTCTACAAAAAGAACACGACAGACAAGAGACACGGCAAACAAACAGTGAAGGCGGCACCTGTACACCTGCATGGTGCATGCATGCTGTGTGTCTGCGTGTACACTACATGCATCTAATATCCCCGAATCAGAATCGAAGCAGCTTGCCAAGCCTGCTGGGCTGCTGTCCAGAAAGCCCCGTGACCCTCCTGTCTCTGCCTCCCAAGCACTGAGACCACAGGCATGTACTTCACTTACTGGCTTTTTATGGAGGTTCTGGGTTACGATCCTCACACATAAAGGGCAAGCACTTTACTGATTGAGACATCTTCCCAGCTCCAAAATCTCTTTATATTCACTGTTATGTCAGACAATAACTTGTAATAGAGAGCTAAATGCAGATGCAGATGATGACCAAATGTTTGATCCAAGTATGACATGTATACTTTTAATATTCAATGCTACCTTTTTTTTTTTTTTTTTTTTTTTTTGGTTTTTTGAGACAGGGTTTCTCTATATTGTTTTGGAGGCCGTCCTGGAACTAGCTCTTCTATACCAAGCTGGTCTCGAACTCACAGAGATCCGCCTGCCTCTGCCTCCCAAGTGCTGGGATTAAAGGCGTGTGCCACCACCGCCCGGCTCAATGCTATCTTTTATGTGGTCATTTTTAGTCTTTGATTGGCTGTTCACACAACTTCCAGACCAGTGATAAGCGTACCAGACCAGTGATGAGGACTCATGTCTACACGTACCAGACCAGTGATGAGGACTCGTGTCTACACGTACCAGAAAAGGGGCTTCGCAGTACCCTGGCTGATGCTGCCAACATTTTCCTTACTGCTTTGTGAAGTTCTTTTCTTGCCTGCCAAGCAAGCCCTAAAATGATGGCAGCAAGTAAGACCAAGTGTGCACTTTCGATATCACGCCCCAATACTTCAAAAAGAAATACATAAACCAGGCTCCAAAGTTAATCATAAAGAACATAAAACAAAACCTCTTATTGTCGCTATTAAATGCAAGCATTTGTTATGGGAGCACAGAATGCTCTGGACTCTAGAACAAGATCAAGGAGAAAGTAAAAACAGAATGAGAAGAGCAACTACAGAAATCCTGAATAACAGAAGCTAATATTCAGAAGAACGTTCCTTGTCAATAGCCGACCGAGAACTAAAGCTGGAAAATGCTTTAAGAATGAGGTTGAGCCTCGCCAGACAGGTGACTATCAGAGGTGGTGACAGTGTACACAACCCAAACTGTAAGGAGCCCTAAGGGATGCTCAAGTCCAACAAGCAGTGCAATAAAGATGGCGTGGTGATTACAGTTCAGAAGGAGCAGGGAAGCCAATCCCACGCAGGGACTGTCACCTGCTCATGGGGACATGAGGGCTGGTATCTAGGACAGAGAGCTTCAAAGCAGCGTGGGTGGGGGCTCACCAGGCTGCCCAGAGCTGAGGAGAAGACACCTCAGAGCTAGACTCTCACATCTATCAAGTAACCAAGAGGCCTGCAAGCAACCTCGACATTGAGAAGGGGATGTCCTAACTAGCATCGACAGACCGCTCAGGCTTGGTCACAGATGGCAGCAATAAATAAGTTGAATTCATATTTCTCAATCTGCCAAATGAATTTGATGGCATGAGTCACCCCCTACAGCATGACAGTCTCTGAGGTAAATGTCAAAACAAGCATTTGCACTTGTCAAACTGAATTGATGGCCCCCCTGAAGAAGGAACTCAGGATCAGACACAAGGGCTCTGGCCAGCTCTTACCCTGTTCTAAAGGAGCTAAAGACTTGGGGAGACACAGAAGTCCCAATGTGGCCATTAGCTCATGCCTGCTGGGGTGGCTTCAACAAGAGTGGCCCCCATAAGCTCATACGTTTGAATGCTTAGTCAGCAGGGTATGGAACTGTTGGATAGGATTAGAAGAATTAGGAGGTGTGGCCTTGTTGGAGGAAGTGAGTCACTGGAGGTCTCAAAAGCCCATGCATACCCAGCCTCCCACCTGGGTACGGATCAGGGTGTACTCTTGGCTACTGCTCCAGCACCTGCCTGCACCCCGCCATGCTCCCTGCCCGATCATAAAGGACTAAACCTCTAAAACTGTAAGCCCCCAGCTAGATACTTCCTTCTGTAAGTGTTGTCTTGGTCATGGTCTGTCTTCAGAGCAATCCAAGTGACTGAGACACGTAGGAACCTGTCTCACACGGGCTCTGCGGACTCTCCCGGAAGGCTCAGGCTGCCCTGCCAGACCCATTTTTACGTTCAACAACTAGCCTCTATTTTAGAAAGATGAGTTAACTCACCACAAAACTTACCGTGACTTTCTACCTTGTCTGCAGGGACTGTGTGCACATAGATGTAAGACTTCATTTTCTCTCTTTCTACCACCTGAGTGTCTAATGTTACAGACTTCTTCAGGGCCAGAACTTCGTATGTAAGAAATAAAGAACCCCTAAAAAAGAAGTTCCTACAAATCAAGATCTGAACATGACCCACGAGCTTTTCATAGTGAACTGTCTTCTATTTTACTAGCAAACATGGGATACAGTAAAACACACAAGTGTCATTTTACATGTGAGCGCACACACAGATGTACATATGTGTACACATTCATCTCGGGTTCAAACATCAGTGAGTGGCTGCGTGATTACGTCCACGGAAGACACAGAGGACAGCAGCCCCAAGGCTAACAGTGTGCTCGCTCATTCTTTCACAGCCGACCCGTGGCAATAACCCAATCGTCCTTGCTTTTCATCGCGTGTCTGCTACCTGTGTGCACGCCCTAAAGCAACAGTGCTGCTTGGCTTTGTGGGAACGGACGAGGCTACATGTGTTCTTTTGTTCAGCCTTGTGTGTGTGTGAGTCACCCACACTCGTCTGTACACAGTCCCCTCACGACATAGTACACTTACCACAACTCACCTACCCACTCTCCTACAATGGACACTTAGGGCACTTTTAGTTTAAATCTACGACATGCGATGCCACTGCACATTTTATAACTGTGTACACATGTGTTCTTCTACAGGGGCATGCTCAACCTTCTGACATCCCACATCCGTGGCTATGCCATGCTAACAGTCGCTTCTGCTAAGATTTCCAACTGTGGTATCATGAAGCCATTAGCTGCTCACTGATACTTACCCTAAAATGAGGGATCCAGTGAGTCTTATTATATTCCCTTCAAAAAGAAAGAGGAAAAATCAACATGATTTCATTTTTGAAAGTATGAAAAGAAATGGGCAATAGTGCAAACCTTTTGTGTATAACTGGGCCAAAAGTTAATTTTTGTTGTATAGGTCATCTATTACATTGTGTATTATATGTATTATCAGCTGCTATAATGCATGGTGGCACCAAGTACCATATGGTTGACGCTTATGGCTCCCACACTCATCCTCCAAGCTCCTGCTGTACCCCAAACCAAGTCACAAGGAATCCAGATCCCTGTGCCACCGCTACATATCCCGGACCACAGACTTCCGCTGAGTGTGACCCAGGAGGGTCTTCTGCTAGAGGCAAGGTGGGCCCACCAAGGGTCCCAGCCTCCACACAGGGATTGGCCGTCAAGTGGGGACAATAAACTGACTTCCCCCTCAAGTATTCACTGTGTATTTGGTGTCTTAAGCACCACAGAGCACATGGCCCCATTTAAATATAGGCAACAAGATTATAAGCTCTTATTTGGACCTTGGAAACATTTTTAAAATGTATTTTTATTGGCAAACAGTCAAATTTTATTGGCAGACAGTTGCCTACTCAATACACAGCCATTCCAAAATATTCAAACCCTAGACTGCTGAGCAGGAAGTTGGCCATGCACTCACTCTACTTAAGTCAGACACATGGAGATCTAGAAAGGAGGCTCTCCCCCACAAACTCATGGGCCTTTACAAGAACGGGAATGAGAAGGTCTGCAGTGGTAAGACACGGAACTTCCTGACTGTGCGACTCTCTGGGACAGTTCTCACTCCAAGATGGCCTCCTGGTGGCCTCCTCTGGCCCTCACCATGAAGATTCGGGGAGCAGCCAGTATTCTCTTCTCTAATGCTGCCAACTGTGGTTTCTTACTGACCTTTGAGTGTGCCTGTCAATGCTGGACATCATACAGTGTGCCTCTCAACGCTAGGTGTCACACACAGGGTCTTGCGCGTGTTGGACACATGCTCTTCTCCTGCGCTACATCCCCAGCCTCCTAGAATGTTTCCTTTCAATCTCCCTGGCCATCCTCCCTTTTCTCCCCCCACTAAAGGTAAACACAATACTCTGAAGTTTGCTATTCTGGGAATACTGAGCGAAGGAAGCAAAGGCTTTCTTCTCTGCTCCTGCTTATTTTCCTATTTAAAATTCAGAATCAGAAGTCCCTACATTAAAAAAATCTACTGCAAAAATAGGTAGGTGCACGCATGTGCGTGTGCGCGTGTGCATGCTTCTCTCATGCACAGGTGCCCATGTCTATGCATGGTGCACGGAGGCCATGGGAGGACATCTATTCTTCTCTCCACTCTGCTTTACTCCGCTGAGACAGGTTCTCTCACAGAGCTGGAGCTTGGCCGGCAGCCAGAATCCCCAGTGACGTTACCTCTGTCCCGCACTCCCCAGCGCCGGGTTACAGGTGCGTGCACACACCAGCTGTTTACTTTCATGGCTCTGGGATCCGAGTTTGGGGTCTCATGCTTGCAGAGCAACCGTTCTCATGCACTGAACCACCTTGCCAGCCCAGCAGGCATTTTTATTTAGGTCTGTTGGGGAGACGGGGTCTGACTGTGTGATCCTGCTGGCCCTACACTCACAGAGCTCCATCTGCCTTTCTCTCCTGGGCGCTAGGATCAAAGGCGTGGCATCATACGCCACCACACCCAACTCCAATAGTCTATCTTAAAGCTTCACAGGAAACAGCCTGAGGACAGGGACTTCATCTTTTTCAACACTGTCACCTCAGGGCAGAAAGCAGCGCCTTGTGCAGTGCAGACAGGCGATCCTTGGTGTTTATTGTCAAATAAATGAAGGATGAGCAAGGTCAGCCTGGTTTGTAGTCAGCTTTGTTGTGGGACTATCTTTGGATCACAAGCCCCCAAGTAATACCATAGAGACTTATTAATTATGAAAGCTTGGCCATTCACTTAGCTTATCCCACTAGCTCTTATAACTTAAATTAATCTGTTTTAGATTTACCTTCTGCCATGTGGCTCAGTCACTTATACTCTACACAGTATGTCTGACCTCTTCGGTGTCTCCCTGGCATTTCCGTGTGCCCAGACTCCTTTTCCTCTTCCTCTCTCTCCCCGGAAGTCCCTAGCTATTGGCCATTCAGCTCTTTATTAGTCAGAAGGTGCCTTGGCAGAGACATCTCTTCACAGTGTACGCGAATGTTCCACACTTGCTATACAAATAAGAGAATTAGTGCTCAGGGGAGGTATGTTTTTCATCCTTCTATTTGACACACACTACCGGAACACCTCCTGCATGCCTTAGATGATAATCAGTAATGGGTCAGAATACTGAACAAGACACTGCCCTCTGAGTTTAATCTACGGGAGAAGTCAGATAATTTACCAAGTTCCATCCCAACTCTACTAAATGGCAAACGATGGCTCTACCTTGGCCTCGGGTGCCAGGCAACAGTGTGGGGTGGATCAGAGCACATCCTGAGCCTCCACAGGGCAAGGAGAGTGTTCTCCTGGCTCAGCACTGTATCCCCAGAACCTAGCCGGAGGTCCCTGACTCTACAAAGAGCCTAGTGAGCATGTGCTGAATGAGAACACGGTACTGCTTAAGTTGGAAAAGTGAGCATGAACTGACCCGACAGATGGAGAAAGAATTCCTGAGGAAAAGGGATCTTGTATGGCTCTGGACTTACAAATGTAGTGTCAACCATAGTACAGAAGACATAAGCAAACGAGAGATTCAGAATGGGCTCTCAGCGTTGTAATGCAGGAAAGCGGCCACAATCTCATCACTATTTCTACTAGAAAATGGCGTTACCTGAACTGTACTCACGGATATTTTGGCTATTTCTCCAGGGCATGTGACTTCTTAAACGGGGAGCAGAGGTTCCTATTCTTCTGCAACAGATGACACAGTAAGCACCAAGGGACATCCTGTGTAGGAAGTAATATAACAAGGGTAATTTGGTTCTTCTGACTCCAAGGACATGTCACTATCACAGTGGGTTGCCCGCAGTTAGATAACTTAAAACTGAGGGGGAAAAAATCTCAACTCAGGGTTCTACTCCTGAAAACAAACCAGACTTTACTAGGATAAATTTTGCTGGCTCATACATTGTTCAAGTTGTGTTCACTTGTGAGTACTAATTAATAGGATATCAGGAAAATTCAAGTTATTAAACAGAATCCTAACATGGACATTTAATGTTCTTAAATGTCCTTTAAGCCGGGCGTTGGTGGCGCATGCCTTTAATCCCAGCACTCGGGAGGCAGAGGCAGGCGGATCTCTGTGAGTTCGAGGCCGGGCTGGACTGACAGCCTCTAAAACAATATAGAGAAACCTTGTCTCGTAAACCCCCCCCAAAAAAAGTCCTTTAAAAACCAGAAGCATAGAAAATCATGTCTGCTCATCATAAATGAAGGTCCCACAGTCATGCAGAGAAACAACGAATTCCCTCTAAGGCACCCGACAAATGCCAGTCAAAGCCAGCATTAGCCGCCGGGCAAGCGAGGCTGCTCTGGTCTAACCAGCCCCCTGGCTGGCCCGATGGATCAGTAATAAATAAGAAATAAATGGCAGTTTGGGATGGTACATGATGCTGCATCGAGCTAATGCACACAGTTTCTAAATATTCCTTTACTTTTTATTAACTTTTTTTTAAAAGATAGGATCTCTCTACGTAGCCCTGGATGTCCTAGAACTTACCATGTGGACCAGGCTGGCCTCCAATTCACAGAGATCCGCCTGCCTCTGCCTCCTGAACACTTTCTATAAATACAAGCCTCTTTGTCAGAACTCGTACTGCGTTTGATTCTGGTTTTATCATCTTAGATGAAGAGCTCACATCTGTGGGGCTGTTTCCTGTGAGAGTCCCATGTGCTCTGATATATAGTGCAGTGTGAAATACCTCCATAGACTATCACAGATACTTCCAATTGATGGGCTCAAAGGCTGGACTTAAGAGTTTTAATTTCAAGGCTCTAGAGATGGTTCAGCCAGTAAAATGCTTGCAAGGAGAGTATGGGGACCTGAGTTTGGAGGTATGTTACAAGCCGGAGCCTATGAACTGTGGATACGATCTCAGCACTGTGCCTATGATCCCAGCACTGTGGAAGCAACAGGAGTTTCCCTGGGGCTTGCTGGTAGCCAGCAAGCCTAGCCAAATGGGCCAACTCCAGGTTTGCAGAGAAACCCTGTCTCAAAAACTATGATGCCACCAAGAAGATTTGTCAGTGAGGGGAGAGTGCCTGCCACCAAGGCTGAGTTTAATCCAGGGGGCACACAGAGTGGAAAGAGGATCAACTGCATGCTCCCCCCCCGACCTCCACACGGGTGCTGTGGCACACATACACACACAAAACAGTGATACAAATTTTCTTAAAATAAGGTGGAGGGTGACTAAGGATATTTGACATTGGCAGTCACACCCCGCATGCTGGGATTAAAAACCCGGGCCCCACCACCTGGCTGGGGGAGTTAATTTTAACTGCTTCTCAGATGTCCTCTCATTGGCTTAGTAAACTAGTTCTGCTGAGAGCATGGAAGTAGGGTCCACAACAGGATTCTGAACTCCGTCACATGATGCTGATGGTTATATAAAGCCAAGTACGCTGGGGGGGGAGGCGGTATTTCCCTCATGTGGGTTTGAGGCTGAGTTCGATTCTTGCAGGTGATTGGCAGGATTCAGTTGCAATCTGTCAATCTGTGGTAAGACTGAAGTCCTCATTTCTTTGCTGGTAATGAAGGAGCCACCCTCAGCTCCTAGATTAGGGCCTCGACAGACTGTCCACTATATTGCTGAAGTAACAACAGCTTGTCCCCTCCTTGCCAGGCCTGTCACATCCTATGCTACTTTAAGGGTCGCTGCATGAATACAGTAGGCTTTCCCAGATAGGCCAAAATGAACTTCCCATTACACAGGTTGGGAAGGGAATAACAGAGGGTAATGAGGAGTAAACATGACCAAAATACATTATATACCCTTATTATATAAATAAGGATCGTTTTTGTTTAAAAAACATCTATTCATGGTCTGTAAACTTAGAATTTAACTTGTGAAATCCTTTTGCTGCACATAAAATATAATCGCAGGTCCCAGGGAATGTGATGTGTGCATGGGGGGGGGGGGCTGCAGTATTAGCCTGTCATAAGCTCCTGTGAGAATTGTGATACAAGTTTGCGTAGACACGTTCTCATACTTATTCAGTATACTCCCCAGGAGTGAGACTGCTGGGTCAGAAAACAATGTTCAATGTTTCAGCACAATTACCACATTAATATCACCCAGCAGAGCAGGGGGCCGGCTGTCTAGCATGCTAGCTGAGGATTGCCTTCGGCCTTCTTAGTGAGCGGGTACACCTCAGACCTCACTATCATTCACTACGAAACTTCCAAAAAGCCATGCTGAAGGCCTTTTCAAATGCATGTTGGCCATTCGTATATTCTTTTGCTGAAGTATCTCTTCTGCCTGCTTACGTTGGCTATGGGTTCTTTATGTGTGCTGGAAGTAAGTCTTCTATCAGACGTACGTGAAGATATTCTGCGGCTGCCCTCTCCATTGTCGGGACCTGACTATTTCCCTAAGATGACATTGTGATGAGCAGTTCTGAGACTCAATTTTATCAATTCCCTCTCTTTTGTGGTTACTGAATTCTGTATCCTGAAAAGCCACTGTGCACAGATGGTGGTGGTGCTCACCTTTAATCCCAGCACCCAGGAGTCAGAGAGGCAGGGTGGTCTCTGAGTTCAAGGCCAACCTGGTCTACAAAGTGAGTTCTAGGATAGCCAGAGCTGTTGTCACACAGAGAAACGCCCTCGCAAAAAAAAAAAAGCAAAAAGCAAACAAAAAAACACTGTCCACATCATGTCATCTTTCTTATGATTCTAAGACAGTTTTGTGTTATATATTTTTTTTTTTTTGGTTTTTCGAGACAGGCTTTCTCTGTATTGTTTTGGAGGCTGTCCTGGAACTCACTCTGTAGACCAGGCTGGCCTCAAAGTCACAGAGATCCGCCTGCCTCTGCCTCCCAAGTGCTGGGATTAAAGACGTGCGCCACCAACGCCCGGCTTTATATTTTATGTTTAAGTCTATGGTCCATTCTAAGTTAATTTTCCTAAGATTTAATTTTTGCATGTGTGTACATGTACCCCGTGTGCTGTGACCTTGGAGGTCAGAAAAGGGCATCAGAATCCCTGGAACCGAAGCTATGGGTGATTGTGAGCCATTGTGGGAAGCAAACTTGGGTCCTTTGTAAGAGCCACCAGTGATTTTTACCTGCTATCCGGCTAAGTTGCTATGTATTCTGATGATAAGTGAACTTACAGAGACCCAATAGTTCCAATAAAATGTTGAAACAACGTTCTTCTCACCAGTCAAATAACTCTGTATCTTTTCAAAAGCCAGCTGACCATGTGTCACACAGGCCTGATTCTGAGCTCTGTGACCCTACTAACCCACTTCTCCACTTAAATACACAGCACAGGGAGGTGCATGCTTGGCTGTAAACACCGAGTCCTGATGCCGGGCCATACGAAGGCTACAGTTTTGATTCTTTTATTTCTTTGAGACAGGGCCTTGCTATGTAAGCCAGGCTGGCCTCCAGCTTGATTCACCTGCCTCAGCATCCACAGGGACGGAATTCTAAGCTTCAGGCACCATGCCCTGCTTGCTCTTCATTTTCAGGAAGAGCTCTTCGAGATTCTTGCCTCTCCCACATAACTTTCGAGTCACTTTGTTGATATTTGTTTAAAAGCACTTTGGGGCCAGGCGTTAGTGGCGCACACCTTTAATCCCAGCACTTGGGAGGCAGAGGCAGGCGAATCTCTGTGACTTTGAGGCCAGCCTGGTCTACAGAGTGAGTTCCAGGACAGCCTCCAAAACAATACAGAGAAACCATGTCTCAAACCCCCCCCCAAAAAAAGAGCTTTGGGGATCATTACTGTAGCAGAAAGAACATAAAGCAAATTCTCTTGGGAAGAGCAAACTTGGGGCAGTTTTAAAAGGGTGGGTACAGCAGGAAAATGTGGACAAGAACAAGAGGGAAAAGTACGAGGGAACAGGGCTGGCAAGAGGCTTGCAAATAATGCACCTGCTTGTTGCCAAGCCTGGTGAACTGCGTTCACCAGCATCCACATGCTGCAAGAGAACCGACCCCTTCACATTGTCCTCTGACCTCTCCACTCGTGCACTGAGACACATGCCACCCCCAACCTACATGCGTGTAGACACAAATAAATATAATAAAAATGTTTTAAAGAAACCTGAAGAACCGAGAGAGGGAAATAAGGGGGAAGCAAAAATTGGCATGAGCTTAAATGTGGTCACATAATGATCAAGAAGCTACAACCTCATTGCTGAGAACACAAGTCCACTAAGACGACAGATCGGGAGCTGGAGAGATGGCTAGGCGGTTAAGAGTACTGACTGCTCTTCCACAGGACCGGAGTTCAATTTCCAGCACCCACATGGCAGCTCACAACTGTCTAACTCCAAGATCCAACACCCTCACACAGACATACATGCAGGCAGAATACCAATGCAAAAAAAAAAAAAGTTAACTAATTAAAAAAAAAAGATCCGAATTTGGGAGTGGGATTAACTTCAGAACCTTCCGGAGGCCATCACCTTGAAATGACGGTTACAGGGTTTAGAAACCTAGCTGCATCCCAACTATTCAGTCTCCCAAGTCAGAGAAGAGCGAGATGTGGCCTTAAAGACACAGGTGCGGCTCATGAGATCACAGAGCCCGGGAGGGCTCACCCGCACGCAGGTGCTCTCCTCCAAGCCTCAGGAGCAAGCAGAGAAGCGCAGGGATCAACTCAAGGAAAGGGCCAGAATCAGGCCCTAAAGGGCCGTGGCGGGTCACCGGGTTCCTCCGAGGCCGTGCGACCTTACGGGGCGCCGTGTCCGTGCAGGGCCATGGCCCTCCCCTCCCGCAGCTGCAGCGACGCCCTCGCCCGCCCACGAGCCCGCCCGTCCGCCCGTCCTACCTGCCGGCTCATGGGCTCCGCTCCGGGTGGACACAGCCGGCTGCACAACCCACCCTCCGCCGCCACTAGTGACCTGAGAGCCCTCGGCCAGCGGCTGAAGGCACGTGATCCCGCCCCCGGGGCGATTGGCCCCGCCCTCGAGCCCCGCCTCCAGCCGATCGCCCCACCCACTAGGGGCGTCGCGGGCGCGATGACGCGTGGCGCAGGCGCAGCGGGTCGGCGACGCCACCACGGTTCCCGGGCGTGTGGGCGGAGGAGCGCTGCGGGCTCTGAGCAGCTTGGAAAAGTAGGTTGCGTGGGACTGGTCTGCAAGACGGAGGGGAGGAGGAGAACAGACACGGAGCCTCCGGGACCCGTGGGCGGGTCGGAGCCGCTCACCCTTCCGGGGGCCCGCGGTGTGGGGGACGCGGGGCCGTCACGGACTGCGTCACGGTTTCCCTGCACGGGAAGGTTCCCATCCTGGGTGCAGACACCAGAGGGATCCTTCGGTTGGCTCTCGCTCAGATCGCTGGAGGATGTAGTCTGTTGGCCAAAAGAACACAGGATCTGGAGACCGAGGAGCTTGTAAATTAAAGCTGCCTGCTTTGTCTAGGTACTTGGGCTCCTCGGGAAAGCGAGGCTGTGAACCACTGTTGCTTGGATGTCCCCTTTTCAGAACTACCATTTTGTGATTTCTATCCCCTCCCCCCGTAATCTTGCCTTTGTATGGTTCTCCTGGATATAAAAACAACATTTGATTAACGAGCCCTTTTAACACCTGTGTTGGGGTTCTTGAGTTGGAGTAATGGACTCTTTTTTTTTTTTTTTTTTTTGAGTTCCAGGGTATCTATGTAGCCCAGCCTGGTCTTGGCTTCAAAACGTGCACCCCGCAACGGGTTGGAGCTTTTTAAGGATCAATTATCCATGAGTAAAATCTATTTGCAAGTAGGATTTGTGCTTTCATTAATACTCCAAATAGTCTGCTTTAGCATTGGTAAAAATGGGGCTATCAGTATGCCTTAATGTTAACTTTTTAATACTGACATTTTTCATTTCATCTTAGATATAAATCCCCAGAGTAGATTGAATTTTTTGGGGTTTTATGTCACTTTATCCTTTTTAAATTAAATTTATTTATTTTAGCATTCTTGAGTTCGTCTGCACCGCCTGCCTGTGAGAAGATGGTCAACGTCTTGAAAGGAGTGCTTATAGAATGGTTCGTAGTTTCAAAACTTAATGAGCTTTAAATTGACACAGTGGATCTTGTTGTGTATATATGCCTTTTCCAAAATTTTTGTTTTGTTTATCTATGTTGTGCCCAAGTTTCGAAGATCCCCAGAGACCACCAGGGAGACAGACCCACCAAACTGCAAAAGCAAGGTTTTATTGTTCATCCAACCATGACAGGGACCCCATCTGGTTAGCCAAGGCAGCAGCCTCCAGAGGGAGTGAAGTTCCCTGTCTATTACTAGGTTTTAAAGACAAAAATCACAGGATTACATCAGTAGTTACAGGTTGGTTTCTGATTGCTTGACATCTGGGAACAATTAGGAGAATTTTTCAAAATCATATTTTGGCATGAACTATCTGTGTACCAATTATTTTCATTGGTCAGTGCTCAGAGGGAACATTCTGTGGTTTTTATGGCTTTGTCTTGTTACTTGCAGGTAGCTGTTGTACATAGATACCAATAGTTTTTAGAACTGTACCCTGGAGACTACAGGGAGGTTTTGTTCCCCTGGAGTTTCTTTTGTGGCAAAACAGTTCCCAGGAACCAAGTGTCTAGGAGACAGGAGGGGTCCTGGAGTTTCTTTGTGTTCAGTTTGGCCCTAGGCTCCGGGAGACCAGAGGATCTGGAGTCTCCTTGTGTCAGAGGCCTACAGTCTTTCTGTAGCCTGTCATGGCTGCTAAAGCAGGGGCTGGGTGAGGGTCTGATCCCTTCTATCTAAATGAAAGCAAGGCTTCAACTTTGAATCTCCGTAAGCTTTCTTTATAAGTGGGACAGACTTTGTTGGTAGGTTTTCTTGCTGATGTTACATTTCATTGTCTGTTAAGTTATTGCAGTTAGTGTTATTTCCAACAATTTTTCGATCAGAGGCATGTGTGTTAGATTAGCCTTGATGAGAGAAACTGTTAGGCCGGGTGGTGGTGGCACACGCCTTTAATCCTAACACTCGGGAGGCAGAGGCAGGCGGATCTCTGAGTGCGAGTCTAGGCTGGTCTATAGAACAAGTTTCAGGACAAGCTCCAAAGCTACACAGAAAAACCCTGTCTCCACAGAGAGAGGAGAGAGACAGGCAGGCAGGCAAGAGAGAAAATTAAGAAAGGTGGGACACGCCTTTAGTCCCAGCACTCAGAGATAGTTTAAGGCCAGCCTGGTTTACATAGTGAGTGTCTTTAAAAGAGTAAAAAACAAAATAATACTGGAACTTGGTTACGTTTTTGCCACTACAGAATGTGTTCCCTGAAAATAAATGAGAGCCAATCAGAGCAGGTTTGTAAACTCCTTAGCATAGCTTCCAGAGGAGAAGCAAGAAGCCACAATAATGTCTAGAGCTGAGTTCCTCAAAGCAACCTGAAATAGAGGCCTGTGTTGTCCCTCCCTTCAAAGCCTTGAGCTCGTCCTCCAGCTTTCCCTTGTTGGAAGCCCTGTCCTCTGGACACTCGCTGCCTTCGTTGGAGATGCTACTCTCTCCTTTTCTGTGTCCCCGTTGTGAGTCATTGTACAGACGGTGGTGATGCTTTTCCTGTGATGGCAAAGCTGAGGGAGTAGCAAGGTCAAATCCTAGAAAACCTGCAGCATTTGGAGCAGCACCGTACATTGGAAATACAGTTTAAGCCACATGCATAGTCTTAAATTTTCTAGTAACTACATTAAAGTGTAAAATGAAACAGGTGGCCCAAGTTAGTCGTAATTTTTTTTATGTGTGTCTGTGCCTGAGGCGATCAGACAAGGGCATTGGATCTGGAACAGGCTGTGAGCCACCATATCGGTGCTGGGAATTGAACCTGGGTCCTCGGCAAGAGCAGCAATGCCCTTAACCACTGAACCATCCATCTCTCCAGCCCCATGCACTAAGTCTTCAAAACACCTTCAAAGTCCAGTATCTTTTACTTTTAAAGCATATTGAATGCTCTGTAGTAACATGATTCATGGGCTACCATAAGGCTAATGCAGTTTTAGACTTTGGGAAGATGAAATTCTAACAAAGTCAGTTTAAAAACAACAACAACAACAAAAAAAAACCCAACCAACTGCTGAGGTAGGAGGGAATCTAGAGCAGGAAATAGTTCCGGAAGGTAAAAGGCTGAACCAGGAGATGTAGAACGAGGCTTTCCAAGACCAGTCCCCCGGGAGTCTGGGTCTCTGCAGCACTAAGTCCCAACTGGGATATGGGGAAGGCAGGGAGGCTTACAATGAAGACGTTACAGGATACAGCTGAAACAGAGCGATAACGTGTCATCCGCAAACGTCACTCGGCCCTGAAGTGAGTGCCACAGCACTCCTTGGGTCCAGTGGTTTAGCTCCTCACTGAATTATGTAAATTCCTTTCATTCAGAAAAATGTAGACATCCTAGGCGTTATAACCATTTAGCAGTTGCTGTTTTAACACCTCTTAGCATGTTATTACTGAGAGTAATTGGCATCAGCTGTGAATTCACTGAGCTTAAACAGTAGCAAAATAATCCACATCACTGAGGGGGATAGCAGTTTTATTATTTTTATTACTATGACCTCCTGTTTATCCTTATTACTGTATTACATTTAGAACCGATTGAATTTACCCCAAAAAAAAAAAAGCTGTTCATCCCTCGGCGTGAAGCGCATTCCTCAAGAAAACAGTGTGTGGTTTTCATAGGCTTTGTCTCTTTGTCAGCCTTTGAAAGAAGCCCGCTACGCTGGGTTTGCCCATCCCCATGGGCTCCTAGAGTAGCCTCTTCAGCCCTCTTTGCTTCTCCCTGTGGTCTCTGTCAGTGAGTATGGACGTTGCTTTTTAAACCAATTAAGGAAGCTGTAGGTCTAAGTCCTGTTATACTGCAGAGGGATAGCCATATCGTCTCCTCTTGTGACTGACAAGTTGTTTTTTAAAAGCCTTCATCTTGAAGTTGTCCGAACTTGACTTCTAACGTGAAGTCTTGGCTACGAATCACAAATACTTTAAGCTGAGAGAAAACAAGATATTAGGTGATCGTTCTGAACTTTAAAGATGATCTTAAAAATTGATCGTGCACAGATGTAACTGCTCAGGTCTGTGTGGTTGACCACAGGGTGCCCTATAATCTGTTTGTCTCCACAGCGACCCTGCCATGAAGCAGTTCTTGCTGTACTTGGATGAGTCCAATGCCTTGGGGAAGAAGTTCATCATTCAAGACATTGATGACACACATGTGTTTGTCATTGCGGAGCTGGTCAATGTCCTCCAGGAGCGAGTAGGGGAGCTGATGGACCAGAATGCCTTTTCTCTTACCCAGAAGTGAAAATACTAGCTGTTGAGCACGAGGGAATTACAAACCACAGACATGAGGGAGGCCCCATTCAGAGTCTCCTACAGCGTGTAGACCTTTTATGGGCATTTTGTGGGGGAAGGTTGCAGGGCCATTGATTCAGACGAAAGCCCTGATTTTCTTTTTTTTTTAAGAAGAACCAACAATTGGCTGCAATTTGGCTTTTATTATTTATTAAAATAGTTATCTGTGCTGGTGTGGTGGCTTAGTTGGTAAAGGCCCTTGCTACCAATTATGATAGCCTGAGTTTGATCCCAGGGAAGGGAAGAGCTCCCACAGTTGTCTCCTGACTAACCTGTGTATACCTCCCTCCCACACAAATAAGTAAACATAATTAAATATAATCATAAATGGTTCCCCTGCCTTTTTTTTTAACACCAATTAAATAGACCAGAAAAGTAGTGGAGTTTGGTTAAATTATCGTTGTAACTGAGGTGTTATTAATTTTGCCTGATCCTGTGAAGTGTGCATTTTTCTACTGCAGATTTAGAAAGTGGGAAAGAAGCTCTGCTTTGAGACTGTAGTTTGACGGTGTTGGTGACATTTTCCTTAAGTGTGCCTGTGCAGAACCAGGTACAGCAGAAGTTTGTGTGTCTGTGTCTGTGTGTGGGTACAATTAACAAGTGTGCCCATGCAGAACTAGATGCAGAAATGTGTGTGAGTGTACAACTAACTAGTGTGCCCATGCAGAACCAGATGCAGTAGAAGTGTGTGAGTGTACAACTAACACCCAGGAAGATATCAGTAGTTGTCTTAATACTTGGAGAGGGTTGGAAGACGTGCACACGGTTGAACTCTTAGGTCGTGTGAAACTGTGAATATATGTAAACAATACATATTATAATGATTCAAACAAAAAAATGCAGTGAGATCAGCATTAATGGGGGTAAATTTTACATTTTTATCCATATGCTCTAAATTCAGCTAAATCAAGTATTACTCTCTTTATGCTGTTTGACAGTCTGCTTATATGTACTTTTCAGAAAAAAAAAGAATTCAAAGCATAAAACAAAATTCAAGGGTGGGTATGGTGGTATACCCTGTTAATCCCAGCATTCAACATGCAAAGGCAAATAGATCTCTTGAGTTTGAGACCATCCTGGTCTACATAGACAGTTCCAGGCTAGTCAGAGCCACGTAGTGAGACCCTGTCTCAAAAAAACAAAAACAATCTACATGATTTCATAGGAGATTACATTAAAAATTAACGCCCTTAACCCTAGCACTTGGGAGGCTGAGACAGGCAAATCTCTGAGTTCAAGGCCAGTATGATCTACAGAATTGAGTTTGAGGACAGCCAAGGCTACACAGAAAACACTGTCTCAAAAACAAAACAACTTTAATCCCAGCACTCGGGAGGCAGAGGCAGTTGGATCTCTGTGAGTTCGAGACCAGACTGGTCTACTGATTGAGTTCCAGGACAGGCTCCAAAACAATACAGAGAAACCCTGTCTCGAAAACAGGGGTGGGGGGGTGGCTAGAGAGATGGCTTAGGGGTTAAGAGCGCTGGCTGCTGCTCTTCCAGAGGTCCCAGCGCCCGCATGGTGGCTCACAACTGTCTGTTACGAGAATCCAGTGCCCTCTCCTGGCCTGCAAGCATATATGCAGACAGAACACTGTACACATAATAAATCTTTTTTTTTTTAATCACAAGGTGTTGAGAAATTAAGTTTACTTATATCCCTATTAGGCTTTTTTTTTTTTAAGATAGGAATAGAGACCCAGGCCTCGGTGGCACACGCCTTTAATCCCAGGAGGCAGAGGCTGGTGGATCTCTTGAGTTCAAGGCCAGCCTGGTCTACAAAAGCTAGTTCCAGGACAGCTAAATCTACACAGAGAAACACTGTCTCAAAAAAAAACAAACAAAATACCCCCAGGATTAGCGAAGCACATCTAGGATGTCTAATGGCTTTTCCAGAGAAAATCAGATGGTGAAGCTCTGATGTAATCTGTGGGTTATTAGTAGCTTGGTGGGTTGGTAATGTGATGGCGTTACTGGGAGTGATGGCGCTGAGTTGGATGAAGGTCACTGGGAGCATTGGATTTGTGTCTGCCCTGGCCTCTCCTGGATTCCATGCCCTGTTCCTGCTTCCTGTCCAAAGGGAAGGGAAGAGCCTCCTCACCCATGTACTCCTGCTGTTAGGAGATTCTACACAAGTGCAGAGGGCCCAAGAGACCACAGGCTGAACCCAAAACCAGCAGCTAAAATCTCTTCCCCTTTAAGTTGTTCTCTCTATTACCAGGTCATAACATAAAAGTAACACAGTAACACTGAAAGATCTGTTAAAGCGACTACTGATTGGTTTCTTAGAAAGCAGCGGTCACTGGGGCTGGGTTCCTAGCTTAACGGTAGAGCTCTTGTCTAGCTTGCACAAGGCTGGGAATCTCCGCTCTGCCGCTGCAGGGGAAAATCCCTGTTGGTAAGATAGGGCAGTTATCAACACTACTGAGGGAATGCCGAGATCTTGGGCATGTGATTTCCTATGCCTCAAGGAACCCAGGGAAGGAAATTTGAGCTCCTCAGTGCATCCCCCAGCTTCTCTGCATCTCACAGGGACAAGTGAGGAAAGAGCTGTCTGAAGAAAGGTTGGCTGGAGTTGAGTAGAGACCACTGCCATCAGGAAAGCTGCGGTGAGGAACGTTTCACAGACCACTACTGCATCAGTTTTATCAAGACAGACACGTTTTGTTTGCCTTCAGGCATTCAGTCCACTCTGGGCTTTATTCTGTTTTCTTTCTTTTTTGGTGTTTTGAGACAGGGTTTCTCTCTGTAGCCCTGGCTGTCCTAGAACTCAAGGAGATCCACCTGCCTCTGCCTCGCCAGTGCTGGGATTAAAGGTGTGCGTCACCCACCCCACCCCGACCCTGCAGACTTTACGCTTGTGAATTCCTGGATTATAGGGGTTCTGCTCACCTTGGGTTCTTGCCCTGCTGATTTTCAGTCCCTCTCTCAGTTATTTCTCTGTTGTGTTTATTATTTGAAATTTTACAACTAAACCTAAGAGTGTATCGCTCATTTTTCCTGGAATATGTGAAGGGCTTTGTTTTCTTTGTAGAGGCAGGGTCTCCCTGTGTGTCCCAACTGTTAGATTAATCCGTGCACACCACCAAACCACTCTGAGTTTCTTTGTTTTCTTTTAAAATTGGGAGTATTTTGCTTCGGATGGTAGAGGATTCCTAAGTTTTCTGGTGGGCAAGTTTTATTTGGGGGTGGGAGTCGAAGAGTGCCGAAGATTGAAGCCAGGATTTGGACATGCTAAGCAAATGCTATACCATTCATCTGTACCCTACTGCACCCACGTTTTCAGTTAAAATTTCACACAGCTTCCAGTTCTCGGGAGGCAGAGGTAGGGGAGTTTCTGTGGGTTCAAGGCCAGCCTGGTCTACATAGTGAATTCCAGGCCAGCTAGGGCTACATAATGAGACCTTGTTTTTAAAGCAAAAATAGCAACAACAACAACAACAAAAAAAAAACCTTTAGTGCTTTTTTAGTGCTTTTTTGTTTTCTTCAGAAAAAAAGTTTTTAATTCTCCATTATTAAAACTTTCATTTATATGAACATTTTAACTTTGCCCAACACATAATAACTTCATATTTATGGGGCACATTGCGATAATTTGACCCATGTATACGACTTGTGATTGTCAAATCAATGTAATAATGTGTGTACCATTGTAAGGCATAGTCATCCTACTATTCTGTGGAACACCAGAACTCACTCCCCTCATCTAGGCTTACTGTTCAATACTCAGATTTGTTTCTTTCTGCTCATTTTATTCTCTGTTACAAATCTGTTTTCAGATATCCCTGAGTTTGCTTTGGTGCAAACCTGCCAGTGCTGCTTCCGTCCATATCTTGGCTACTGAGCTTTTTGTTTGTTTGTTTGTTTGTTTCTCTGTAGCCTTGGAGACTGTCCTGGAACTCGCTCAGTAGACCAGGCTGGCCTCAAACTCACAGAGATGCTCTGGGTTTAAAGGTGTGAACCTACTGAACTTTTATTGCACTGCACTTCCTTAAAACTGCTAACTAGGAATGAGTGCTTGTGGGGATCACAGACCCTGACCGGAAACCCACTCCTCGATCAGCCTGGGAGCAGGCAGCTGCGAGACAATGTTTACTGAAAACATGTTTACTGAAAACAATTCAGTGCCATAAGCTCCTGATAAGGGCTATAAGGGCTCTCACTGAAACACCCTGACTTTGATCTTCCCGATGGCTAGCTCCTCCCTGCTTTTCCCGATTCTGGTGCCAGAGATTTAACCACCAGCCAGGAGGAAGGAGAGGTCTGTGTGAGAGGTGTGTGAGAGGGCTGTTGGAAATTTGTGCTGTATGGATGGCAAAAGTTTTTCTAAAGGAAAGCGTTTTTCTTAGGAAGTTCTCCTAAGCCGATTTGGGGAGCATAAAGTTTTCTTAATATAACGGACTGGTCTCTGTCATTAATCCTCGCCACATTCTCAGATACAGGCTGCGCAGGAGGCGCGGCAAGTGCTGTGTCCTTGCAGCAGACTGAGGAAAGGAAACAAAGGAAGAAAACACAGTACACAATCCCAGCACATGGGGTTACCTGCAGCGATCATGCCATGTGTACACAATCCCAGCACATGGGGTTACCTGCAGTGGTCATGCCACGTGTACACAATCCCAGCACATGGGGTTACCTGCAGTGGTCATGCCACTTGCACATGTGAATTTGCTGATCTGCTTTGTATCATAAAGCATGGAGTAGGAACGTGTGTGTGTGTGTGTGTGTGTGTGTGTGTGTGTGTGTGTGTGTGTGTGTGCGCGCGCGCAAGAGGGGGAGAGAGCACATGCACATCGTATGATGAAGTCAGTTCTTGGGGGTCAGGTTCTTTCCTCAGAATCATGGGAGAAGTTTGGTTTCAAGGATTGAACTCAGATCACCAGGGTTGTCAGCAAGGACCTTTACCCACTGAGTCATCCTGAAGACCCCAAGAACTGACTCTTGAAGGTGGTCTTCTGTGTGTGTGTGTGTGTGTGTGCGCGCGCGCGAGCGCGTGCGTGCACAGAAAGAGAGACAGAGAGAGACAGAGAGACAGAGAGAGAGAGAGAGAGAGAGAGAGAGAGAGAGAGAGAGAGAGAGAGAGAGAGAGAGAGAGAGAGAGACCAAGATTTCTATTTGGGAGGGAGGGAAAGTTTGGTTTCTTAAGTATTTAGGGCTACCTTGGGAGCTTTACAAGATACTGATACCTATCTTCAACCCAGACTTAACCAGACTTAATTGTCCTAAGGGTCAGAGCACCCACCTTGCCAAAGGGCTTCACTGCTGCTGCTGCCGCCCAGGGTGTGCAGGAGATTGGATCTGTTCTGCTGAGGGGGTTGGTTTTCAGTAG